GTTGAACTAAGCAAAGGGGTGACATGGGAGCATTCTCGGCCATGAGCCCTTCCCGGACAAACCCCAGGTATCAGGTTAAAATCCGTGGCAATGTTAGACTTTTACAGTGCAGATACAAATTAATTGATAAGTCTGTCATATAGTTGGCATATTTTCTTGAATTCGGACATTTATGTCCAAAACTCCCCCAAACTGCAGAAAAGTATACACCGCAAGTCATATTTACCAAAATGAGTGTTTCCAAGGCTTCATTCCAGCATATGCATCATGCATTTGTCATGAGTTTGAGCTGAAATTTCGCTTAAATGAAGTAAGGGTAATCCACAAAAATTTAGTGGTGATGCAATTTGAGCAAAAACGTGAATATTTATTAAATCATCAACCGACCTTAATAATGTAACTTTGGGAAACATATTCTCATAAAAATAATTGTCACTCTTAGGTGACAGGGGAAAAAATAACCAAAGGTAAGGTTTAAACATAAAATCCCTAAGTATTCCTCAGATTAATGTTTAAAACCTACACCACATCCACATCATCGTTTTTGCTTCATATCAGTTAAAATAGGGACACCGTACATCTAAAGTGTACAACGGTATATTTTGTCACTGTACATTGTCAATGGTTAGGCGCGGACATGAGGTTCTACAAAAATTTAGTTGGGGTGTCTGACCCAGCTATCCGCCATTGAAAAAAATTTAAGTGAAAAATAAAGAAATAAAATGTTTCTTATTTTCAATGTCTCATTTCCAATGTTGTTCATTTTGGTAAGCCATGTAAACGACGCTGAATTAATAGTTGTAACACTTGAGCTTTTTCAATTCAGCGTCCTACTGCCAACTATAACAAAAAACTAGTAATATTAAAAAAAGTAGTAAAGTATTTTTGGGGGTTTTTTTGAAGAAAAATACAACTTACTTTGCTCGAATTTTACAATCATATTATCGGAAGAAGTGGCACTGTATGGAAAGAGATTAGTGTTGAGTTGATCATAAAACAATGAACAATCCAGTCTTTGTCAGGGCTACAGATCTCCGTCTTGCTTACATACACGTGATCATAGGTGCAGTGTATGCCTTAAGGATTCCAGAGCTGCTGGTCAAAAAGGCATTACTGACCAGTTGCAATGTTATTTTCCTATACCTAGTGAAAAAATCAACTGGTCAGTATCAAAAGTAACCAGATAATGACCAGCTGTCCGACGCTTAAGGCGTGCCCTGCATAGGTGATCATATTCCTTTACCCATTTTGAATGTGGTAAAGTGGAGCATCCAAGTCTCTCAAAACCCTTTTTTTTATCAGACCTCTAAAACTGTATGGGAAAATTTTTATATACAAAATCATTATTTATTGGCTTCTCTCTGAATGAGATAATTTTTCTTGCACCTTTTCAAAGTGTAACTGTTATATTGTCATTGTCTTGCGCTGATAGCCGTGCATCTGCGGGTGGGCAGCACAACAAAAATTGAGTCACTAAAATTCCAGAAAAAACACATATCTATTCAACTTGAAATTGTTGCAAATTGCGAGAGCAGACTATTCCCAGAATCTGATTAGGTTTTGGGCATGCTGGATAAATTACTTGCAGCTCTTTTGAATTTTTAAAATAAATATTTTATGAATGCATACCTCATTTAACTCAAAGTATCCAAACTTGCTATGATTTCTCAACTGGATGCCATATAAAGTTGCTTCACAGCTGAGGCCATCACTACTATCACCACTTAGGGGTCTAATATACATGCATATTAACTTCTGACTACATTGAAAAGAATATGATATCTTTTTTTTTTATAAATACTAGGGTTGTCCAAAAAGTCTTGAACTTTTTTCAACTACGAAATATACCAGATTGGTAGCATGTGCAAAATCTGAAGAATCTTAGTTTGTACCGAACATGACTAGTGTGTGGCTGTTAGGCATGTGTCTAACAAATGGTCTTTAAGTCGTTTATGCATTGCACTTTGCATGCGTTTCTTCATTTTATCTGAAGTCTGGAAACTCAGGAGCAAATCAAGGATAAGTTGTCATTCATCATGATAACACAAGTATCTCTTATCATGAAATACTTAAGGATTTAAGTACTATATCACTTAATGTTCAGGAGGCTCTGGATCTGTTGTAACTGCAGTGCCAGAAAATTGAACCTAGTTTGTTTACAAGCCTTTCTTTTCATGTACATCCCCTCTTTAGACAATACTACATATATTAACAAAAATATTGTTCAAGTTCATGCATACCACAGAATTCATACTATCATCCTGATGTTCATCATCTCCAGACATTCTTGAAGACTAGGTATATGGGAATAACCAAATGGAATTCAGGAACTTCCTCATTCATGTTTAACAATCTGTAACAGTTCTATGAAAAACTACTTTTAAAAAAGGAAACAAACTATTAAAAAGCAAACATTAAACTCAGAAAAATAATACATTTGAACCAGCGCATACCATTCATGATATCTATAATTAGGCCATCAATGTATTTTCATTAACATCAATGAAAATCAGCTGCTTTCAAACCAAATAACAGCATCATTACATATTATTACACTCCTCAATTCCATTCTCTTTTCGTACAAGTTCCATTTGTCATCATTATTTTTCCATTTTAGTTATTTTTTCTTTTAACAGTGATATTTGATTCTAATTTCAGAGGAAATCAAAAATGATGCAAAAGAGCAGAACGAAGGGTAAGCAAACACTAATGCATAAAATTAATATAAATTATGCAAATATTTATTCAGAAATTACCTTGATGTACTATTCCTTTGAATCCTTTCATTCATTTATTACAGTCAAGTCAATGTTTAACTAATAATTTTCATTATAAAAGCAGTTATAAAAATAGTCTCTGATAAAAGATATCTAGTGATTTAATAGAACGACATTTCTGCTCACACTTTAAAAGTACTTTATTGCCATTGTTTTGTTTATATGATCTTATAAATAACTATGCATTACCATGGCATTACAGACTATAATAATAAAAACATGCTTTATCACATCAGTGTTCTCCCTAGAATTTTTCCTGAAGTGGGTGCAAAACTCTTATTTTTACAATTCAGACCAATATTTGTCAAAATATGCCCATTTTTCTCATTTTCAAGTGGGTGCAAATGGATTTTTTCAGGTGGGTGCCAGCCTGTTTTTAAGATCTCAGGTGGGTGCTGCACCCACTTGCTTTAATGCTGGGGAGATCACTGCACATTCTAATGTTCATTATTCCATTGCTCTTATGTCTTTTAGTTCCAGCTCCTCTGCCCTTCCTATGCCAAAGACAAACACAAACTTCATTGAAGCAGACAAATATTTCCTTCCATTTGAGCTAGCATGCCAGTCAAAATGTCCTCGTATCGTCAATGCAGCCTTGGACTGTCTGCAGGTACAGACTTTTGTTTGGCTAAATATCTATTATAGAGGTTTCGGAAATTCTTTATCCAAGCTCTAAATATTTTAAAACACAACAGCAAAAAAATAGATGTTGACCAAAATTTACACCAGAAGGTATTGACCACATCTTCAAGAGGTATTCTGGTCAAAAGAACAAGTAAGACCACTTCCTATCTCTTCCGAATCTGCAATGTAATATGAGCATTTTTCTTCTGTTTTCTAGAAACTGATTGCGTATGGCCACCTGGTTGGGAATGCTCCAGACAGTATGACACCAGGAAAACGACTGATTGATCGTATAGTTGAAACAATATGTGGTTGTTTCAATGGTTCAAATACAGACGAGGGAGTACAGCTGCAAATAATCAAGGTATGTATGTATCTACGTTTGTGTATGAGTCAATCATTACAAAATAAAATCCAGAGAAATCTTCTATTAATTTTCAAGGCATAACAATAGGATGCCTCATATCCAAGGAATAACAATTAGGATGTGATTTCCATATATGCCAAGTATTCATCCGATCTCACAATGAGAAGATAAGTGTCTTTCGACTTATGATATACCATTGGAAAGTCAGTTCAGTTTGCAGTACAATTTTGTGTTGCTATATTTCCAGGCTCTATTAACTGTGATCACAGCCAACACATGTGAGGTCCATGAGGGTACAGTGCTACAAGCTGTTAGGACATGTTACAATATATACCTAGCCAGTAAGAACCTAATCAACCAGACCACAGCCAAGGCAACCCTCACCCAGATGCTCAATGTCATCTTCTCACGTATGGAGAATCAAGCAGTGAGTTTTTGTAGAAAATATTTTCCTTTTCTTAATAATATATATTATAGATGTAACATGTTTTAGAGTTCTTTTGGTGTTCTTTCTGGTATTTTTATTTCTCAACTGTAACCATGTGTATCGTTTAATACCCATCCTGGCTAAGGAGTGTTAAAAACATGTCAAAACGTTTCAAATATTCAACAGCAAAATGATTTCAATTGGATCCCAGGCAAATTGAAATGTTAAACTATTGCAGTGCTAGTATAGGGAGTTTTCTAATTTTCAGTAGATCAATGCAACAGCACAATGGAGAATACAGGTCTCTTAGTGCACATACCAACTTTTGTATGTTAAACACTTACCTGAAAATGAGGCATTTATTTTTTGAAAGATGTAGAAAAAAGTAAATTTTCTAATCAAATAAAATGAACATGGATATCCATATGGAAGAGAAATATGAACACATAAATGTTCAAAGGTCCTTGATTAACATAGGAATATTAGGATCAAAATGAATGAAAAACAGAAAGCCATTTTATTAGAAGAATCCTTAAATTGACACAATTTTAGGAGAACCTTGACTTTTTTTTTCGTTCCTTTAACTACATGTATTTACATACTCCAGGTGCAGGAAGCCAAGCAGAAAGAAGAAGAGGAGCAGAGGGAAAGAAGTCACAGTCATGACTCTGGTACTGATACTCCCTCTCCAACTGGGGATACTCCAGTACAGCAGAAAGATACACAAAATGAGGTGAATAAACACGTGGTCTGATATTGTATCATTTCTCTGTATATGTACCCATATTGATAAATGTTCAGTAATGAAGTAAATGACACCCTAAACTGTCAATGATCATTAAGTAATTTTCATATTTTTTTGTTGTGATCATTTTCAGAATTTCATGACTTGCACTAATGGTTCTAAGTTGGTTCCCCAGCTTAAATTTTAAAATATGCTCCATTGAACAGGTTGATCTTTATATATCTTGTCTTATATTGTTTCATAGCGGTCCAGTACTCCCTCCCCTAGTGAGTCAAGTCAGGGTACAATACAAGAGACAGCCAGTCAGGGTACGGAGCCCAGCAATGATCAGACAGATAACAATAAATCATCAGACAATACCAGCACTGAAGAACAAAGTAAGCTTAAATCTGTAAAAGTATTTTAGAATATTTTCGTGAGTATTTGTAGTCCTATTCTTTGTTTTACAAACAGAAATATCTTTCCAAATGTTTCTCTTAGCTAAAGCTATTCCCTTTAACAAATGAGATGAAATGTTATAATGGTCCTGAATGGGATTCTTTTAACTGCAAACTTCACCCTACATTTGATGAGGAACTGAAAATGGCTGAACAATTGGCTTAGAATAAAAAGTACCAATGATAATACTAGTATGGAGTACAGTTAGAATCAGAAAACATAAACACAGTCCCATAGGGTAAGGTGTTCTGTATCTTTTTCAGCTGATGAAAGCATTGCTGTTGAGGAAGTGGTCCGCAGTATCATAGATGAGATAGTTGAGAAGTCAAGTGAAGGTGAGACAATAGATACAACACTTGAAAATGAACATGCAATAGGTGGTTGCTACATCTTTTTCAAAACTGCTTGGTTGCTCAAAGGGCTAGCTCATCTTATCAAGGTTTTGGCCAAACTAATAATTAATAAATGCTCAGACTCCCTTCCAGGACTGTAAATTCTTACTGAAATCTGCATTTACATTTTACATTGATACTTGACTCAGCCTACAGAAATCTTATTTTAGACTAATCTGTATTAACAAAATCATAATGGAATGCTCTTGAAATTTAACAGGAATTAAAATGTCCATAATTGCATGAAATATTAATCATTTTCTCATGAGTGTCAGCATTTAATAGTTAACACATAAATCGCACATTTTAATAGTATAATATGGAAATCTATGTTTAACCCTCAAAGCTGTCATAGTATAAAATTAGCTATCAATACGGGTAGCATCTTAATGATTAAAGCCTGGTATGATGGCTCTATATTAGGATCATATGGATACCACCCATGATTTAATCAAACTAGGGGTGATGGGATTTTCATTTTCTGTTTCTCTCAGCTGCAACTGAAGGCTCTAACATACAAGTATCTAACACATCACGTCCTAATACCTTACCTCATCCTAACCCCGCTTCTGTAGAGCATACAACATCCCCCTCCACACCTCGGTCAGAATCTAACACCTCAACCTCCCATCATATAGGTAAGTGCTCATCTCTATTATATTCATGCTTACACTAACTGGTTCAGGTACTTATTAAAGCTAATTTATCTGAATAATTGCATGTCTTTTGGCTTGGGTTTCTTACTCTTGTCAGCATGAGCTATTACCTTGTGGCTGGTACCTAGTTGTACATGTACTTATTTTCAAAATAACTGGTGATCTATGAACTTCAATAAATGCTAAATATGAGTTGAAGACAATAGTAATGAAAAATAGTTTATTACATCATTTATATGTGCAAAGGCAAGGTACTAGTAAGGGCTGCCACTTCACTTCACAAAGAAAAAAATTCTTATACAATTTGAATTAATTTTCAAAATTCATAGAACTAACAGTTGTCCGTTGAGAAAGGAAGTGTCCCTGCTCTTTGATGTATCTTAAAATGACATTAATTTATGTAGCTGTCAAAGCAACATATATTTGATTAAATATTGAAATAATGCGCTTTTAGCACATCTGGGTTTTGGAGAGATTGTGGAAGGTGTAGAATACAGATAAAATTTTTGAGCTTATTTCTGAAATTCATAGCAACATTACCAAATAGAAAATAATACATACAAACCAATTATTTTTAGCACGTCTGGGGTCTGAAGAGATAGTGGAAGGTGTAGAAGGCCAAGACGGCATGGGATCATTCTCACATATTCTACAAAAAGATGCCTTCCTCGTCTTCAGAAGTCTATGTAAGCTCTCAATGAAGCCACTATCAGAAGGACCTCCAGATCCAAAGTAGGTGATATCTTTAGAATTTGAAGTTTTTACTCTACATATCTATTTTCATAGTCGCTCACTTTTTTGTGGACAGTGTTCAGTGTCAGTAACAAATAATGGCATCTGTAACAGTTTGCAGACAGACATTTTGCATGTTAATGCCTTGTTACTTTACTGTATGTTTTTATCACACCATTGGTGGGATATAGTCGTCATACTGGTCGTGGTGGTGATCGTGGTCGTCCCGCTTTTTGTCATCGCCGTTTAAGGAAAACTACTCATCAGATTTTCTCCAAATTCGCAGAGATGATAGAGCAAATTAAGTACTAGAGCTGATTAACTTTTGGGTGGCCATCTTGTTTTCTGGTGGCCATTTTGAGGGTTTTTCGAAAAATCTTGTCATCGCCATTTCAGGAAAACCGCTCATTGGATTTCCCTCAAATTTGCACAAATGATAGAGGATATCAAGAACTAGAGCTGATTAACTTTTGGGCGGCCATCTTGTTTTCTGGCAGCCATTTTGAAGGTTTTTCGAAAAATCTTGTCATCGCCATTTCAGGAAAACCGCTCATCCGATTTCCTTCAAATTTACACAAATGATAGAGGATATCAAGTACTAGAGCTGATTAACTTTTGGCGGCCATCTTGTTTTCTGGCAGCCATTTTGAAGATTTTCGAAAAATCTTGTCATCGCCATTTCAGGAAAACCGCTCATCGGATTTCCTTCAAATTTACACAAATGATAGAGGATATCAAGTACTAGAGCTGATTAACTTTTGGGCGGCCATCTTGTTTTCTTGTTCTTGAAATTTGTAAACATAATAGGAGAATAGTTTTCCTGGTTCATAGTGTCTGCCTATTTGATGGTGTGATCTCGTTCACGTCCTGTGCCTTGTTTATACTGGCACCTGTCTTATTCTTTACCATTCCTACATTTTGTGACGGCACCATCATTTGACTGTAACTATATAAAATAGTAGCATATGTGTTTTATGAAATATGATGTTTCTTCTTTTAGAGTGAATACCTGTGCATCTTTCACGAATCTTTTTTCGGACGAATGGGCAAAGGCATTTTTTAAAAATGAAATAGAAATACGACAGTGAGATGACACAATAGAACTCTTATCTAATTTCAGGTCACATGAGCTCAGGTCCAAGGTGCTCTCCCTCCAGCTCCTGCTCTCCATTCTACAGAATGCAGGCCCTGTATTCAGAGGGAGTGACATGTTCATAGATGCCATCAAGCAGTACCTCTGCGTGGCACTATCTAAGAATGGGGTTTCTGCAGTCCCTGAAGTGTTTGAACTGTCCTTAGCAATATTTCTAACACTTTTGTCTATATTCAAACAGCACTTGAAAATGCAGATTGAGGTGAGTTGATAACATAATATGCAGTTCAGAGTTTTCCTATTTACCATTAAATAATAAAGCACATGTATCACTTATTGCCCATCTACATAATGATGTATAAAATTAGAGAAATCATACAGACTCTATAAAACTCAAAATATGAATAAATGAGTCATAATGTTATTTTTCTTTCAATTGTTTTCTCCCTATGATTTAATTTAACAAACACTTGTGTATATGACAAGGTATTCTTAAATCCCCCTGATCTTCAATCATCATTCTTGTATTTGACTCTGCTCCTTAACCAGCTCTCTTGTAATTTATAGCTTAATATATATCTTTCTAGGTGTTCTTCAAAGAGATATTCCTGTACATCTTAGAAACGCCAACAAGTTCCTTTGAGCACAAGTGGATGGTGATCCAAGCCCTGACTCGCATCACAGCAGATGCCCAGTGTGTAGTGGACATCTACTTGAACTATGACTGTGATATAGCACTAGCCAATATATTTGAGCGCTTGGTAGGGGATCTATCTAAAATAGCACAGGGAAGACATGCCATGGAGCTAGGTATTACGTATATATGTTCCTAGAATTGGTAGCGATGCTTTTATATTATTTATTTTGTATTATTGCTATAGTGGGCAGTTAAGGTAGGGAAGGATTTGTTTTAATGTTGTTATGTTTTGCAGAAAGTGTTGTAATTTTACATTGGCATAATTGTAATTTTACATTGTCATGATTGTAATTTTACATTGCCATAATTGTTGTAATTTTACATTGGCATGTTTCATTATTTGAATGTTGTCATCTTGTTATGTCACCACCACAAGTGGTGACATTGTTATGGTCTCCCAACTTTTTGTGATGTGTCTGACAGTTGGGTGTTTGAGGTTCAGTGATCAGCGTTTGTATCAAATGGCAGGTGGTGACAATTTGCATGTTAATGTCTTGTATTTAAATTGTTCTCGTCCAGAGAGATGAAGGTTAGGGCCTTTCATATGGATGGACACCATTTTCATGTTTCCAGACATGATTTATGTGAGGAAATCCCAGAATACTTGATGTAATGTTTTTATGTTGGTCAGGGAAACTGTACCAACAAGAGGGATTTTTCAGCTCAATTCTGTTCTTGAAAATCACCAGAAAATGCCAATAACTAATAGTCAAACATAAAAAATTATACACAAATCTTGAAAAAATGAAAGCATATGCTAATGCTGAACCCATTCTTTACATTTCATACATTATAATACTAAAAGTGGTTCATGTTGGCTTTTATAAAGATATTTGAATGTATCTAATTTGGAGGTGCTGTTAAGTGACTCACTGACTAAGAAATTAACATAGGAGATTCATGATGATGTTTTCTATTGCAGGTGCTACCCCAAACCAGGAGAAGCAGATGAGGCTAAAGGGACTGGAATGTTTAGTGTCTGTGCTGAAATGTATGGTAGAATGGAGTAAAGATTTATACATCAATCCACACTCTCAGTCTAACCTGGGTAAGTTGTATATATGTGCATTGTATCCTTTACCTGAGTTTTAAGGATGACATTTTTAGTAATGAAGACAGTGGACATGTTAAATGTATGTTTGTACTAGCTATAAGTACTCTAATAGCATTACAGGTATGAGCTACCATTTATCCAATGCTCATATGGGGAAACTGCAATGAAAACCCTAACAAAGTCACTGATAATCATCTGCAATAACGAAAAATAAATATTGGTATAGATTCATATTCTTTCGCATGAATTAATGTAAAATATAGTCAGAAATACTCGACTTGAGAAATGGTGATTGAAAGTAAAATGAATGAATTCTCGCCCACTAGAAAATTGTGGGGAAATTATCCCAGATATTCATCATTTATGTTATAACCGCTGATTGACCGATTAAAATATTTTGTTGATCGATTAAGTAATTTACCATCGGTGCACACTACTAGTACCAGGCGATCACATTACCTCAATATATTTCACATCTCCCTCATTTCTTAAACTGTTGTTTCCTTGTCTATTTAAGGCCAGGAGAACATTCCACAGACCAGAGAAGCCGATTCTGACTCGGGCAAAGGTACAATTACAAGCTATGGGAGTGTGAACTCACTTAGTTCTGGCAACTCCACCACAAATGCATCAACTCCCTCCTTACAGACAGATAATCCTGAACATTTTGAGGTGCTGAAGCAGCAGAAAGAAATAATGGAGAATGGCATTGAAATGTGAGTACATATGTATTGTTGATGTACAATATTGTGTGATTACATGTGATGTATGAATACATGTAGGATATACATGAGCAATATGTGCTAGTACATTTACCTAGTATATATAATATATACAGTATTAGTACATTTACATGTGAGAGCATGTGATACAATGAGTGTGAACAGTATATGAATGCAATATGAAGGTACTAACATACTATACTACAGGGTGTATAAATTAATTGTGCATAGAACTTAGATGTATATATTAACAAATACAATGACTTTGATATACTGATCTTCAAGATGAGCACATGTCAGTTGTTATTCATTATTATGTCTCAAAAGAAAAACTTAATATTTTCAGATCTGATCATAATGTTCACAATGTTTTTTAGGTTTAATAAAAAACCTAAAAAGGGCATAACGTACCTGCAGGAGCAAGGCATGCTGGGAACTACTGCAGAAGATATTGCGGAATTCTTCCACGATGAAGAGAGGCTTGATAAGGTATGTGAACCACTTTTCACAAAATTGGTTAGACTGAATATTAAAGACAAAAATATTTTGATACTGGGTTAATCAAAAGGTTGTCTATCTAGTTTACAATTATTGAGCACACAAACAAATACCTAAACGAGAGGTCAAATTTGCTATGTTGAATATATGAAGTAAACTAAATGGAGTTTAAAATGACTGAACAACTTAAAGTTAAAAAATGTAATACAGTACCTTAAAACTGAAAATGCATTGCACAATTCACTGTCTAGCCAATCAAAATCCGGTTTTTAGGCTGAGTTATAATTAATTGTTTTTGCATGCTGAAACATAACCTTTGCTTTTTTCTTCCAGACAACAATTGGAGATTTCCTCGGTGAAAATGATAAATTTAACAAAGAGACAATGTACCATTACATAGATCAAATTGACTTTAAGGAATTAGATTTTGTATCTGCGGTCAGGACATTTCTAGAAGGATTTAGACTTCCTGGAGAGTCACAAAAAATAGATAGATTGATGGAAAAGTTTGCCTCTAGATACTATGAGTGTAATCCACAGTAAGTAGAAATCATGGAGTTTATTAAAAAGCACTTTAATTTTTAATAGCACTTCAATTTTCATTTACACCTTATATCCCCTCAAAACAAAACAAGATTAAAAAATTCAAATTGTTTACACTTTTTGGCCCCCATTTGCCAGGTAATTTCACACATGTATGTAATGTTGTTTTCGTTTCTATTGAGATGTATACTTACTGAAAAATCTTCCAAATGGATATCAGGTCCATGTTTGATCGTTAAACAAAATAAGAAATTAGGCAGATAGGCCAATTGACAATAACAATTCTTCACTCTTTTTTTCAATCCATGTGAGCTCAGATTCCTTATACTGTGTACTTAAAACATTCCACTTCATTTAGATGTTGCCCTTAGTGCTGTGTGTTCTATTTCAGTGATGGTACATTTGCCAGTGCAGATGCAGCATATGTGTTGGCATTCTCTGTAATTATGTTAGCAACAGACCTTCATAGTAGCTCAGTAAGTATGTAATGCTACAACATTTGTTCAAAATTTCCTTGATTGGTTAAGTAGTTAAGTAGCCACATGAATGATATCCCATTGTCTCCTAATGGAGAAGGCTCTAAATTCAATGCTACTCCCTTAGCCATTTACTTAGTCTCCTTTTATAGATATAGCTTTTAAGGCCAAGAATCAACATAATTCATCAGATACCGAAAAGTGTCTTCTTACAAGGGATTAAATATGGTTTCCCTGCCTTCTTTACTTCTGGTGTTTCAGTCAAAATACCAGGTTGGTCACTATTCAATAGTGTCTGAGAAAAAAATCTCAAAAATTAACTTTTTTTTCAACTTGAAAAAGTATGGTACATGTATATTTTTGGCTACCATAAAGTAAAAAACTTACTTTTGATATCGAATAGATTCAAGTCCAGTAAAGATGAGTGAAGAACAAAATAAGTATCATTTACAATGGGCATTTAGATTTATGCATTTGTGTTTGAATTTGATCACATCACATCAGATAAGTTCAAACTGCATGGATTACTGTACTCCACAACAAGGAGGATTTGCTCCCCGGGTTCCATCGATATTCTGCCATATATGGAGTCATGTCGTGTCTACAAAATTCAAGGTCAAATATCGAGTTGGAACCCTGGTAGCTAATCCTTGATCTGCAATAAAAGGTTCTAAATTTATATTATAGATCAAGAATAAGATGACCAAGGAGCAGTATATCAGAATGAATCGTGGGATCAATGACAGCAAAGACCTTCCTGAGGAGTATTTGTCAGGAATATATGATGAGGTTGCGGAATCAGAAATAAAACTTAAACCAAGTTCATCGGGGAAACCAGGAAAATCAAATACAAGTATGTGATATGAAGATGTGATATGATATGTGATTTTCAGCGTAATACGTTTTGCTGTTCTGTGGTTATAAGACATTGCTGAGAAGTGCTATTATGCGCATTTGGATGTAAAACATACTTTGATGTAAACAAGAGAAAGACCTAATATTTATCGTAATAATAATTGATATTCTCACATGGTCAACTTAAGTACCCTATATAGAAGATATACAGTTATATATTGTTTCTTCTTAATGATGACTTATTATATTGAACAAACTTAAATGCATTTTAATCATTTATTTGGTTTATATATGAAATATAATTAATTTCTCTTTATTCACCATTTGTAGCTGTTACCAGTGAAAAACACAGAAGGATTCTATATAATATGGAAATGGAGTCTATGGCAACTACAGCTAAAGCTTTGATGGAGGGAGTCAGTCATGTACAGTCAAGCTTCACTCTTGCAACCCACCTAGAGCATGTCAGGCCAATGTTTAAGGTATGAACCTTGCGCCATCAATAAGTAGTTTATGATAGAAAAGAGATTGGAAAACATCATGTGGATTTTTTCTTATGAAATATTCATAGATATTGTTGAAGTTAACTTAAAGGGGATTTGATGGATATTGTTGAATCTAACTTAAAGGGGATTTGATGGATTTTGTTGAAGTTAACTTAAAGGGGATTTGATGGATATTGTTGAATCTAACTTAAAGGGGATTTGATGGATTTTGTTGAAGTTAACTTAAAGGGGATTTGATGGATTTTGTTGAAGTTAACTTAAAGGGGGTTTGATGGATATTATTGAAGTTAACTTTAAGGGGATTTGCTGGATTTTGCTGAAGTTAACTTAAAGGGGATTTGATGGATATTGTTGAAGTTAACTTAAAGGGGATTTGATGGATTTTGTTGAAGTTAACTTAAAGGGGGTTTGATGGATATTGTTGAAGTTAACTTAAAGGGGATTTGCTGGATTTTTGGAAGTTTAACTCTAAGGGGATATTGTTGATGTTAACCTTAAGGGAATTTGTACTTTGTGAAATCTCCATGTCCCTTTTCATTGGATGTTGTTGAAGTTAATTTGAAGGGGATTTGTTGTTTCAGATGGCATGGACACCATTCCTGGCAGCTTTCAGTATAGGCCTTCAGGACTGTGACGACCACCAGATAGCATCCCTGTGTCTGGATGGCATTAGATGTGCAATCAGGATTGCATGTATATTTCATATGCAGGTCAGTGATTACAAAATGTTGTGAGATTTTGCCAAAAAAAGCTTAAATAAACCTATGTGTAGTTCAAAAAAATATTATGTGGTTTGTTTTCTAATAGAATCTTTATTAATCTATTATCCATGATAATTATCTTATATTGTAGAAGCATATTACACTAAATTATGACAATTTGGCTAATAGGTGCCTATTTCCAAAAATGGCAGCCATGGCTGTTCGATGGGATTTGCTATGCCTTGATGTTACTGCTGTCTAGTTTCACTATATCAACTCTTGATCATATAGCATAGTGTGGATATAAATGTATTGTATTATCTATTACAGCTTGAGAGAGATGCATATGTTCAGGCTCTAGCTAGGTTCACTCTACTCACTGCAACCTCTCCAATCACAGAAATGAAGTCCAAGAACATTGACTGTATAAAGACCCTCATCTCAGTGGCCCACACTGATGGCAACTACCTGGGCAAGTCTTGGTTAGAGGTAGGGAACTGTACTATAATGAAACCACTATGAATGAGCAATCAATAGTCATAACTTTTCATATCTCCTTGACCAATAAGAATCAAGTATTTTATATTTTTATCAACAAAACTCAATATCAAATAGCAAGGTGTATTATAAGGACTTTAAGACCCACTTTAGACCTACTGCTCAAATTTAATTTGCTGACCAATTGTAATATCTTTCCTTCACACGCTGGAAAATCATCTGATTTTTGAATATGTTAATAACCTGATTAACATAGTTTGCTATCTGATTTTTACAACCTCAATGACAGATGCAACCTTGAAAGAATCTGTGTGTTCCATAATTATGACATGTGCTCATAGTAGCATAGCATTATGAACAAGATTTCATAAGAAATTGAAAAGAATATAAGAAAAAGAAATTGATTAATATCTTTGATTTCAGATACTTAAGTGTATATCTCAATTAGAGCTGGCCCAACTGATAGGTACTGGGGTGAAATCTAGCTACATCAAGGGTGGCAATAAAAATAGTCATTCACCTGGTCATCCTATTGAGTCATTTGACCCAGATGGTATGTCACTTTCTTTTTGAAATTTTAAAAATCAAAGCAATCTTGAGTACCAGGCTATTAGTGTAGTCTTGTAATTCTTAAATGGAAGTTTTTTTAAAAAATTACAATAGAAAATGGATATGATGCAACTGGAGATGATGTTTTGATTCAAAGTGTAATGAATGTGCCTGTCTATGGCCCAATGTCACGAGATATCAATTAATGATTTTCAACCTCTCTTTTTATCCTGTATATATTTATTGCGCTTTATGTAAGGAAAATACATACATGCAATATGTATTATGTTAACTTAAGTAAAACTGGAAAAAAAATGCAGAAGTGATGCATTGACATTATTTCCTCTGACTAAGCAAAATTGCTTATATTCGATTATATTTGCAGCTATAGTGCGTGGTAAACTTGACAGTCGTATGATGGCCAGTATCCAGGAATCTATGGGGGAGACTAGCTCTCAGAGTGTTGTAGTAGCTGTAGATAGAATCTTCACAGGATCAGTCAAACTGGATGGTGAAGCAATAGGTACGAATGGACACTTGATATTATACACTGAAAGGAGCTTGAATATGTTTGAAATAATCAATAGAATTCCTGCTTTCCCCAGGATATGTCTTAGGTCTGAATAGATAAAAACACATTGAATTCTTCATGAAGTACCATCTAGCGAGTACATGATATGATTTGAATGTATATATTTTCAATTTGAAATAAAATTTTATATTTAGGACAGTACATTTAGTTCACATAAAGGTTCCAAGATGTTTATTTGCCATTGTTTAACTGGTTATATATACTGCACAGGGCACATATACCATCATGTAAAAGTGGGTACAGTAAATGCATGATTGTGTAACATACTTACTGTTGTAGTTGAGTTTGTCCGTGCCTTGTGTATGGTCTCCCTGGAGGAGCTGGCCCACAGCAGCCACCCCAGGATGTTCAGCTTACAGAAAATAGTTGAGATATCCTACTACAACATGGGTCGTATCAGGCTTCAGTGGTCTAGGATATGGCAAGTCCTTGGTGAACATTTTAACAAAGTAAGGCCATTGTTACATCTGAACAAACTTAGCTATGTTCCCTCAACAAAGTAAGCCCCTCCCTCTATTTATTTCAACAAAGTAAGCTTCTTCTCTTGTTTTACTTCATCAAAGTAAGCCATTTTCCTTGTTTTATTTCAACTAAATAAATCCCTCTTCTTATTTGACTTCAATGAAGTAAGCAAACAGATCAAAACATATATTTACTGTACTTAAACAATGGGTTATATTTTCTGTTTCAATTTTTGTTTGCTGTTTTTTGGAGTTAACTATAGATGTCCCTTTTTTCAGGTTGGCTGCAACCCCAGTGAGGACATCGCATTCTTTGCTGTAGACAGCCTGAGGCAGCTCTCAATGAAGTTCCTGGAGAAGGGAGAATTCGCAAACTTCCGTTTCCAGAAAGACTTCTTAAGACCATTTGAACATATAGTCAAGAAAAATAGGTTGGTAGAATTTATGTTCGCATCAGACAATTCAACTGTTATCAATTCTGCCAATTTGAAAAAAAATTGTACTGCTACCAAATCAGCATTTTCTTTGGTAAAGAAAAATTCAGAAATCATCAAAGGAGCACATAGGTTATCGCAAACAATTTCAAACGATTCTAACTTGAATTATGAATATTTTCTGATCATGAATATGGGTGTATCTTTTAGATCCATTCATTATCTTCAAGAAAAGTATATATAATGATAATTTAGATAATCAGACCTGAGTGATATTGAAGGTGCAATGGACTAATCAACATACTTTTTCAAAAATGTTGACCTAATTTTCACCAAAAAATGCAACCTTTTATTATATTGTTGAATGCATAATTAGAATGTGCTTTGAGACATGTTCGATTTCTTAAAAGGAAAAGTTGATTGCTCCAGGGACTTTAAAGATACTGTACTGAATTTGGATGACCAAAATGAACTGAAACCAATGGATAGCATGAGATTTTTCAATGGAGAAATAACATGGGGAACACTTTATCTTAAAGCAATTAAGTTTTTCTTTCAAGAACTATTTGATACATCAAAATAAAGAATATTAATGCATTAAAAATTGTAAAAAATGATTGCATTTTTGGTGAAAATGGGGTTAACATCTTTGAAAACATGTGTTGATGGGTTGATTGCTAGTTAAATATCTCAGAGTTTGTTTGACTTTATTATTACTGTATATAATTTTCTTTGAGATAATGAATTGATCTGAAAGATAAACCTGTTAGTCCCCGATCTGATTTCCAAAAGGGCTCTAGAAAATGGGTTTTGTTGTCCGGTACTTTCCCACATAAAATGATTGTACAGTTTGAAAGAACAAACTTCCCTCTTAAAGAAAACACCTCTTCTATTGATGTAAACAGGGGCAAAAGGCACCAAAACGGGGTTAGACAAGGTGGCATTCTGAAGTCTCACTTTCTTGTCATCACGATTCCAGGTAAACCATTTGACGGATTTACTTCAAATTTTCACACATGTTACATGGTAAGAAGTTCTAGAGCTGATTAACTTTGCGGCGGCCATCTTGCATGCTGGCGGCCATCTTGGAATTTTTTTCAGATAAATATTGTCATCGCGATTCCACAAAAAACCACATAACAGATGTACTTCACATGTTCACACATGTAACATGGTAAAAAGTCCTAGACCTCATTATTTTTTCAGTGGCCATCTTGCATTCTGGCAGCCATCTTGGAAGTTTAAAGATAAATCTTGTCATCACGATTTCAGGAAAACCAAACGAATTTACTTCAAATTTTCACACATATTACATGGTAAGAAGCTCCAGAGCTAATTAACCTTTTGGTGGCCATCTTGCATTCTGGCGGCCATCTTGGAAGTTTTTTTGGATAAATCTTGTCATTGTGATTCCAGGAAAACCACTTTACTGATTTTCTTGAAACTTTTACACATGTTACAAGGAAGGTTACATGCTACCTTTTATATTGATATAAACAGGGGCAAAAGGCAGTAAAGTGGGGTTACACAAGGTGGTATTCTAAGGAGAATGTTATCTATTTTTCTGTATTTTAAACCACATAATTTGACATAAATGCATATTTGGTGTAAGATATCATGTTTTATATTGATAGAAACATGGGCAGGAGGCGCTACAATGGGGTAACACATGGTGATATTCTAAAATACATATTTTTACTCTGCTTCTGTACTTTATACCACTTAAATGCATTTTGTGTATGACATCGATTGATTTTTAGAATAAATAACTACATTTTATCAAAAAGAAAAAAGATTATTGAAAACGTCAAACATTTCTTTGAAATCCATTATTGCACAGTGATTTTCGAGAGCGAAATGTATGCTAAATTGGCCTTGATCTGAGTATATAACGGAATTAAAGCTCTTTTAAACGAAAATGCAAATGTGTGGAAAACCTTTCATCATGTCAACGAAATGTTCTTCATGCAGTTGAATTATCTTCTGGACAGGTGATCACACAGAAGGAGAGACCTGCGTATCATATCCTTACTAAATATAAACAAAAATGACAAATGAGAAAGGAAAAAACAACAACCTAGTGGGAAAAGCAAACTGTAAAGTGTAAAACTGGCAAACAAAAATCAAGCCTGAATATCCCAAGACAATAATCTAATATGGGAATAAACAGCATCCACATTCCACACCGTTCAATGACCAATTCCTCATCAACGACCACAACTCCGAGGGACATTCCATTCATACTGAAGTCATTAAAATACATGTTGAAGAAAAATTGAAAATAATGATATCCAATACTCATAAGATCAAAATAGTTGTAAGATACTATAGTACTAACGAGCTGGTTCAGAGCACCAGCATGTCAAACTATGTGAATGGGCTCTGTATCCACAATGTTGCGAGTTCGAGACACATGTGCTCTTTGCGTTTAATAATCAACAAAAATCACTTAAACCTGCACTAAAACTGTGTGTCAGATCGATATAAGTATAGGGTTTGGAAACTAATTGTACCAACAAAAAGAACTTGAAAACACTGCTACAATATCAACATAAGCTTTCAATAGTAGTGACGATGCAGAAACATGCAATATGTCACCACACCTTGTTAAGACATTAACTACTGAACAGTGTCAAGATAAACGTTCGAAGCTATTACAATATGTCACCCAATCACTAGTGGTGGTCACATAAAAATAATGTATAGAAAAATCTACTGAACCAAAATAAACTTTGTGAGAGAAGAACTGATTGTTTACTCTAAGTTTTCAACTCAATATATTTATAATAAGCAATGTTTTATCGAAAAGAAAAAATAATTTCATGTTATATAAAATCAAATAAATTAATTATATTTTTTTTCGTTGTGTTAATTACAACAGTAATAATAAACCTGTTTATAAAGTGGTGTTAACTAGACTATATAATATAACAGTCATAAAAGTAATAATAAACCTGTTTATAAAGTGGTCTTAACAAGACTATAGAATTTAACAGTCATAAAACCTAAAAAAATATACCAGGAAGGGACCATTGTGAATGTAAATGTATAAAGCACGGATGCCATAGGAAACGGAACAAAAGTTATAACTGAACCTAGCATGGAGAAAGTGTAACTGGTAAATTGTAATAAAAATAGTATAGATCATGATCTAACATGACATAGTATGCCTTACAACTCATCCTCCCTAACATTATTAAAGACTACTAAAGTATATTATAGTGATCCACTCGATTATGCTGGTTACCTAAACGGTTTGTTTAGGTAACAAAATGTGGGAACATCGAAGGTATGATTTTTCCTTTTTCCTTTCACACTTTGTAGGCAGAATTCCCACGACATTTTTTCTCACAAACGTGTATCAGTATCATATGTTTAAGAAAATGTGCATATTTGCAAACAAATAGTTCAGAAGACAACATAATCGTACATTTAATTCCTCACTTAAGTTACATAAACGGTATTTCGAAAAAAACAGTTCAGATCTGCACTTTTAACCCAAACCTTTATGTAACTTAAGTATGGAATTAAATCCACGTTTCTGTCGTCTTCTGAGCTATTTTTCGCAAACATGTTCATTTTCTAAGACATATGATACTGATTCACGTTTGTGAGAAAAACGTCGAAAGGATTCTGCCTACAACACATGAAATAAGGAATAAGGACAAATCGTACCTGTAATCGAGCGGATCACCAGTGTATATACAGGGTGAGATAATTCATATTATGGCATCAACTTTGACAAGTTGGTTCATCCAGTTGTCAGGTAAGAGATTTTCAGGTAATTAATTTTCTTCCTGATCTTCAACGTTTGGTGTAATGATGTCATCAACTGGTTCAAATTCATTGTCGCTCTCATCAACATCATCGTGCTGATGGGTTGGACAGTTCTCACAAACACCTTTGCGGCACTTACATGAACTTCCACAAACGAGATCCTGTTTCTTACAACTACATCTCATTGAGTCACACGCTCCTTTACAACTACAAGCAACAAGCTCCATTATTTCTTGTGGGGCAGGACTGTTTTCCATCCACTTAATTTGTAGTTTATTCCCTTTGAATGTCCAACCATGTAATGTGGGGGATTGATAATCAATCATTGGTTTGCCTGCATTTCGCCAAATATAGGCCTGATAGTTGGCTCTATTTATATGGAGAATGAGAGCATCCTTTGTTGGTGGTAAATGCTTTGACTGTATTTTATATTTATCTACAAACTTCCAAGATGGCTGCCAGAATGCAAGATGGCTATCGGAAAGTTAATCAGCTCTATAACTTCTTACCATGTAACATGTGTGAAAATTTGAAGTAAAACTGTTACGTAGTTTTCATGGAATCGTGATGACAAGATTTCTCTAAAAACTTCCAAGATGGCCGACGGAATGCAACATGGCCACCGAAAAGTTAGTCAGCTCTCGAAGTTCATACCATGTAACATGTGTGAAAATTCGAAGTAAAACTGTGAAGTGGTTTTTCTGGAATCTTGATTACAAGATTTATCTATAAACATTCCAAAATGGCCGCCAGAATGCAAGATGGCCACTGAAAAGTTAATCAGCTTTAGAACTTCATACCATGTAAAATGTGTGAAAATTTGAAGTTGATCTGTTGGGTTGTTTTCCTGGAATCAAGATGACAAGATTTATCCCAAAATTTCCAAGATGGCTGCCAGAATGCAAGATGGCTGCCAAAAAGTTATTCACCTCTATATTTTCTTACCGTGTAACATGTGTGGAAATTTGAAGTAAATCCGTTTGGATTTCCTGAAATCGTGATGACAAGATTTATCTTAAAACTTCCAAGATGGCTGCCAGAATGCAAGATGGCCACCGAAAAAATAATGAGGTCTAGGACTTTTTACCATGTAACATGTGTGAACATTTGAAGTAGCCTACATCTGTTGTGTGGTTTTTGTGGAATCGCGATGACAATATTTATCTGAAAATAATTCCAAGATGGCCGCCAGAATGCAAGATGGCCGCCGCAAAGTTAATCAGCTCTAGAACTTCTTACCATGTAACATTTGTGAAAACTTGAAGTAAATCCGTCTGATGGTTTACCTGGAATCGTGATGACAAGAAAGTGAGACTTCATAATGCCACCTTGTCCAACCCCCGTTTTGGTGCCTTTTGCCCCTGTTTACATCAATAGAAGAGGTGTTTTCTTTAAGAGGGAAGTCTGTTCTTTCAAACGGTACAATCATTTTATGTGGGAAAGTACCGGACAACAAAACTTTTTTTCAGAGGGTCCAGATCAGGGACTATGTCTTCATCGTCAAAAATAGTCATAATCCAAGATATAACCTTCTGAAAATGTTTGCGATAACCTACGTGCTCCTTTTCTTCAGTTAAGATTTACACTGAAGAACTGCTACCCTGTTAGTGTGTCCATTAACTATTTTTATTTAAAGGCTTACATATGTCAGTTATAAGTAAGTATGTTCATTTTGATCTTTAGGTCCCCTACCATTCGCGATATGGTGGTACGTTGTGTTGCTCAGATGGTACATTCGCAGGCAGGGAACATCCGCTCTGGATGGAAAAACATCTTTAGTGTGTTCCATTTAGCAGCCTCAGACAATGATGAAGGCATCGTTGAACTAGCTTTCCAAACAACTGGAAAAATTACAAGTAAGTCGAACAATTTTCTCAATAACTTTTAAAATAATCTTAATGTGGTTTGTATACAAATAGCTAAAGCTAAGAAGAAGTTCAAGATGTTAAACAATGGTGATGGTAAGAAAGCATAAAAGGCAGTGTAAACCAAAATAAGGATACAAGAAATTTCATATACTTGTTTCATATGTAAGAACATATTTACCAAAACTATCTAATACTCTAGTACTACTACTATGCACTTTTCATGTAAGTAATTGTTGATCACCACCAGAAGTGGTGACATTGTTATAGTCCAGCGTCTGGCTTTCGGTATCTATAACACATTTTGCATGTAACTCCCTAATTATTTATTTCTTTATTTTCAGCTACCATTTTTGACAAGTATTTCACATCAACAATAGATTCATTCCAAGATGCAGTAAAGTGTCTCTCTGAGTTTGCATGTAATGCAGCGTTCCCAGACACAAGTATGGAAGCCATCAGGCTAATCAGAAACTGCGCTAAATATGTGGCAGAAAGACCCCAGGTTTGTGCGATATAATCTATAGTGCTATATTTGGATTTGTCTACTTTTTAGCCTTATTTGGTAATGCCTCACTTGTGGTAGTGCTTTGATATATCTGTTGTGAAAAGAAGCACAATTTGTAAATTCAATAGGCATGTGGAACTTAATTTTTGAGTGATGGTTATGAGTCTATGGGTCAGATAATGCAAAAAGAAATCTTTTAGAAATTGTATCTTATACCTATACATATAACCATGAACTTCAGCTCAAAATCTAATGATTTCAGATGTTCAAAGAGCACGGTGGGGATGACTTGAATGTACCTGAAGAAGACAGAGTCTGGGTGAGGGGATGGTTCCCTGTATTGTTTGAACTCTCGTGTGTCATCAACAGATGTAAACTGGATGTACGCACAAGGTAAGATCAGAAGAAATACATGTAATCAGCATGTATGTGTGATCAACATCAAACAACAGTAAATGAACAATATTGAGTAATATAAATCTTCAATTTTTAATTTAGAACTTTTGCATTCATAAATATGATAGCATGACAATATATATAATATGTGAAGATAAGCTGATGGAGTTTCATGGTTTAACTTCTTGAGGCTCAAAAAGACAAATAGACGGAGACAAACTAGCTTCATGGAATGCACTACTTATGAGTATAGATAAGGCCACTACACTAGATATTTGACTGGTCTGAAAATGATAATATTTCAAAGCTTATCTATGGGTAAACTTCTTGGTGAAAACATTTGACTTAAAATTGTGTTGACCTAATGCCCCATATGTTGTGTTTTCATTTCAGGGGTCTGACTGTGATGTTTGAAATCATGAAAACATATGGTGACACATATGCACAGAACTGGTGGCGCGACCTATTCAGGATTATATTCCGAATATTTGACAACATGAAACTTCCCGAACAACAGCATGAGGTAGCTGGGGCAGTAAGTCGGATTATGGAGACAGATGTACATGTGGTATGCTTATGTTGGGTCATTGGTGTCTCATAACTCTTTGTGTCAATATTTATTTCCAGTTTGATTTGATTATTACTCGGTAATTGTTTTCCTGACTTCTTACCTTTTTGTTGTATCTCAACTATGTTTGTTTCAATCTGTCATTTATATAACTTTAACTTGATTAGGAAAGTTTAGAAGCAATTCTTTCCTTCGAAGATCTTTAAAAAAATTATACAGTAAAATTATTATAAGATCAGTAATATGTTTTATTTTCAAATTGACTGTTAATTCTGATTTGGTAACCAATGGCCTGTGTGTGTGTGCATGTGTAGATGTTGATGTACTCTGATTGTAGCCATATATCCACTTACATTCTATACTATATCTATATACATTTCCAGAACCATTGGCTAAACTTATTTCCAAATATGACAAACATTCCAAACATTTTATAATGAGATTAGAAAACGTTCAGCATATTTCAAATTTCACCTTTTAAGTTTAGCCCTTGGATTCAATTGTATAATCAGGATTGATATTGTAATCTAACTGACAGTGTATATACTTACAATACTTACATTCATAGTTATTGAATTGTAGTTTTAGTGCTACTTTTGTGTACAAAAGTCATATAGAAAACAAGCCAAATGTAGACAATACATAGCTATTAATGGCTTGTTACTTTGTACAAAATGACATTTGCATGAGCTTTAAGGTAGACCAAATTGAATGATTTGTCAGACTAATGCAGTAAAACACTTAGGGTGAACAGGCTCATGGCCAGGTTTGAGTGAACCTTAAAGCCTTAAGCCAAAATTTTGTTGTGGCAATTATCCTGCCTCCTTGTACAGGACACAACACTCATAACTTAATGTACATGTATCGTTGCTTGTAGCTATCGTCCTATCAATGTTGTTGTGTATGCATGCTGCAACCATTTTCCACAAACACTGAATAATCAACTTAATACTTGTTTGTAATTTTAGAAAACTGAGTGGATGACCACCACATGTAACCATGCCCTCTATGCAATAGTAGATGTTTTCACACAGTTCTATGAGATACTGCAGCCAATATTACTGAAAGAGCTTTATGATCAACTACAATGGTGTGTAAAACAAGGTAGGAATATTTGAGTTATAGGGGTGTTCCTCAAGTAATATCATTAAAGTTTATCATTTGCATACTGTACAGTTGAAAATCTGAAAATTACCCCTCCCCACTCTCATGTGCTTATCTGAAAAAGTATTTGCATTAATTTTTTAGAGAATCATAAAGAATTTGAATAATTTAACCAGTGTCATATCATAATAGGAATTTTACCCCCAGTTAAAAGAAATCTAAGATCACCGTGGAGAGAATAATGATGGGTACAATCATTACAACTTTAAAAAATACTGTATTTTCATCTTTTGACACTGTTACTTATTTCTAACAATTGGTTTATTGCAGACAATGAGCAGTTAGCCAGGTCAGGGACTAACTGTTTAGAGAACCTTGTGATCTCAAATGGCATGAAATATTCCAATGAAGTATGGAATAGAACCTGCCAGTGTATGCTGGACATATTCAAATCAACCATTCCAACAAGGTGAGGATCAATTAGAATGAAAATATGGGTAGTTTGTAATACAAGTATATACAGTGTAGAAATGGGAGCCCATTAATAGGCCATAGTGGAAGCACTGAAAATTTTCATTTCTTTGTCAGATTGATATAATGTTCATGTATTTCATTTAATCAAAGAAATTATGATTTTATATAATGCATGTTACACCTCCTTCATTACATTTGCAATAATTATTTTTTATAAGTGGTCTCCCCAGCATTAAACCAAGTGGGCGCAGCACCCACCTGAGATTTTGAAAAAAACAGCCAACTGAAAATCCATTTGTACCCACTTGAAAATGAGAAAAATCATTAAAAATAGGCATATTTTGACCAATTTTGGCCTGAAATGAGAATTTTGCACCCACTTGAGAAAAAGTCCTGGGGAGATCACTGAAAACAGAGGTGCAAAGCAAAAGAATGAAAACTTTTGTTTCTTAGCTGTGACATTTACCTTTATATTATAGTCTGCTAACCTGGAGGCCTGAACTAAAGGAATCTGGGGACACGATTCACACACCACGAACTCGTCATCTCTCAGATACGGAGGGTGCAACTGATGATCATGTAAGCTATATTTGTATTACAGAAAACAACAAGGATTTAATTTAATGACTTTTTTCTTTAGTTTTTAAGTTACACAGAAGACATTGCAGTATCTCATGAGGTAGTTTCACATTTTGTACTCTGATTTTTTTTCATTATACTAAGTTTTTCCAGGAAAGCGATAAGGAAGTAAAAAGTAAAAACAAAAAAGAGTGTCATTATTTATGGATCTTAGATTAAATAAGGCAGTTGGGTCTGGTTAATTTCTTAGGTTCAGGTTGTTTGGGTCAAGCTAGGTTGAGAAGTAACGGTCTGTACATTGGGGAGTATGTACAAATATTTCTGTATAGATTAGAAAAATAAGAGTCATTAGTTACAAAATCCTGGCTACACCAGTGTTTCATTAGGAGACTCCTGAAATGGTTTGAAATATGATGAATATTATCAATATAAGTTGGTTGTGATATTGCAGCTCCATAAACAAGGGTTTACCTGGAAATTGTTAGGATGAACCCAAAAGGATTAGGGAAAAACTCATATGTTCTCCCAAAAGATATTTAATAGTCTTTGTGTTTTTGTCAGCCCAAATTATCACATTACTTGTATAACTTATAGGTTTAGTAACACATTCTATTGTTGTCAATATTCAGTTTGAATTATAAAGTTAATATTATTGTCATGTTCGTTTTAAAATCCCTGTCCAACTTCCTGATTATTTAGAACTTGCGTTTATTTTTAAGTTATGAGTTAAGCTCAAGTAGGAAGTAGGAAGTAGGAAGGACCTCTCACTAATTGCATTTTCTGTAGACTTTGTATTTACTGTATAAGGACTGTATTTCAAAATTCCTGCCCAACTTCCTGATTTTTTTTAACTTGTTGGGTTTCTTTTTACATTATGAAATAAGTTGAAGTAGGAATTAGAAGAAACTAGAGAAATATTTACTCACAGGAAGAGATTCAAATTAAGAGAGAGATCTATAGAATAAAACGTTGTCATTAAAGCAAGTGCTGCACCAACTTGCTTTAATGCTGGGGAGATCACTGGATACTGTACATGTAAGGACCATCACATGATATCCTTTTTATCATTTTAATAAAGATGTTGGTTTTCTTTGTATTTTTATTATGTAATGTCAATAACTTAATAAATAGAAAATATCAAGCAACAGTTATGAGGTAGTGTTTATCAGTCCTTTGTCAGGTTTTAGGTATCAACCTTTCATTTTTGATAAGCTCTGTCTTTTAGCTTGACTCGAGAGTCATTCATTTTAGAGAGGTATTTGGATAAACAGGTTTCACTGTATTCATTTGAAACATTGTCGCTTTGATCTGTAGCCCCAATGAGCGTCATCATATTTGTACTTCGCAAAGCATTTCGCTGCATCCTCGTCACATTTACAAATTTTGTAATCGCAAGAGCCCTTCTTGTCCCCTGAAAAATAAAGCCAAGTTTAGACTAGTTGTCATACACAATAGGCTAAAATGATGGAATCGTCAGATGTTAGGATAATGTGAACTGTTATTTTTTTCATCAAATTGTGTTATCACATTCAGGAGAAATTGTAATAAATAATTTGGGAAATGTCATTTCAACATTTTAACGAAATATCCACATAAAATTTTGAAAAATACTACCCATTTCATGCAAATAACATGAGAATATTTATCATGTTGCTCTACTTAAATCTTGCATCAAGCCATATACATGTTACCCCTGCTTCATTCATTGTCAAAGTTTCCCTTTTGGACACTGATTGTGGCAGAACCCAGTAAACTATAGGCAATTTAAGAAGTAAATTGAACTTACAACACCGGTTCCAGAATCTGCTATAAAAGTTCCATTTTGGACTACATTTTTTTATACGATCATAACATTTATCATGTGCCTTACAGCACTCATCTATTTCATCTACGGTTTTTCCTTTGCCCCCAAGCCCACACCAGCATCCGTAGTTTATGTAGTCAAAGCAGCTGCGTTCTGTATAATGTGATACCATCCCACAGAATTGTAGCAGGTTTGCATTAGTTTCCATGTACAGGAGTGTAATTGTAAGGAATGCTAGCATCAGAGCCTATAGGAAAGAAATTGAAACATATTTTAGTATGAGACACCAGAAGAAAACATAGGAGACTTGCACTAGTTTCAATACACAGGAACTGTTGAAAAGCTAGCAACAGAACCTATGGAGGAGAATTTGAAACACCTATTTTAGCATGAGACACCAATGTATTACACAGATCTAGAATATTTATGCAAGTTTTCTATCAGTTTCAAAAAGGAGAATCCCAATGTGGCAGAAATTATTAAAATGTTTTAGGAAATCTTTTAAAAGCATACCAGAGTTTCCCTTACAATCCATATCCAAAGAATTAAGTTACTGTAATTAATCAAATACTTGTATAGAATTAACTGAAGATTTAAAATTTCATTTTTCACAACTATTGCCATGTAAGCATGATAAAAAATCAATGTTCCTGAAATATATAACTGGTGGACTTTTTTTTAGAAAATAGTCATTGTCTAATTGAAAGCCCATGTTTCATAATTTTGTTCTTTTACCTAATGCACTACGTTTTTTCATGAATTGAATATCAGTTTTTATATGTTCCTTAACTTACCTTTTTCATGTTTGTATCCTTTGGTCTCAGTCAAATCTTTGAAGCGTCTACTTGTCATTTAATCTTAATTATCTGTACTGTCTGTAGTGTATTCATTTTATATGCTGGGCATTTTCCTAGCAATAGAGTAAACTTGTCTCTTCCTGGTTGGATGGTTCTAGGATTTCATTGTTAATTTTTAGCTGTGTCCATTTACTTGGAATTCAGTGATATTTTATAGTTGCTGGTTGGTTGGAGTCATGTACAAACCAAGAACTGACTTGTAAACACTTAAAAGAGACATGTCAAAAGGATGTGATTGCTTTTTACATCATGGAGTATATTTAAAAAAGAATAAATGACAAGCCTCAAAACACTAATTTCCCCCTCCCTCTCTCTCCCCATGTGTTTTGAAACTGGAAATCCTCATTGAATAGTAGTACATAAATCTACTGGATAAACATCCTGTTAATGTTTGACTCTTCCTCAATTACAATTGGTTAGAAAATGGCAGATGTAAAAATAGATTTTCACAGTTATCACACATACGACAAGTTTTGTTACATGATTCAAAGGGAAACTTCCAATTGTCTTATTTTTGAAGGGAAGTGTAACCTTAGTGTAACCTTAGGTAATAAAATTGTTTACACAGTCAAAGATTTAAGTCAAACTCACTGTCAACACTATCCTAAAAATACCATGTGCAATAAAAGTGCTTTTAGTCCATTTTAGTGTTGATATTATGTTGTTCTACACTGTTTTCGTGACTGGCCTAAGGACTTGTGTTGTTGTTTTTTGATAACTCAAATTCAAAATGGCTACTTTATTTTAAAAAACATATGTTTTGATTATAAATTACCAATTGTTAGATTTGGTTCAGATTTTATGTGCCAATATCTTATTGGCATAGGACTATGGTTAAGAAGAAATGCTGAATTCAGAATTGCCTCAAATAACGCAAGTTTAATACCAGAATTAGTGTAAATTTTGTATAAGACCTCTGCTTAAGAAAGAATTTAATATATGGCACCATGTCACATCATGGGTGTCAGTTTTGCCAAAAGAAGACAATTCTATGCTACTACTTCCTGGAAAGACAATTCTACAACTTCCTGGTTATTATTTCTATCTTGTAATGTCCAGAATGCCTAGGGATTTAATAAAATATGTTTTGTTTGGTGGGATTTTCAATTCCCCGGAGTCACTGGTTATCCAAGCTATGAACCCCCTTCAACATACACTGCCATTATGTTATAACATTCCTGTGTTTCAGGACAACAAATCTTTGTCATCTTTGGACAACCATTCTGGTGAGATGAAAGGCAATTTAAAGAGAGGAGACAGTGTGCACAGTATTAACAGTACAGCTTCTGTAGACTCTAGGGGAGAGCATAAGATACCTAGAACAAGTAAGAATTACTTTATTCTTTACAGGGGTCCGTTTCCCATAAAAGCCAGCCATGATTGTGCTTATTTGTCTAATTAAATATTGATTGTCATACATATTATATCATGAAATACAGAAAGTTTGGATTCAAGAATTTTCCTTGACCCCAAAAGGTACATTTTATTTTTTGTCCAGTATTAAATTATGAAAAGCCGAATGGGAATAGCCTTTATGAAAGAAATCCATAATTTGTGTTGTTCCCATGTCAGTATTATACCATGCAACTTTATCTTTCCCTCCACTCCCATAGATATACATGTATACATGTATGTAGGTAATCGTTGTTATTGAAACCAGTTGAGTGTTCAAAATCCATTAACACTTTCACTTCAGAGGTTCCACCTGAGCAGAAGCTGTTCCAATCTTTATTGATCAAGTGTGTGGTCCAGCTAGAACTTATACAAACCATAGATGACATTGTATTCTTCCCTACCACCAGTAAGAAGGAAGATGCTGAGAATCTGGCAGCTGCTAAGGTACCTTATTGTATCTAATACATTCATTTAATGAGAACAATTAACAGAAGTTGTCCAGGGCCCTACTAAGGAAGGTTTTGTTCAGTACTTTATCATTCATTCTATACGTTTCAAAATATTCTATAAAATGAGCAAATGCCCTAGTACGAAATGATGCCTCTTGCTGAGTGAATGTGACCATTAATCTAGTGTTTTCATATTCACCAGAACACGGGATATTCATATGCACATGAACAAATTGTTTTTATATGCACCAGAATGAGTGATTTTCAAATACACCAAAATAAAACAAATGATTTACATATGCACCAGAACAGGTGATTTTCAAATGCACCAGATCAAGTGATTTTCAAACACCCCAAAACAAGTGATTTTCATATGCACCAGATCAAGTGATTTTTCAAACACCCCAAAACAAGTGATTTTCCTATGCACCAGAACAAGTGATGTTCATGTGCACTAATAAGCATGTTATTATCTGTTAAACATATTATTTATCTGTTTTACAGGGGGATGATGTAAATGACTCTAGTCAGCAGATAGAGGACCATGGCATGTACCAATATTTGGCCTCTAACCAACTGTTCTTGCTATTAGACTGTCTCTTAGAATCACACAAGTTTGCCAGAGCTTTCAACTCAAACCATGAACAGAGAAATGTACTATGGAAAGCCGGTTGGTTGAAACTTAATCGCATTTGCATTGTTGACCTAAATTGGATATGTTTAATATAATATTTCAGAAGCACATATTCGACACTAATGTTGAAAAACCTTGGCAATAGCTAAGTGCACATTACTGAATCTTTTTACAGTATATTAAATGAATTCATAGCAAAAAAGTAACACAATTGAAATCAAACAAGGTATCATTTATTGAGCTGTGTAGACACCAAATAAAAGCTGGTGTGAAGTCTTGATATTTTTTTCTGTATTTAGCTGTATTTATTTCACCATAATTTCACATAATTAAACCTCACACTCCTCCATCTGCTCACCCATTAGAGGCATGAGGGATATGATCACTATTACCATGCAGCACTATTTAAAAGGGATAATATACAGAGCATGTGTGCTGTCTTATTACAGGTTTCAAAGGCAAGGCAAAGCCCAACCTTCTAAAGCAAGAGACTCAGAGTCTGGCCTGCTCATTACGAATCCTGTTCCGCATGTATACTGATGATAGACGGATAGACGCCTGGCCACAAGTGCAATCTAGACTTATTACGTGAGTTATTTATCTTCAGGTGAAGATGGAAAACCATGTTTTTATTAACAATCAGTGTTAAATAACATTGAATATAATCTCTCTAAAAACAGTAGATCTGATTACCTGATTTAAAGAGCAAGCTCTTACTTAAATAACTGCAAGTCAGCCAAGTTCTGTAAACCATTCATCTTTCATAATATGCTTAATAGGTAAATGCCCCCTCTTTTGCAGTGTTTGTCGAGAGGCATTAGAATATTTTCTGTCCCTGCAGTCAGACAGTCATAGAGAGGCATGGAGCAGTCTCTTGTTGCTCTTTCTAACCAAGGTCCTCAAGATGAATGAAGAAAGGGTGAGCCATGGTTTACATTATAGTGTCTTCATTTCATTATTCATAATATGACACTAGTTATCCATTGAATGTGGCATATGTCTTATCTTTTCATTTCATAAATCCGATCTCCTAAGATTTTAAAATTTTCTTATTGATTTTTAAGAAATTATCGACTCATGGTAGGCCCATGGAATCAGCTTTTCCCCCATGTGCACTCACAATTTTTTTATGGTAAATCTTAATTTTGTAATGACTCAATCAAATCATATATTTCTTTCATATTATAGGTGTATTCATCATTCCAAAAACCTAGTTCAAATTCTTGTACTAAAAATCAAAACTCGCGCTTTTATGCTGCTCGGGTGTGTACTTACAAATCAACTCTGACTCCTTGATGTAATTTGTATGTAAGGTCTTAATAACGTGTTATTGTATTTCCAGTTCCGTGCCCATGCTGCAGTCTACTACCCCTTCCTCTGTGATATACTCATGTTTGACTTGAAATCAGAACTCAGATCAGTAGTTAGGAAATTTTTCACTCGTATAGGACCTTCATTTGGAATCGTCAAATCAAGCTAATATTTATTATGACTACCAGAAGGTAAAGGAATATAAAACCAAATCACATGGATACTGGAGGACTTCAATCGATACTACCATATAAGTCAGTTATCTGCTTTTTGGGGCTAGCTGATACAAACTGGTTCTAAAGATGCCCTGAGACAATATGTACTTCCAATAGGATTATTTTAGTCATACTAATATACAATGTACATGTACAATGTTTACAGAACTCTGGAATAATCAGTGGCATTGAACCGAATGACACGATAAATGGATGTATTCAGAAACACAAGGTGAATTCTTTGGATAGACCATATATCAACTGGTGTACAAATCATAAAAATGCATATATTGTACCAGAAATGCACATTACATGTACAGTGCATACAGAAATGCACAAATGATTTCCAGAATTACCTGTGTGTAATAAATGAGGATGTATTGAAAATACATGATGCTACCAAAGTACTCTAATAGCGCTGTTTACTGTCCTTGCACATTTTAGGCTTATGAACAGTATGTCCAAGTTTTGACTAGGGAGAATATAGTTGGCTGTGAATGTGTCCATCATCAGTGTATGAATTGGTGTAAAACTGTAAATATCACATTGCTGCATGCATGATGTTATATTATATAATTATTTAATCTGAAGATCTTTCAAAGCTCTCGACAGAACAGAATATTGAAATTATTTTCCTTACGTTCTTTGATGAGCCACTTGTCTATTTCATATAGTCCTACAATATTTAATTTTACAAGTCTTCAATTCTTGTAATACATGTACTATTTGAACTTTATATTGAATTTGAAAATCAAGTACACTGTATGTTTAAGTGTACTGTATATTTTAAACTGTCAGCCAGTTTTCACTGAAACTCTGAATAGCAGTCTTGTGTCAGATGTAGGAACTCAACTCAAAACATTGAAGATGTTAAATAGTGGCAAAAGGATGGGACATGTAGCTTCATGTATCTTATGACTCTCATCATTTTATATTGAGAATATGGTAACATATATTTTTAAAAGGAAAATGTAGTGCTCCACTGTTCATTGGTTCAATCTTCGCTATGGTTCATGTACCATTTTACTATTTTTCACATGGCTTATAGCGTCATAGGGGTATGTGTTGTTTTGTCAAATGTTGCCCTTTGTGCTTGCTCAATTTGTTCTCTATTTTGGCAAGAGTACATAAAAATGATGTATTGAATTGTTTTCTCATCTGGATACAAATAGACCCTTAGAAAAGTTCACTTGACAATGTCCAATAGTCAATAGTGATAGTTAATCTTTTAATATAGTGAATCCAATACCTGAGTTCAGATGTTATAAATGTCATACACATTAACAAAATTTGCTGTTTTTTGTAAAATGTGTTGAGCAATGTTGTTATACTTGAGTAGTAGTAAATTATATTTATTTCTTGTATACAGATATTTAATATACATGATGATCGAAATCGAATGGATAACATTTGTTAAGTTGTTATAATACAGTGATCTGATAGATAGATATCATTTGTAAATGCAGTAGCTATATATTGTGTATATAATGAAGGATGGTGGATTTTAAATCAGTTTTGAGGGACTTAATAAAACGATAAAATATTACAATAAATGATGTGTTTTGTTTTAAATATATATAGATTTAACACTCTATGGTGACTGGAAACTGGAAACATGGAATGAGAAAATTATCTATAATTCTTACCCTGGATAACCATTTAATAATTCGCTGTGATAGGATAAAATGGTGGCCATTTTGAAAAATGGCTGCCTTCTTCCAAAAGTGTCATAAGACAGTGTGCCATGCTTACTATCTAGTATTCACATACCAAATATGAACAAAATCGCTTCGCTACTTTTCGGCCATTTTTCGATCAATATACTTGAACATCATTCTTTATTTTGGAATATGAAATGAATATGATGACATTCTAAACTTTATAGAATCACCAGAACAAACTGACAAATCGTTATTTAACTCAAAATTATTATCAAAAAGCAGATTAATATATCATATCAAATATTATTTGCACTGTAGTGTGTATCAAAAAACAATTAATAAATTTTAACACCACAAAAACATTCATGACTGCGTTATCTTTTCAACAATATGTCATTTAGGGAGCATCTCAAAAGTACAATGTTGGATTGCTTACTGTATTTGAACAGTTAATCTATGACCCCCTCCCCCTCATAACCGTTTTTGAGAAATGTTGATATGCATTATTTCCTTGGTCACACTAAATTAAACATAATATATAATGCAGTCAATTTTTGTAATTATTCAATGTCAACTTTTAAGGTTGATGACCCCTCCCCCAAACTGCAAGTACAGTTAATTTTCTGACACTGATCCTTTGAAATGCTCCCATACTCACATGTGGTCATTGTTGGCTGAATTTGTCAGTGTGAACATGGACCCATAGTGAACAGAGCCCCCCCCCCCATGTTATCTATAGGTTACAATACAAGGAGAACATGCGTGCATGGGTCTCTATCCTTGATTATAGAGGTATATTAGTGGCATAATTGCAGCTCTAGGCCTTTGATATATCTGAGATTTTAGCCTACAATACTTATCAGACCCGGGGAAGTTTTGCTGAGCATCTTTCGTCTCGTGTAATCCGTACTGCGCATGCGCAATATGTAAACACTTCCGCTTTGAAAATCCTACAATATTTTTGTTTTATTTTTTGAAATATCTCAAATGCTGAGCAATTGATAGAGGTGAGTATTTATTATTTCAGTAATCGAGCCATTCAGCACCGCCTAGCTGAAAAAACTAGCGCGAAACAACGAATAATATGCGTATTCACAGAAAGTTGTATCAAGTTCTATTTATATTGGCCGTGCCTGGAGAGCCTTAAAATTTAAGGCTCTCTAGCCAAAATGCTAAAGAGCCTTAAATTTTAAGGTTCTTTAGCATTTTGGCTAAAGAGCCTTAAATTTTAAGGCTCTTTAGCATTTTGATAGCCAATTCTGCTAAAGAGCTTAAGGAATTCCAGGCGACAGAAATGACGAAATATTGCTTCTGGGACAAGATCAAACGACTTTGACATATTCTATACCCAACCTATTTTGTAATTTAACAATCAGCACAAATATACATGCCATACATACATATTAGCAGATATCCGACAAATTCAAAGAGAAAAAATTTTTGATCGATAAAATCACTGATTATTAAACCGGAAGTGTCTTCTCTGAGGTCCGCGAAGATGAAGAAGATAACATATAAAGATTTCAGTCATTTCAACTAACTTTGCCGTCGATTTGATTTATATGGTTTTAAATGATCTTCTAATGCTTACTATGACTTCTATTAGTACTGTTTTGACTTCCCCACATTATCACTTTTTGCTCGACTCATAAATTTACTTCCGGTCTACCGAGACAAATAAAAGAATGTTTTCAATCCTCAGTCTAAATTTGGCTTTTTAAAGGTTCAAACATCGATTTTGAAAAGTAAATGTTTGTTTGTTTGATGTTCATGCATATATCGAAAATATATGTCTCTGGTTCACCAGAGAAGGTGTAAGACCAGGCAATCACGTATAACCAGAAAAATGTTATTTTTATCATTTTATCCACTATAAATCGCAACTTCCGTTTAGTAAAGATTTTGATGTATAGACATTTATTGATGGATTGGAGGCTAGGATAAAAATGTTGCTGTTGTGTTGCATAAGCCGCTGTTTCCTCGACAGTTCACCTCTTGTACTGTAAATTTTCTTTGTGCTCTCTCATGTGCTTAAATCTCACTTGTGAGGAAATTATTATGCAAAAATATACGAAGTGTCTGGAGTACCTTAAAATTTAAGGCTCTTTAGCCAAAATGCTAAAGAGCCTTAAAATTTAAGGCTATTTAGCTGTGAACATAGTGTTTTGGCTAGAGAGCCTTTGTGTTTATAATCCGTGTTTATATTGTTTTTTATTGAAGTTTTCGTCATCTAAACAATAAAACAACACTCTCGAAAGTTTTTCAACCCAGAATGCCACTTAAAAATTTCACACATGTATATCACTATAGAGTTGCAAAAAAATCAGAGCCATCATAGAAAAACAATCTGGTATAGTGGTTAGGGTGCTCGCTTTCCACTTCTGCGGCGTGGGTTCGATTCCCCGATGGAGCACTTTTTATTTTGAATAAAAAGCCGGAAGTTTTTGCCATCTTAAAATGGGATTCCCTGTATTCTCGTGACTATAGCAAAGCCAATACAAGTGATTAATTTCATTAAACATTGATGATTGAGCGATGGAGCAAGCCCAAGAATTCTAGAAAAAATTGTGTACATAATTTCCAGACCTCAGAGAACAAACTTCCGGCTTGTTATTCAAAATAAAATGTGCTCCGTCGGGGAACCGAACCCACGCCGCAGAAGTGGAAAGCGAGCACCCTATCCACTATACCAGAGTGTTCTACAGTGGTACGAATAATGTTTTTGCAACTATATAGTGATATACATGTGTGAAATTTTTAAGTGGCATTCTGGGATGAAAAACTTTCGAGAGTGTTGTTTTATTGTTTAGATGACGAAAACTTCAATAAAAAACAATATAAACACGGATTATAAACACAAAGGCTCTCTAGCCAAAACAGTATGTTCACAGCTAAATAGCCTTAAATTTTAAGGCTCTTTAGCATTTTGGCTAAAGAGCCTTAAATTTTAAGGTACTCCAGACACTTCGATTTATATTTGGTTTTGAATGATAGATATCTAGGCTACTGATAGTGTTTGCTCGTGTAACAGGTCTGTCAACTCAACTGTCCTGCAATTTGTGTATTTTAAAAAAAAAAATTTAAAATGCCGATTGTGCATTTCTGAAAAATATGAGACAAATCATACCTCATTCAAATTGTTTACCTTTCTGATCACTCCTAATGAACGGTATTCAAGCGATCCTGCCTGACAAAATATGTCATGGAAATTCAGGCCTGTCAACTTGGGAACACCTTACATGAGTGACTTAGAACTGTTGAACACCTTCCTTCAATTTGTGGACACCTTGATGAAAGTCACAGAGTTCCGTTTTAACCTCCAGTCAGTTTAACTAGAGTCCATTTCACTGCTTCATTTCGTCAGTAGAACGGCAAAAATAAGAAATTATGAGACCATTGTGCAATAATATATGGAAAAGTATATTCATAATGTACATGAGTGACATTTGTATATTTCAGATTTTTTAGTTTTTTGTGCAATAAGCCTGTGCCGTCTTGTAATTTGAAGAATTTCAGCCATGTTAATCTTATTGAAAATAACATGGCAGAGAAACATCCAAATATAAGAGGCCACACACTTTATAAGCCAAACTAGAAGCAATCCAAGATATACAAATGTCATTCATGTACATTATGAATATACTTTTCCATATATTATTGCACAATGGTCTCCCAATTTCTTATTTTTGCCATTCTACTGACGAAATGAAGCAGTGAAATGGACTCTAGTTCCACATATCATTTACATGACGGGGAACACAATACAAAATGGTCAGAATGACCCTGAAGCCTGAACATGATGAAATAACCTTTTCAGCCCTCTGAAAATGTGACAGAAAATAGCTAAAAGTAGGTGCTCAGGAAAGGTCACTGAACAGAATCTTTTGATTTTTTCAGAAAATGTATCCATATATATATATATTAGACTTAGTTTTGTCATGGGCTTTGCCAATGATTTTGTCTACCATGAAGCATTAAAGCACAATATAAAAAACAGGTCAACTGCAGTCTGATTTGATGCCAAACCCATATTCTAGGTATTCCTCTTTCCAAGTTGATCGCCAGTCATTTCTGCAAGTAATTCCATGCTTTAGTTGATAAAAGTAAACTAGTTCATCTTATCCGCAAGATTGTGGAGAATATCTTTCAAAAATGATCTCTATGTAAGTTGACCTAGAAAAGCAAACAGCTTTAAAATCTGTGTTTTATGTTCATTAATAAAACCTAGAAAATAAGGAAGCAAAAGACCATACTGATGTAATATATTATGGAAAAAAATATTCATATTATCTCTGAAGTGATAATGTAAAATATATTTCAGAAAATGATTCAAAAGAAATACTTCCACTCATATTTGACATATTATATTTTGCATTTATTGTTATTTTGAATTTTTGCGGATCCCTCAAAAAATTTCATTAACCAAATACAAGTTACCTGCAAGCACTTGTGACCCCCACTACATACCTCTACATACATCCTCCGATCACAGGGCTTCAAAATCCAGAATATATTCTTTTTTTACCCCCTGCGATAAGCAGTTACCATTTCCCCGATTAAGAACTTGCAATCTGATTGGCTGTCGCAACACTGCAACAGATATCATGTATAAGTCATTGCACATAATTAGATCACGTGATTCAGTTAAATCGGGCACTTCCAAATTGGTTATAGCAGGGGGAGGAAGGAGATACGGATTCTGGACACCTGCTTAGGAGGATGCTCTACATACAGTATGATCTATTTATAATCTCAATGTTCTGTATTTTCAGATATCCCTTAAAATGGAATGTCTCATTTATTCAAAGAACTATTCCAATGAGCTACTTGCAGCTCTTAACCAATTGCGACAGGAGAAGGTTCTCTGTGACGTTACATTAATCAGTGAAGATCAGCATACATTCCATGTGCACGGGTGCATTCTATCTGCTAATAGTCCATTTTTCTGGAACTACCTCAAAGAACAAGGATCATCTCATATCGAGTTATCAAACTTGAATAGCAAAGAACTAGAATTATTTTTAACAGTGCTTTACAGTGGTGTTCTTGATGTAAAAGAATGTGATAAAACTGAAGCATATGTTACCCACCTAAAAGCACTTGCAATTGCACTGGAGCTCAAACCTGTCATTGAACTTTGTGAGGAATATATACAGTCCATCAAAGCTAAGACAACTGCTAATGATACCTTTGTAGGTATTAACTCACAATATGCTAAAATCAATTATCAAATAACTCCTAGCTCTGATAATAACAAAGATGACTCTCAAACAAATGACATTACTGAAACAAACAAAATACAAAGCTCTATCAAAGGAAAGGGAAAACGTGGAAGGCCTAGAAAAGTGAAAAGTAGCGAGGCTGATTATTTGCCATCAAATCAACCTAAGAAAATGGTTGATGAGGCTGAAATACCCCAAGAGTCATCCACAACTAACACTGGGAGACCAAAGAGAAAGGCAACTCTCAAAAGATACTCTAGATTTGAAGGTAGATATAAGATATTATCAACCTAGGTAAACGATTTAAGGGATTCAGTTGAAATTCTGAAGGATAAAACTTGGTAGAGTATTTTTTGATTATGGTATGGTAATTGTTCCCAGACTCTCACATTCTCTTATCATAGATGTCCAAAAAGTTATCTCAATTGAGTTTGCTACGATCACTAAGATTGGTGGCAATATTAACAATAAGCATTTTTCAAAAGAATAATAACTTCTTTTAATGCAAATATTGGTTATTGGAGTGGTCCAAATAATTTTTATAGCCTAATACGTTATGAGCCTTTATTCAAAAAGGAATTTATCATATGGCGTCACGTCACATCATGGGTGAAGATTTCAGCAAAATGTGACAATACTTCTACCTCATGTGATGTTCAAAATGATGAGTGCTTTGATAAAATATGTTCTGTTCAGTGGGATTTGCCACTCTGGGAGTTGCTGTTTCCTTAGTTTATCCTAAAGCACTATCAATTATCAATGAAAATTAAAAAAGACATTGACTTATTCTTTGTGTATTTCTTGCAGATAATGCCAATGAAGATGATGAGGCTATTGAGAATCCTGGTGTTGCTTCTTCTAAGCTATCTGATAATGCCCTTCCTATCAAGAAACGAAAAGAACGAATGGTGTCTTGCCACAATGACGCAGCTTTTATGGCGATAAGTGAAACTGGAGAATCAGTCACAGACTCATTTAACATGGTACTCACAAAACTTCTTGCACTGGAAAATGATAAACAAGATGTTGTTCAGGATGATAACATTTATGATGACACGGATGCTAACCCTTTGCTGAAATTAAATGTTCAGAAAACATTTGAAGAGGTGAAACAACGTTTGGAAAAAAAGAAAAAAGAAAATGCATCCAAGAAACGAGCTGTCAAACCTCTTTCAAAGCGTGAGGCAAATGATGAACAATTAAAAGACTGGAAATCCTGTACATACTGCTCAAAATTTAAAGGGAAAAAGCGAGGTCGTTTTGAGTTTCATACTCTCTACTGCCACTCGACTCATAAATGTACTCACTGCTTCAAACCATTCTTGAATGAGGCTGATCTCAATTCCCATCAATGTTCTAAGATGGTTCAACATATGTGTGATATATGTGGCAAGACTGTTGGCAACAAACAATCACTTCAGCTACATAAAGAAGTCCACAAGGGAATAAAAAAGAAAATGTGTCCACATTGTGGAAAGTATTTCGCGCGGGCATGCCAGTTAAAACAGCATGTTGTGCATAGACATAGCAGCGATCGTCCTTTCCATTGTAAATTCTGTGACGCAAAATTTCCTTTGAAATATGAACTCAATCGCCACATGCAGCGACACACCGACACGCCACAATTTCTCTGTCCAACATGTGGCAGCAAATTTTTTGAAAAAGTAAAACTGAATAACCATGTGAAATATTGCCAGGATGACAGTGAAAACAACATGAAGTCCACTGTTGAATTACCTCAACGCTATGAGATACAGTTCACTAATGATGGTACCCTAACGGCAGTAGAAACTGATCTTGCGTGTGATCGTGATTATTCCTTCCTACAACGCCCATTAGAGATTCAAATCGTTGATCCAGAGGGTATTGAAAAAGATATGGATGATCTACCATGTGTTGAACAATTACACAATCAGATCCAGCAAGTCATGCAACAGAATGCACTTGAGGAACTCTCTGAGCCCATAGAGAACACTGTAGAAGTAGTCTCAGCAGTAGAGAATATTATACACAATGCTGCCTTACATGAAGGCCAAACAGTGGGCCAAGTGAAATCAGACGAGGAATATGCTCTACCTAATTATATGTATGCTGTCTATCAGCAGTAGCTCAATTGGAGTGATATAGAGTGGACGTTTACAATTTATGTGTGTTTTATACGATATAATTTTACAAATATGATACTATAAAATTGAGTTATAGAGCACATCAGGATTCATTAAATGTAAGACTGTAAATAGAGGGGATAACAAAACTCAAAAGATCCAGGATTTCTCATCAAAAACTCATTAGTAAGACAAGTTGCATTATATACTGCTTTAAACATGAGGCTAAATGTGACATGTTCAGGTTAGCACATTTTAATGATGGGTTGACCTGATTAAATCATTTTCACACAATGCAAAATTTTTTGAACAATTTTATTAAAAGCAGTTATTTATGTCTGGGTCTTTCTCATTTGACATAAATAAATCCCATGAAAAATGTTTTATCTGTAGGATGTGTGCTGTAGGAAGTTATATTTATTTGTGTAAACATGTCTGATTTATTATATTTTGAATTATTTAATTACAGCATGTTTAAGTACCCAGGCCCGTAGTCAGCTTTTTTTGTCAAGGGACTGTGTCATTTTTCAAGGGGGTTCACATTTGACAAGTTTGGCCCAAAATCACTTAAAAAGTGCTCGGAAATGTGAGAAACTGTATGATTTTGGAAGAATTTTTTGGAGGGGGGAGTTTGCATGCATCCCCTGAACCCCCTCTGGCTACGGGCATGGTACCCTTTGTATTTGTTGGACTTCTTAAAGGAGAGCTTTGTCTATAGACTCTCCGCTCAGGGTGATGTCTGACAAAAAATGAGCTGTAATCTTGATTTCAAGGTTGGTTTTATCTGTTAATATCAGGGAATGTATTTATATTTAAGAAAATTCTTGTAGCGATGAAAATAATTGTAGTCATTGGTTATGGCTGTACAACACAATGAAATAATCTATGCTGTGAAAAAGTGTAAATATACATTTGAAAATGTAATTTATAATGAATTATTTCAAATCACTATTTTTGTTGATACATCATCATAGCAAGTGTTGTTATGGTCTCCATTTTCTGTGACGGCGGTTGGCATCTGTAACAAATTCTTACAAATTCCAATAACTTGACAAATACTGTTTTGACTGACTTTTATTCTTTCAAAATCTACAAGTTTTCAGAAGTTCAAATCTGACTCTAGATTTGAGATTTATGTAAAATGTAAAAAGGGTAAAAAAGGTATTTTTCAACTTGCTTCAAATTGACCAAATTGATTTTTTTCAAAATCATCTACAAGTTCTCAAAAGTTCAAATCTGACTATAGATTTGAAATTTGACCTTCGATGTCCTCCTCAAGGTCAAAGAAGATTTGACCTTCAATGACATTCTCAAGGTCAAAAAAGGTCTGTTTTCAACTTGCTTCAAATTAACCTTTTTTTTAAATCATCTACATGTTCTCAGAATTTCAAATATGACTTTAGATTTAAGATTTGACCTTCAATTACCTTCTCAAGGTAAAAAAAAGTTTTAAAAGGTCAAAAAGGTATTTTCTCAACTTTTTTCAAATTTACCAATTTTTTCAAAATCATCTTTAAGTTCTCAGAATGTCAAATCTGACTATAGATTTAAGATTTGACCTTCAATGTAAAAAGGGTAAAAAAGCTTCAATGACCTGCTCGAGGTAAAAAAAACGTTTAGAAGGTCTTTTCTCAACTTGCTTCAAATTGAGAAAAGAAAGTTCTCAAAAGTTCAGATGTGACTAAAGATTTGAGATTTGACCTTCAATGACCTTCTCAAGGTTAAAAAAAGATTCATCATATTGTGGGCAAGGTGGTGACATTTTATTATGTAAATGCCTTGAAATATATTATCCCATCTAGTGGCCACTCACAATTACGAAACTAGTATAGTGTGGCACTGAGGGCTCAGATGTTTTTGGGAGATCATAGCTTTGAATTTCCATTATTTCACTCTACTATACCTAACCCCTAGAAATGCATAAGATACTCTGTTTGTCCAATTGTATTGTTTATATATTATTGAAAGTACCTTATTAACATCTAACGTTATCCAATAAACCATTAATAAGGAACAGACAAATAAAAACAAATAACATAATCATTACCAATAAGCCAAAAGGGTTGCTCATGAACAACCAATGCAAGGTATAGTAGAGTGTTTTTATGTCACCAACACAAATGATGACATATTGTTAGGATCTCCAACTTTTTATGGATGATGGTTGGTGTTTGGCAGTTGGTGTTTGGCATTCAGTGGTCAGTGTCTGTAACAAATGTCAGGTGGTGACATTTTTCATGTTAACGACTTGTATTACTGTATTTAAGGGGAATTACAATAACTGTTTCAGTGATAATAACTTGAATTGGTCATTTTTAATGTAATTTTTCAAAACTGAAGAATTACTGAAAAAATATATTTAAAAATTGAAAGATTACTGAAGAAATCCAAAACATTTCAATTACTAGTTTTGGAATATAATACTTTTGGTGATAATCTTTGAAGTTACAAGTTAACAAAAGTTACAAGTGAGGAAATTCAGATTTCTCTACATGACAAATAGTTTGTAAGAATGGGATTGTTTTCAGTCAAAGTTAAGAGAGGCAGTTAATCTCAATGTATCTTCACTGGTGATCCACTCGATTACGCTGGTTACCAAAACGGTTCGTTTTGGTAACAAAATGTCGGAACATCCGGAAGGTACGATTTTCTCGTTTCCTTATTTTACACGTTGTAGGCAGAATTACCACGACATTTTCTAACACAAACGTGTATCAGTATACAAATAGTGACTGCCATTGAGGGCAATAGTGTAAATTATTTCCCCGGGGGAATATCCTCTACAATGTACTATTCCCGAAGCCGCAGGCTGAGGGAATAGTACATTGTAGAGGATATTCCCAAGGGGAAATCATTTACACTATTGCTCGAAATTAGGCAGTCACTATTTGTTTTATTATATACCCTATACTGACTCTTGTCCCGTTTCCTCTGCAAAGGCCAAAAAGGCTTAGAAAGCCCCCTCCCCGGGTCCATTGTTAGCATTATAAGCTGTGACGTCATCAGATGCTCAACAGAAATTTTTGCCTCTGAGACTCTCACTTGACAAATTCAATCGCGTTTAACACGCGGAATAGATTATCATAACACTTGAAATTACACAGACGTATTGAGCTTAGGGAACTTTATACACGTTGCTTATACTGTATCGTTCACGCACGTCTGTCATGGTGAACGGAGTTGATTTGTGTTTGTGCTCATCCTCCATTTTTCTGTTTTTCGTCTGCGCAGTGATGATGCGCAGACGTTTCTAAGGGTCATAGAAGTTGCAATCGTGACGTCAGCGGGCAATAGTTCAAATGTATATTCCCGCTGACGTCACATTTGAGGGAATATAACTTTCCGAGGGAAATAGTAAATCTATTTCGGAACACGTGACTAGGTATTGACCAATCAGGATTAGTGTTACATATTGGGTATATAATAATATCATATGTTTAAGAAATTGTACATATTTGCGAACAAATAGTTCAGAAGACAACAGAATCGTCGATTTACTTCCTCACTTAAGTTACATAAACGGTTTGTGTTAAAAGTGCAGATCTTAACTGTTTTTCGAAAAACCGTTTATGTAACTTAAGTGAGGAAGTAAATCGACGATTCTGTTGTCCTCTGAGCTATTTTTTCGCAAACATGTACATTTTCTAAAACATATGATACTGCTGCACATTGTGAGAAAAAACGTCGTAGGGATTCTCCCTACAACGTGTGAAATAAGGAAAAAAGAAAAATCGTGCCTTCGACGTTCCGACATTTTGTTACCAAAACGGTTCGTTTTGGTAACCAGCGTAATCGAGTGGATCACCAGTGGTATCTTGCTTCCCACCTTTCACTTTGTCAACATGAATCAATGGGATTCAGGACTCATATAGATGGCAGTTCACTCATTTTCACTAGTGGGTTGTCTTTCAAGTCTGTTCTGGTGTTTACATCTTGCCATATATAACTTCAGATATGCTATAATCGAAGTATATTGATTTTTCTGATCATAGTTCTTTACTTACATGTTTAATGATTGGCCATATTAAGAGTGAGTTATCAGGTCTCATTATTTAAAATCCTCCAAGCACAGGACTTCAGATATCATCCACTCTGCCCCCTCCCCCCTTTCCCTTGAGCTCTGTGTTCAGAGGGTAGACATATCTTCAAGATTTTTTAAGTGTTTTTTATACATGTATGTCAATACAGACAGTTAAACTCAATGTATTCTTTGACTTTTATCGTTAATCCTCAAAGACATTGTCAGTAAGTAGCACACAATCAGGGGCTACCTGGTGAGGTTATCAATGTTGTGTACATAATGTAGTAGTTTTATTTAGATTTAAGATATCACATTTATATGATCTATGATGTAAAGGGGGTCTGTCAAGGGTCCTCGCATTTCTTACTGCACGCATTATTGCAGCTCTTATAATGTATACCTCATATTTTATAGAGGCCTTATTTAGATTTTGAAGGGGAAGTTGTAAATTCTCATTCTCATTACATATACATACTATTATAGTTTCATAAGCCATATACTTTAAATGCATTTTCTCCCTTATCCCTTATCTCAGTGAACCCGTCATACTCTCATATAACAGAAATGTGTATATACTAGTTGATTACCAAACATTTGGTTTCGAAACTACTTTATACAGAGGTGATGATTTAACAAGAATGCTAAATGAGAGAATAATTAAGGATGAAAATAATTCAATTCAGCTGTTGATATACACTAACTATTTAGTAATAAGATAACAAAAATAGTAATTGGATATCCTTACATAGAGGTAAGTTGTTATATATATCTTAGGATGAAAATCTGAAATTTGCACTCATTATGACATCCTCCGAATGCAGTGCACTATACATCAACTGCATTCCTTCTTGGAAGAAGGAGGTATGAGATCTGGAGGCCTCTGTTTGGAGAATCTCATTATGAATTTTTTTTAGAATCTCAAAATTGGACATGATAACATTTCAGGCAATATCGATATACATGTACATGCAGACTTGTGGTTCTATTTTGTCAACTAAGCATTTATAGGCCTAATGATGAATGTACTTTCATGCACGTGAACTCTTGATGACTTGTGTTCTGATATAAATGCATATATGTCAATAGTATCTTACATTTTCGGTAATTTATGATCAAGAGGTTAACAGATCTATTTTAAAGTCCTACTTGGAGTAATACACATAGAGGGTAAGAATTTGCTAGTAATAATTGTTAAGTTCTTTAAAGGGGCAGTTAATGCTGAGAAGTAATTTGCCTGAATATCAGACCCATAGCTGGGGGTGTCCAAACTCACCCTCACCGGCCAAAAAAATCTTTCAAAATCGTGCACTTTTTCACCATTTTGAGCACTTTTCAAGTGATTTTTCGCCCTGGGATTTTTCAAAACTGGCTTAGGGCCTGAACCTAAGGTAATGGCTCTTTTATTAATCCATGTAACCAATCCTTTGATTAAAAAAATTTTCTTTCCAACAACCAGGCCACAAACAGGTTTGATGCACAGAAAAAGGGATTCGGACAATAGTAGCATTTTCAAGATTATCTAATACTTGTTTGTTCTAGTTCAGTGTGCAAGTGAAATATATTTTTAAATTCAGAGATCTTATCATACATTTTGTTGATACTGTACTGTAGGTTTCAATTTATTCCAGACAGAATGACTGAAATTGAAAACAAATCAACAGAAGAAACATTGGAACATTGTGCCATGCATGGAACAAAGACCAACATGACTCAGAGGGAGCCTCCAGAACCACCAAACAAAGTCCTCAAAATTCAGCAGAATCTCAGAACGTTTTATGTGAACAACAGAAATTTCATTTTGCAAATGATAAAGATTCTCCTTGTCTTAGCATATGCTGGATATTTTGGCTATGCAATGTATTTGGATTTTCAAAAGAACATCGCTCTGTTTGTTCTCACAATATGTGTTATAGTGCTGTGGATGTATGAAGTCTTGAAAACAAAGTATGGGGCCCAAGTGCAAGATGGAATTGGAATAAAACTGGAAACTCTTCTTCAAAAAGTGTCGCCATATCATAGATGGTATGTAATATAGACTAATTAATGTCACAAAAGGTAATCAGTTAAGCTGGTTGTCTTATATAGATTTTTTGTTCTCTACAGGGTGACACAAAAAATGTAACTAACTGTTATTGTCTGTAATGAAGAAATCTTATTACATTTGCCCGTGCAGATATAGTGTGGGAAACAGTGATGTAAAATTGCATGTACTAATAATCTTTACCTCATTTTGTCAAAGAACCCTGATTTTTAGAACACCTCAATTTTGATTATTTCTTTCAATTTGGCAGTTATATTTTTTAATAATTAATAAAATTAAGAAATTTGATTACACTACAACTCTGTTATATGTGTTATTTATGACTTTTAGGGTGCTCTACTTTATACTATTAGTTGGGTTTATTGTATTCCTGGTGGTTGATATGAGAGAGCGACCCAATCAGTTGATATCTCTAGCAGGCCTATTCCTGTGCATCGTGGTTGCCTTCCTGCTATCAAACAACAAGGCAAAGATCCTATGGAGACAAGTCATTGCAGGTCAGTATAGAAAATATAAGATAATATATACAGCAGAATCTGTTAAGTGGAACACCTCTGTTAGTGGAACACCTGTGTTAGTAGAACACCTCTGTTAAGTGAAACACCTGTAAGTGGAACACCTCTGTTAGTGGAATACCTCTGTTAGTGGAACACCTCTGTTAGTGGAACACCTCTGTAAGTGGAACACCTCTGTTAGTGGAACGCCTCTGTTAGTGGAACACCTCTGTTAGCTGAACACCTCTGTTAACTGAACACTTTTCCCAAGACCAAGTGACTTAATGTTAAATGAACCTCTATAAGTGGAACACCTTTCAAGTGGAACACTTTAAGAGGAACCAAAGGTGTTTCACTTCACAGGATTAACAGAACATGTAAATGCAGCAATATTCTCAATTCTTCTTACTGTCTTGCAAACATAAGATGCTTTGAAAGATTATTAATGACCTGGAATACTGTTCAAGATAGGTTGGATACTTGTCTCTATGTAACACATTACCAAATATTACAATCTCTAAAGTATTAGAATCCAAAATAATTTTTGACAAATAAGAAAGATTCTCGGCTACTACTAAGCCCAATTTTGCATACTTATGAGGTTCATAAACCACTAAAATCAATCATCCTTCATTTGTATTCAGGTCTTGCTATGCAGTTCATATTTGGGCTAATTATCTTGCGTTGGAACTACGGTCTCATTGCATTGAGATGGGTAGGCCAACAGGTGGCGTTATTTATATCATATACTGATGCTGGAGCGCGGTTTGTCTTTGGTGAGAAGTTTAGAGATCATTCAATGGCTTTCCAGGTAAAGTATAGAAATATGAGTTAAACTTTGGTATTGGTAATGGAACATCACCATTTTGGCAAATGGAACTTCCCATTGGATAGCATGTTAAATACCTTGCCCAGAGGGGGAGAAACACCAGGGTTCAAAGATGACATACGCTTATAATGTAAATCTGAATTGAGATGACATCGTCGCTGATTGGTCAAAAGTCGACAAACAAATTACGTCATCGATGGCAGTTTCAAAATTTTTGAAATACGCTTCGAATAATATTATGTTCATTTCTGGCGTGTTAACCAATATCATAGCTTCTCATTTCACATCAAGATAAGGAAAGGTGTACGGAATATGCCTTTGTCAATTAAAACATCCCATCGAGGTGTAATATTTGATAACTAGCCGATGAAAATTCGAACGAACGAAGGTGGTAGAGAGGTAATTATGTTTTTTATCTTAAAACTCTGGGGCTTTCCCTCCTCTTTACCATGCCCATATTCGAATTTTGTTTCACAATAACAATAGGGCGGAAAATTTGAAGTTGTCAATTTTGCAAGGCAAAAGCTCTATCACATTGCCCAAAAGTGGATTTCCAGTTACCAAACTATGCAGGGGGATTACATCTGTAACTTGCAACCTTAAAAATGTAATGTATAGCACAGCTTGACATCTGAATGTGAACATCTGAATAAAAGCGTTTCTTTATATAGATTCAGGGTTTTATTTAGGGAGCAATGGAAGAATGGAATACACAGTTCAGAAATCCTTTTTGTTTCTAGAAAAATGTGTTATTTCTTTTATTATTCCTTCAATGCCTCTGGAAATATATAATTTATTAATTTCAGTCTATGCCAGCTACAATATTCTTCGGTGCTGTGATTGCTCTTCTCTTTTACTTTGGTGCCATACAGTTTGCTATAGTGAAGATTGGCTGGTTGATACAGAGTGTGATGGGCACTGGGACAGTGGAGTCATATGTGGCTGCAGCTAACATATTCTTTAGTCCAGTAATTATCATTCAACTATATCTTTAAGAATTGTCCCTGAGTGGCTTCCTAGTCAACTCGTACCCAAGACAACTCGTACCCAAGACAACTCGTACCCAAGACAACTCGTACCCAAGGTTATTTTCAGTATTACGGGTGCATATTAGGGAAAAAATTGAGTTTGTAATGCTTTCATGTTATAATGTGGATAAAATAAGCCTCAATATTTTTTTGAATTTACACGACATTTTTTCTCAATGGATCAGTAAAGCATTTTTTATGAAATTAATGAAGTGCTTGTTCTCAACATTTTTTTGTCAAACATATATATAAATAAATATAATTACAACATTAGATCTGACACTTGTTCCAAACACTCATAAACATACAATATTTTGAAAAATGATTATGAATATGTGGAATAAACATATGTCTCTTCACTCGAACATCCTGAATCTGTGACCAATATAAAATAATAGTCAATATAAATTGACACTCAGCTCAAAATGTCACAAAATTAAATCAATTTCTTCTGAAAATTCTTCTTCAAACTTGAAACTATTCTGAAAAGTATGTTACAATTATAATATGTATATCTATTCACAATCCCAGTCCAATGCTTGATTCAAAACAAAATATATACTTGGGTACAAGTTGTCTTGGGTACGACTTGTCTTGGGTACGAGTTGACCAGTTACCCCTGAGTGTACAGTACAATAGAAAAGCTAAATACCTATTAAAAAGTAAAGCCCCAAAACTCTGGGGTCACCCAATGTGTGGATTCAAACCTCTAACTCCTAAAAATTATTTTTACAAATATGTTCCTCAAACTAGAACAAGGTATTTTCATTTACATGACAAAATGTCACCACCTAGTTGCACAAAATTAGTTACAATCTGTAACAACAGTATGTTATATATGGTAACTGGCAACTGCTCAGTGCTGAATACTGGTCACAAAAGTGGAAGCCATAACAATATGTATCCACTTATTGGTGATGACATAGAAATCAAAACTTGCACATTATTTATTAGACTATGTTACACAGCTTTGATATTTTTAGAAAAGAAAGTTATACCATAACCTTACTAGAGCTTCAAAGTTGTTACAACTTTTTGGGAGTCATCTAGAGGTTAAACCACTTTTAATACAATATATCATACTATTATTGTAATGTCTACTTCAAATTACAAATATTTCTTGTCTATTATTAGAAACAAATCCTCAATGTCATTGTTACCTGATACTAATAATTGCACATTTTAGACAGAATCTGTAGTCACAGTCGGCCGCATATTGAAGGACCTCACTTCATCAGAAATCAGTGCCATCTTTACCTGTGGTCTAGCAACTATTGCTGGGGCAGTTATGGCTCTGTATATAACATTTGGGGTAGGACATTTGCTCAAGATCAAATAATAGTTCAATATTAACTTAAAGTGTATCAATCAAAAAATGACATGATAAGGGCAACATGATACACCACAACAGTTCACAGCAATACGAGGGTCATTCAATGAATACTAATACAAAAGTTATTGTTTTCACAGTAATACGAGAGTCATTCAATGAATACTAATACACATGTTATTGTTTTTATTTCCATGTTTATGTTGGAATTGAAATTAGATTTTAGAGGTTAAATCCAATATATATGTCTAAATACTTAATATGTGTTTGTAAACTTTGATCAAAGATTATAATTGTTATATTTGTTAGGTGTCTGCCAGCCACTTGGTGTCCGCCAGTGTGATGTCTGCCCCTGCAGCTTTGGCCATCTCAAAGATCATCCACCCTGAGACAGACAAATCGAAATTTGCAAGAGTTGAGGACATAACGTTTGAAAAATCGTATGCTTTTATCAATATTTTAATTTGAACAATGCAGTTTATTAAAGAGCCTGGGTTAAGGTAGAACAAGAAGAATAAGTAATTATGTAAATTTGCATACAAAGTTGCTCAGAGTTATCCATTCCCTTCCCACCTTAATGAAACGTCATAAATGATCAGATTCCTGAAATACATTGATAAAATGCTTTCTTTGATTTGATTTGAAATATAGTATTCAATCTTGGTAACACAAAAAACTGGTCTTCCTGGAGGCCAAGTGATAATTGTTAAAACTATGAGACAAAAGTCTTCAAATTGAATAGGAAGGAGTAAATAAATTTGAAAAATTCAAATGAAAAGCAAATCATCATAATATGTTATATAAAGGAGGGAGTTAAACCATTATGATAACTTCATTTTCCCAGAGTATCAATCTTAAAACATAACATTTATTCAACAGGAATGACACAAATGCTATTGAAGCTTTCTCCAATGGTGCCTCTGCAATGGTGAAGGTAGTTGCCTTTGTACTGGTAAACATGATTGGCTTCATTGCTGGCCTACAGTTTCTCAACATGACAGTCACCTGGTTTGGAGAGAGAGTTGGTGTAGAAAATCTCACACTCCAGGTGAGATTTTGAGAGTTTAAAATTGAAGATAATGAAACAGTGTAGAGGGGCGTGTAACTACAACACCAAGAAAAAAAGAAAGCGTTGTTTTGAATATTGCATAAAATATATTAATGGTAAGGGTTTACTATTTGATTTAAAATTCAATTCTGAAATCGCAAACTTTGGCTCTGTAGGAATGAACCTTAGATCCTTTAGTCCACTAGCACCTAGTAAAAAGAGTAAGTTTTAAGACACACTAGTTAGTAATTTTCAAATGACTTTATAATGTACATTTTGCATTTTCAACTTGTTCGATTTCAGTACTGAACTTCACCATCTAAGTTCAGACAGTGAAAAGCCTTGGCAAAAGTTTATATTCTGAAGTGTTTTTAGGGTATCTGGGCATATATCTTCATGCCACTGGGCTACCTAATGGGTGTAGCATGGGCAGATTGTTACAGAGTGGGGGAACTGATCGGCAAAGGTATCTTCATTAACAGTTTCCTCTCTTACCTGGATCTTGGACAACTCATCAGAAACAGAGAGAATGGAGTCCAGCCCTTCATATCTGTAAGTACCTTATCTGTGACTACCTTATACCCTTACTTAAATTATTTTATACCTTGCAGCTGTTGAAGCCCTGGATGAGCAGCTGTTGAAGCCCTGGATGAAGGGACCTGGATGAGCTTCTATTGTACTCATGTGTAATGAATATTCCTGCATTATATCATTAACTTGAAACAAGGCATGAACATGCAAAATGTTACCACCTGCCATTTATTACAGTTGCCAACCACCAAACGCCAACTGCGCCAAACACCATCCAAAAAAGGTGGACACTGTAACAATATGTCACCACTTGTATCCACTAGATGGTCTCATCCTCATTTCTTCACCAGCCAAAAAGAATTCTCAGGAGCAAAATCTCTGTAACCATTTGTTAATCATATCACAATTAATTTCATTTAAAAACTGAGAAAGTTCTAGATTGATCGTATATGTCCCTCATTATATAACCTAGTCACTGTGGTAAGCATAATGTCTTCTCTGTATGTAATCTTTTGCATAGCAAGACACAGAAAGATGTGATGATATCAGCATAGTACAGGCTAGATATAGCTACATTGTAATACACTTTGAAGGTAAAAAGGTTATTCTCTATGACATTTTCTTTCTTATTCTCTTTCAGCAAAGATCTGAAGCAATAGTGACTTATGCTGTATGCAACTTCGCAAACTTTGGCTCTGTAGGAATGAACCTGGGATCCTTTAGCGCACTAGCACCTTGTAAAAAGAGTAAGTTTTAAGACTTTTCCATTCATTCAAATAATCTAAAATGCTTTCAAGCTAGATAAAACCTGGGTCACATTTCCCCCGATTCATCGGCTGGCGCCTGACCGATTGAGTGTTTTGTTCAAAACTAAATACAATTTTGAACAAAATACCCAATCGGCCAGGCTCCGGCCAATGGATCGGAGCAAATTTGACTCAGGTATTAGAAGCAATATTTCTTTAAATATCTCTTAGAAATATGCTGTTAGGTATGATAATTTGTTGGATTTTCTGTTTCAGCCACTTTGTCTCAGATTGCGCTGAAAGCACTTGTGGGTGCCAACCTTGCCAGTTTTATGACAGCTTGTATAGCAGGTATGAGCCAATGCATCGATGTAGGTGCCATAAATCACATGGCTAGCAAGTCCCAAACATCCCAATCAAGGTTCTTATGTAAGATTAGCGAAGAAAAGTAAACAGAAACAAGATAATTTATTTATTTGATGATTTTGAAAATTGTATGACAAATTTTTCTATCTAATGATTTTGAACACGACTGCATCTCACTGTCTGAAATTTTCTCATGTCAAATTTTAAATGAAATGAATTAAAATGAATTGAATAGCCTCTATCTTCAACACATTTGACTTTATATCTCGATTCTTATTTCAAATAATTAATAAGGGGCACATTTGAACACTTTTAAAAATTACATTCTCTGTTCTTTGCTGGCACTTTAACCTATCAAGTACATTTGGTCATAAAGTACACCATTTGCAATTTACAGAATTTGAACAACAATGTCATATTTTCTTATCTTATCTTATTTATTGTAGGGCTATTGTATACAGAGTAACGAACCAGATAGCTGTGACATTGAAAAGCATGGATGGTATTAACATACAGTACATTTTCATCAAAAATGAGACCCAGAAATAAACAATTATATCACAAATTGAGAAGAAAACATAATATTATGGAGATTATGTGATAAACCTGGACAAGTCTTATTGTACCATAGACTACTTTAACACATGTGGAATTAATAAACTAAGGCCTTTATTGGAATGAAAGTTGATCTATTATGGGCAAGGTGAGGCAAACTAGGTGAGGCATCAAGCTACAGGGATTTGATACCACCGTTGGACTTCAGATTCACTTGAAAAATGTCTACTTTTTGTAGAATATTTCCTGGCTTGCCTAGTGCCTAATGCATTGTATAAAGGATCAAAGAATGAAACAGAACTACAGTGTATTTTGTATGTGTAGATAGCAACATGTTTTGGTCTTATTATAGTCTGATTATGAACACTTTTTCATAAATTGAACAGCTATGAGTTGGTTGTTTCAGATGTACATATACTACGATATATATACTATAATAGATAAACTCTTGTTGTCACTATGATAAATAAATTAAATAACAATAAAATGTTGTATTGTGTATACATAATAAACAATTATCAATATTTCAATAAGTAAATCACAGTTCATTCGTTTTATTTCACCAATTTTTAACAGTGTTTTAATGCTTTTACTATTGGACTAGTGACAAAATAAAAATAATGCTATTTGTTGGCTCACATGGTGAAAAGGCCTATTTCTCCAAAAAGGCAAATGTATGGGCAGGGATCAAAGGTATACATGTAAATATACAAGTATGGTGTGTTGACAGATGGAAGAATGAGTAAGCGATTCCATAGGCTCACCATGTGAGCCAAATATTAAAGCCTAAACAGTGAATATTTTGTGTATATGTATGTTCATGCTTCACACATCTTCATTTGAAGGCTTTTACCATGTATATACTTGTAATAGAATACAGTTTCATCTCTTAAATATACATGTAAATCAACTTCTACTGAGAGCTGGATTGCACTTTCATTGGACGGATTGGCGTATACATTACATATATTTACCAGTAAATAATTGTTTGAATGGAATGTTCAAAAACCTTCAAAAATGAATATTTTTCCATTTCCCTAAACCTGTCAATGCCTAGTAAACACCTTGAATTAATCAATTTCTCAATTGTTTGAGTAGATACATTCATATCTTGGAATTGAATTATAAATGAAAATGAGGCTTTCACAGCTTCATGAAATATATTTCTTGAGTCCCAAGTTATTTAGGCAAATGGAATGCAAAAAACATGCAGAATTTGGAAACATCTTTCCAATAGACTAGATGCAAGTAAAAATAATCTTGATTTTCGTTGTTAAAGTATTGGTCAAAGTGATATCATATTTGAAATACACTAAAAAAGGTATATGACTTCTTAAATTGTCATTCATGTCACTTGATGGGGTTTGTACATTTTCAACAAATGTAGAATATTATATGAAAATATCTCACATCTTTCCACATTTTTATGAATAATGGCACCAAGTATTTCTTATATGTTGAAGTTGGGTCTCCAATAAGGTATCCACTTCCACACACATAATTCTCTTTGTTATTATAACAAAATAATGTCTCCTCCTAGTCTTCTGCAATATTCAATATTCACTAGGGATTTAGCACCAACAATACAGTAGACATCTCGATCTGTATTCTTTAACGAGGAGACCATAGGCCTCAATGTCAAGTGTTTCCTTCTTCATAAAGCTTGTACACCAACTGAAATGGAAAGAATGATGCATGACCTCCATATAACCAGTTATAACTATAACTCAACATTTAATGAAATCAAATCATAAACTGGTGCATTTTCCTATTATTTCACTTTTCTTAGATCACTAAGATGTACCATCACTGAGGACCTTAGGCTTGTAGCACTAGCATATGTATTATCCTCTCAATAGAATAAAATATCAAGATTTGATGCTTATAAGATCTTAATGGCCCAAAGGTAACTGTCACATCACTTCATGGGAGTTTGCATATGAAATAAGTACGAGCTACTTATACAGTATAGGTACATGTATTAAGTTGTGGAACGGTAATTCTGACTCAGTAAAGCCTCAGTCACATTTGCTCTATGACAGGTGTACAGTGGCCTAGGTTTCAAAAAAATAGATACAGAAAATCGATTCGTACTGCTTATCCCTATATTTAATGCTGCATATTTCTCTCAATTTTGGGAAGCTACAGCCACCATTTGATTGCTACAGATCAAATGTGACAGAGGCATAAGACTTGACAAAAAGAATTATCTCTCATGAAGTGTAGCAACATAAAACTATTGAAAAGGGTAACCTCCATTGAGGTCAAACTAACATTTTTGAATTTCTCGGCAAGACTGCTTCCAAATGTATCAACATCCTTGCCAGAGGGGATTAGAGAATGGAGAGGTTGGCCCCTATTCTCTCTGGAATACAGCTCTACAATGCCTGGGGGAAGGTAGTCTGTATTCAACTCAATCTAAAAAATGGCAGTTAAATATTTTAGGTTATTTTGTCTCTAAAAAGCAATAATCATTAAAGGCACATTGTAATATACAGCCAATAATTGGTCCAACAATTGTTAGGCTTTAGAGTTGATTTCATGGTTTATAACCTTCTCTGATGATTATATTTTCGAACTATGCATGAAGGTCCATTCAAAGTCTCCTATTGAACCTTGAAAAGCCATATTAAGCCTGAGGAGAAACTGAAAGAAAATTCACTCTTTCTGATTTCACCAACAAAGTTAAGTTCAATTTTTACAAGTAACAAATTAATTCCTCACTGTGAAAGACCTGTTCGAACAGAAGAATATATTATTCATACAATTATGTTTCAATTTTCTTTTGGTTTTTCAATGGCAAAACTTGAACATACCAGCTTGTCATCATCAACTTGATCTGGCATTTCATCATCTCTCCTGGCGTCACACAAGCGCACAAATATGGAGGCCCCTTCAATAAGTTTCACCTGAATAATGTGCAAACAGATGTCTGTATTCATATGATTCATTTTGTTATTTCATTTACTCGCTTTTGGCTGAATTAGAAGTTTACCCTTGCAAATTTTTAGTTTAAAGATAATACAGGATACAATATTAGACAGTTAGTTTAGTAATTGATATTATTGTCCTATCATTGTCCCAATGGTCAAATTCAAATGAATTTGGGATTTTTTATGTGAAGTTGCAATTTCTTGATGGATTTGGTATTGATAAAAGGACATGTACAGAACAAACAATAATCTTTGATAAAGAGCAATTCTTAATTTTAGGGGATATACCCCTAAATCTGCAACTGCAATTGAATATTTGCGCTTTTACAGTATTGGACATACGGTGGAAAATATTGAAATAAAAAGTAATTTCACATACACCCCCACTGGTAGCATTCCTCTGTATCCATTCTCTAAATGGTTCCCTGGAAAGTTGCTTCAGTATCTGGACAGTGGGGGCTCCATAAAACAGAGGTAACTGGTATACGCTTGTGTTGGCATAGCCCTCATGAAACACTTGAACTGCAGACCATGCCTGCAAATGTACATTCAGAGGTCAGAACATGCAAGATTACATTGTGCTATTATCATGTGTGTGCAGTTCCAGTTGTATGAAGTAATCTGCTCCACGAGGTCATATTTTCAGTAAGCAGCTGTTCCACTAGGGGATATTTATCTTTTATACAAGGGCACATTTACAGTTCTGACATGGCTTATTTATTGTTACCTGTTCCACTTATTAAAGGTATACTAAATGCTTATATGTAGATTAGGGCATATTAAAATCACAGTTCTACTAGGGCATATTAATATATTCCACGAGGGCATGTTTACAGTTACCTGTTTCACAAGGGCAAATTTTGAGTTACCTGTTCCACGAGGGCATATTTACAGTTGCATGTTCCATTATGGCATGTTTACATATATCTGTTTCACTAGGGCATAATTATTCGTTCAAAAAGAGCTATTTCATAGTTACCTGTTCCACTAGGGCATATTTACAGCTGTATGTTCCATTATGACATGTTTACATATATCTGTATCATAGTTACCTGTTCCACTAGGGCATATTTGTAGTTGTCCCTGGTTGCAGCTATGGAGATCTCCTGAAGGTGAATGATGACTGTTAGGAACCTGTGGTAGGACCTCCTATGAAAATGCTGCAAATCAATCACAGACACAATCAAGCTATTGGCCTTTATATTGTATTGTATTGTATCTTCACCAACAATGAAGGTGAGCAATACCTCTTTGGTATATCCCTTATATATATGGTCGTAATTAACGCATGAAATCATGGAAGGTAGACCCAGGAACCCCCTTGGAGAAGTGTTCTTTTATGTGCACCCATACATAGTCATACAAGTACACACCACAGCCTTTTTTATGAGTTGAGTGGACCACTCAGTCAAACACCCTGAAGTACTTAACGCAAACGTATTAAGTATTGCCTGAACTGGGGATCAAATCCGGAACCCATTGCATAAGAGGTACTACTGCTGAGCTATAGGGGTAGGCTATATAGATAACTCAGCCAAATATATATATGTATTTCCAAATTATATTTTTACTTATAGTAACAATATCAGCAATCTCTATTTTTAAATAATAGACAAGATATTGGGGTGACCATACACTGCCTGCCTGCCCAGGAAACTTATAGCCTCCAAAGGTGCCATAAAAAGTCAGTGATTTTAATTATAAAGTATGATTGTTTCAAAATATATCTATTTGATCGTATAATCAAATAAAACAAAGAGTCAAACATCAAGTGTCTGTAAAGATGATAAGGTTCAAATCATATGTGAAATTCATAAGACAATCAGAAACTTTTTTAAGTACATACATACAGTACTTGGGTATGAACAGTTTCTTAAAGTGTGACTTGGCTTACCGTCATCCCATCTTGCCAGGAGGGTGATGTGTTGGAACTATCCAAGTCTAACTTTTTTGTGAAGAACAGCTTGTCATAACTTGAATGAGGCATACCCTGAAACATAAATTATTACATATATATGTACATGTGTACATTTACAAGTGTACATGTACATGTGTGTAAATGTGTACATGTAAGCATATGAAGGATAACACTGAATTGTATACAAACATAACTGTTGGTAATTCAGTCTTTCGCACTGACTTGTAAAGTAACCTGGAGAGAACCTCAGAGAAGGTAGAAAGGCTGCAAAGGAGGCAATGAATGCTTCAGTTTCAACAATATATGTGGCACTTACAATATTGCTGGTGTTAAAGAGAGAATCAGATCTAACGAGCAATACTTGGGTGTTGGTTTCTTTGGCCCACCCTGAATTTGAAATCATAAGGAATAGATTGATAGGCAAATTGTACATGTTGCTTGCAATTTTGTCACCCCCTAGAGTATCTGATTCTGCCTTTAAAGGGGTATTCCTTGCAAGACCATCTCTCTCCTAATATGGTAGCTGTAACCATATACATACTTTGAAAGTTTATCAAAAAACAGAAAAATGTTTTGAAATGGTCAATTGATCACTTAAAAATGTAGTGCTCAATTCCAGTAGGCTGCCATCTTTTAAAATTTCACTCAGGAAGTGATGTCATCGACTCTCAACTTTGCATATAACATTAGGTAAGGAGCTATTAGAATTACTAAACCAGCTGAATATTTTTTTCAATTTGGTCTATGATTAAAATCCTTTTGATGATCTCTTCTTTAGTTCTAAGTTTACAACTCCTGAAAATATTTTTACATAGAAGATAAGGGCTTCTTGTTTAGAAGTGATTTTATACTTCTTTCCTATACTGTAATAGACAAGGTTATAACAGGTGAGAGTCGATGACATCACTTCCTGAAAGAAATCTGAAAAGATGGCAGCTTACTGGGAATGAGTACTACATTTTTAAATGATCAATATTGACCATATGAAAACATTTTCCCATGTTTTGCTGAATATGTAAAGTATACATATGATTGTAGCTACCATATCAGGAGAGAAATAGTCTGGCAAGGAATGTTCCTTTAAGGTTTATATATATATGAATACATAGAGTATAAATGTATTGAGAACCTGTACTCACCATGTAAAATGCCCCAGGGGGGTTGAGACAATAGTGACCATGGGTGAAGTTGCCCCAGGGTAGGTTCATGGCACTGTCCAAGGAAAACTGAAGTAAAGAGGATTATTGGTTTATAATTTAAAATTCCTTTAACTTGATATTAGAATTAATAATATAAAAAAAATTACTGTGCATGTACTTGAAATATCTACAACTTGTTAGCATTTTTTGTTTTTTATTTATTCATAATGGAAATGAGCATATATTTCTAGATGAGGTACATGTCCTGCACTTGGGAAATTCCATCGTTGATAAAGTAGATTTAAATTTTATTAATTATTTACTTTACTTTGGAATGATTGGGGAAATATTTAGGAGCACAATTCATGTAACTTTGTTGAATCAATATGTGAAAGAGTTTGTTGGTGTTTCAACATTGGCCAAGACCATGAAAAAGACAGAGGTGTGGGGGTCACCGGGGTTTAAAGCAAGACTATATGAATATTAGCATACTGAAATTTTACCTTGATTCCATGAGGCATAGTGAGTGTAACTGGGTTATATGCACTTTATGTGTACTGTATGCATACCTTTATTCCATGACGTGGCGAGTACTGAGCTATATAGGTGATGTCAATTTCCATAGGAACCTCATCAATCCCCTTTGTTAATTGTTTCTAAATAATATACAAGCAACATAAGACTACAATGGATGACTTAAAACAGAAATTATAAATACAATGATATATCATTAATAAACTAAATACATGAAGTATTTCTAAGACATACCCGGATGAATTCCTGAATGACCTTATCACTAATGAACAATTTGCCCTCATCTTCACTCGCAATCCTTTTGGCAGCTTCTCTAGTTAGGATAGGTTTACGTTTACACATCATATTGAAGAGCTTGATTTCCCCTGAGGTTGGTTTACACCTCATGGAGAAGTATTTCCTGTCTTCATAAGACGGCATTGGACGCTTTAAACCAAACTTCCCCCAGTCTTTCATCGGCACCTTATTTGCCTAAAATCAAATGAAATATTTTTTCAAAACTATGCTGATACATCCTTTTTTTTCAGAAAATATGGACAATTGGTCAAATTACAAGAATAAAATTAAACCACATATCTACAAGGTTGGACTATCAATGCTATCTAAATTATAAAAGAGCTAATATGTATCTAATGGTACAACATTGTTAAAGGAACATTCCTTGCCAGACCCTTTCTCTCTTGATATTGTAGCTATAATCATATATATAGTTTCCGTATTTAGCAAAACATGGGAAAATGTTTTAATATGGTCAATATTGATCATTTAAAAATCTAGTGCTTATTTCCAGTGAGCTGCCATCTTTTAAGATTTCTTGCAGGAAGTGATGTCATCAACTCTCAACTTCTATAATCTTGCCCATAACAGTATAGGAAAGTAGCACAAAATCACTTCTAGACAAGTGATCATTACTTTCTGTGCAAAATTATTTTCAGGGCTTGTCAACTTAGAATAAAAGAAGAGATTTTCAGAAGGATTAAATAAGATATACAAAGTTGAAAAAGAATATTTAGCTGGTTTTGTAATTCTTAATAGCTCCTCACCTAATGCTATATGCAAAGTTGAGAGTCGATGACATCACTTCCTGTGTGAAATTTTAAAAGATGGCAGCTTACTGGAATTGAGCATCACATTTCTAAGTGATCAAATTTGACCATATCAAAACATTTTTGCGTGTTTTGCTAAATGTGGCAAGCATATATATGGTTATAGCTACCATATGAGGAGAGAGATGGTTTAGCAAGGAATATTCCTTTAAATGTATAACTAGAACTAGAACTTTATGGCTAAATCAAAATACACATGCATAAAAACACTTTGTTTAATTAAATGATGCAAGTTTTTTTGCTTGACCATGCAGTTTCTCATCCTCGTCTCACCTCTAGCACCGTGCCCTGAGGCCCCCTGGCTGCCTTGTAAAGTCTCACTAGTACTGTTGCACATGGCACCCTCTTTGAGGTGGCGCGTACGCAAGACTCAGTCATTGCATCTATCCCATTGGGCCCCTCACGATAGAGCCTCAACTGGTGGCACCCTTCGTTCAGTGTAATCTGCAAATGGTTATCAATTACTCTGGGAGAACAAAACGTAATCATGTGGTTTACTTGGTCCATTTGATATTCTATATTATATGACATGCATTCCAAAATAAATTTCAACTGATAAAAGGAAGGACAATAGAAATACAAATAGTCAGTATATACAAATCTAAATCACCAATAATGAGTGGAAATGTTTTGTTGTAAATTAAGACAAGCCATAAACATGAAATGTCACCACTTGCCATTGTTACAAAAGTGTAACAATTTGTCACAGATGCAGACTGCCATTTTCGAAACCCCAGTCAAAAATAAAGGCTGATCCATCATGACACTAATATACAAGTTGTATAATAAACAAGGTATTGGAATGGAAAATGTCACCACCTGTCATTTGTTACAGATGCAAAACTCCGAACACCAACTGCCGAATGCTGAACCCAACTGCTGAACACAAACCACCAAACAACAACTACCAAACACGATCCATAAAGAAGGTTGGAGACTATAACAATATCTGGTGGTCACATAAAAATGAATAAATCACTCACATTACTTGCATGGTCCATAGTTGGCTGTCTGTCCGTTCCAACACCCACAAATATGTTGAGGGTACCATGGCCACACACCACCAGTCTCTTAAATACCCTATCTATAGTGTAAACCTTGATAAAAATGGAAATGGTATTCAGAATTATCAATAACAAAAAAAGATGTTAGGCTAATTCAATAGGTCTTTTCAATAAACAATAAACCATATTTTGCCCATCAAAGAAACCATGATTTATTTGCCAGGTTAGTTTGATGTCATTCGTTGTACGTAGCATGTTTTTATTCAAAGTACAGGGTGTCAAATGGCGTTGTGCCCCCCTTCCACAGCATAAACTTAGAAAGGTACCTACACATTATGTATGTCATTGGAAAGAGCATTCAATTCTGGATAAAATAAACCCTAGATGACCTAGGTCAGATATTGCTACATAGTGTCACATGCATTTGAAATGTTCTAGTGCAGTGCTCTATTTCATTGATTTTTGAGAAGTGGCTGACAGTAAAGTGTAGTGCCTTATTTTATTTATTTAGACTAAAGCTAGTTCACAGTTGAAATAAAGATGACAAAACAACTTTTTGATGATGATAATCAGCAATATAGAGACAGAATAAGGTGTATTGCATATAGAGAATGAGGGTGCTAGTTTCGTTATGAAGTATTAAAATTTCTTGAGAAAGACACAGCCCTTTCCATTCCCTTTTAGCTTCATATCCGGCTAGATTGGCAGCGGTTAAGGCTGCCCAAGGGGGTCCTACTCACTTTTAAAAGTAAGTTGAAAATATATTTTATTTTCCATCATGCATCTTCATCTTTTCACTTGTTAACAACAATTAAATGCTCTTTCCAATGGTATATGGTATGTGTGTGTATCTTTCCTAGTTTATGCCGTGGAAGGGGGGCACAACGCCATTTGACACCCTGTACTTTTCTTGTACTTTATCATTATGAAGTTGAAATCAATGCTTTAAAATCTAATCTTTCACCTCAGTTTTAACTCATTCAATACTGGTGCAAAAAGCACTATAATACTGACGAATTATGAAAATTGTATATGGTACCATATATGGTACCTCTGAAATAATATACCGGTATACATGGGCATACATATATAGTGTTATGTATCATTTAAAACATATAGATATACTCTTTCAGAATGAATAGGTTTTTAAGTCCCATTTTATAAGTTGTCATGGTTACAAGATTCCTAAAAATAAATTTGGCTTGTGCTTGGACGTGATATCATGTCCTTAGAAGTCAACGTATGTGCTTTATGACATCATATCACGTCCTTCGTAGCGAATGAGTTAAAACACTTACTTTCACTAGCAATGTTGCAGTCGCTGCAATGTGAGGCAGTCTGAACTCTGTACGATGGTTGTAAATGGGGTTATAGATGTCACTGTCGATGTTAACCCCTGTCAATATATCTGGGCCAAGTTTCTCATACTTTCTATTCAACACACGTCCAGCTATCTATAATATGTATCAAAAAAGTTTTTGACTAAGGGACAAGGGGGTAGCATATCCGTTTTTAAAAGGATACAACTATAAAATAATCAAAGAAAAATCAATATATTCTATTACATGTTTCAGTCGGAGGGAGTGTAACTGAAAAAATTAAACTTAGAACTTTTTAAAAAACACTTACTCTGGATATTGTGACAGAATCTGGTAGAAATCTGCAGCCATCTATATATAGATCAAAGCCGTCATTACTCTGCCATTGTCCCTTGGCAGGTGCCAGCCTTTCATGTGGTAACCATGCATTCTAAATTTTAAAAAAAGAAATAAAAGTATATAAACTGTATAGCATGGGAATCGCAATATATACTTAGAGGTTATATCACTATGACGTGAAATATGCCTGAGTTCTCCCAATATAGGCCGACCTTGGGAGGCTCTATATTTGGGCAAGGACGAAGGCATATTTCACGTCATAGTGACATAACTGATGTATTACATGCCTTTGTTCCCATGGTTACTTTGTATCAATGACGTGACGTCATGATATTAACATGGTTATTAAAGAAATCTAATATCAAAACGAGGTAAGCGGGCTATATCGGGGTAATCGGGCAATATCGGTGGATATAGCTCGCTAACTTTCCCATTGACTTCCATACAAATGCTTCGCTAGGTATGTAATACATGTATATATTCATATTATATATTGATAAAAAGTCAATGCACGGCACACGTAATAAATATAATAAAATTTAAATAAAAACATAAGATGATTTCATTTCATTGTAACTAGTTTCTTGTTGAAATCCTCAGGCAACTGACAGAAAATCGCAGAATGACGTAATTTTAACTACAAATTACAAATAACAAATAATGTGCAGGTAAAATGTTAATTTATGTCTGACATCATTAATTTTTCATGTATAAAGAAACCAATGTTTCATTTTGTTGATTAACAACGAGAAATTGACTTTTTATTTAATTTTGGTTTAAATATATTATAAAATGTTCCTCGAATTTTAGTCTAAGTGTTAAATCGTCCTTCTGTAATTGAAAAAATGGTAAGATTTTAAATTTTATATCCATTTTTAAGCACAGTTAGCGGTATGATCGTTCACAGGCAACATTCTGATGAACTTCTCATAACTTGTAGATGATTTTGAAAAAAAAGATAAGTCAATTTGATGCAAGTTGAAAAGATACCTTTTTGACCTTTTCTGACCTTGAAAAGGTCATTGAAGGTCCAATCTTAAATATAAAGTCAGACCTGAACTTCTGTAAACTTGTAGATTTTGAAGTTAGTCTAAACAGTATTTGTTAAGTTATTGGAAGATGTAAGAATCTGTTACAGACGCCAAACGCCAACTGCCAACCACCAACCGCCAACTGCCGTAAAAAAACTGGAGACCATAACAATATGTCATCACTTTTTGGTAGTGACATAACAAGGATTGACAGTACAGATCATTTACCCAGCCCTGCTAACAATTTCTGAACATCTAATGCTCTCTTCTATGTACGTTTTTTCCATTCATTATGTACACAAAAGATGCTTTGTATCGTATTCAATTTATTGGATGAGTAACATGTTTAAGTTGTAAGACTCAACTTTAAAAATATAATAATCTTTTATTTAGAAGACTTTCGTATTTCATTGGGTTTAAAGGTCAAAGGGTGTAGTATATTTTGTATATATGTCTTGTTAATACTATACAGTATGTTGCCATCTATGTTTTTTATGTCTCACTAAAAAGGTAGGCCTACTTAAAATACTCAACTTTCCTTTCATGTAAAGCAAAAATAAATTGATAGGGTGGGTGTGAAAACACAAGGACTCTTACTTTCAAGCATTCTCAGAATGATTGTTCAGTACTGTATACAGGGTGTCAAACAAGTCTGTTCTCCCCCCTTAACTTCTTTAATTTAGAAATAACATAGGGTAATTATCATCTTAAAGGGAATTCAATTTGCCGATCATACACCAAATTCTAGGGTGGTTGGTTAAATTCCAAAGTTTTAAGAGTATTTTTAGTGATGTCCATATTTCACGTTTTTAATAGTTTGTATGTTTCCCCGAAGCAGTTCGGACAGCCTCAAGTCTCAAAGGATATGATTCCAAAATGTTCACTAACAGGAGTGTTCAACTTTCAAGACTTCTAAGAGCTTTCTTGATATATTTGAGCAATACTTCATGGCTATGAAGTTTGTCCTCTGGTTGATCTTCTATTAATTTTTCGACTCTGTCCCTCGTAATTGCAGTATCACCGTTCATTCACTATCATGGTAATTTTACTTGTTTTGACGTAATCAATTGTCAACTACAACCTTACAAGAAACATTGTAGCAATTTTATTAGAAAGGGTTCATTATTGATTTTTAAAGGGTGATCAGCATTTTCCATAAGCTTTAAAATGATATATGGGAAACTTTAAAAATAAAAAAGTTAAGGGGGGAGAACAGACTTATTTGACGCCCTGTACTTATATTTGGTATGTGTACTCATGAAATCATTTACCATAACCATGCATATTCCTTGAAGGGATAATATATTATCATTCATGTGTATAAATATGAATATGACATATTGAGTAGAATATAAAAGAACATTTATTATGCCCAAGTCACCATTTATTTTGTGTGTTATCTTAGGAAACTCCATGGGGATCCCTTCCACAAACAGACATTAATGGGAAAATTAATTACTTAGAACGACATCGACATCGCACCTCTCATATATTATAAGTCATACATGCAAAAAGTCATTTATTGTGTTCAAAAAGTCACGTTTGTTGGTTAAGGATCATTTTAACATTTTGGAGTAAATAGTTAGCTATGTCTGACACAAATACCTCCTCGGATATACAGGTAATAAACTAGAAGATTGCAAGCAATCTTACGGAGGCCCCGTAGGCTTTTTTGAACATTTAAAGGTCAGCCAAAGGTCAAATCTTAAATACAAGGACATATATGAACTCCAGGCATCTTGTAGATGATTTTTAAAAAAAAGTTTGGTCAATTTGAAGCAATGTGAAATTTGACCTTGAAAAATTTCAACATTAGACCTTTTTCAGTTTTTGAGGTCCAATATCTCAAAACTGGTGCAGAATTTTATAGATAATCAATTGTTATTATGTGTAAAACCTTTAGAGGAATATATATCCTGACTTTAATTCAAAAATATTGATTTGTAGTCACAAACTTTGAGAAACTTAGAAAACACAGTTTGTGATCTTGTTTGATGACCTTGACCTTTGACCTTACAGGTTTTACTTTTTAGACCTCAGTATATCTTTTCTGATTGAAGAAACCTAAATTTGAATCCAGAAAATCAATTTGAAAAATCAACTTTTTTTACCTTTCGAAGGTCACTGAAGGTCAACTAAAGGTCATTGGTCAAAACTAAGGTCAGATCTGAGTTTCTGAGATCTTGTAGATGCTTTTTAAAAAAAAGTTTGGTCAATTTAGAGCAAGTTGAAATTTGACCTTGAAAAATTTTGAAATTTGACCTTTTTTCAGTTTTTGAGTTCTAATATCTCAAAACTGGAGCAAAATTTTAATAAATAGTCAATTGCTAATATGTGTAGAACCTTTAGAGGAATATATATTCTGACTTTCAGTAAAAAAAATTGATTTGTAGTCTCCAATTTTGAGAAACTTAGAAAACACAGTTTGTGATTTCGTTTGATGACCTTGACCTTTGACCTTGCAAATTTTACTTTTTAGACCTCAGAAGATCTTTTGTGAATAAATATACCTAAATTTGAATCCAGAAATCGATTTGAAAAATCAACTTTTTTGACCTTTCGGAGGTCACTGAAGGTCAACCAAAGGTCAAAGGTCAAAAGTAAGGTCAGATTTGGAATCCTGAGAACTTGTAGATGAGTTTAAAAAAAAAATTTGGTCAATTTGAAGCAAGTTGAAAAAAGACCTTTTTTGACCTTTTTTTGACCTTCAATATCTCAAAATCTAGGCAAAATTTCTCTAGACGGCAAAAGGCTAAGACTAATAGAATACTAATATCTATCTGTGTGCAAAAATTCAGCCAAAAATATTCAAGTGTAGTGTCAGGATTTGAGAAACTTGAAAAAAACTTAGATTTGACCTAGATTTTGACCTTTGACCTTGACCTAGATAAAAATTCCTTTCCCGCCAAGTTCAGCCCAGGTCCCTAGTAGGATTATGTAGAACCTAGTTGAAAGGTAGTTGGAAGTAGGAGAAAAAGAGGGAGGAAGAATAAATAACTAGAGATCTAACGATCTAAGATTGCAAGCAATCTTACGGAGGCCCTATATTCGTTTCTGAACATTCAAAGGCCAGCCAAAGGTCAAATCTCTAATACAAGGTCATTTATGAACACCAGACAACTTGTAGATGATTTTTAAAAAAAAGTTTGGTCAATTTGAAGCAATGTGAAATTTGACCTTGAAAAATTTCAACATTAGACCTTTTTCAGTTTTTGAGGTCCAATATCTCAAAACTGGTGCAGAATTTTAATAGATAATCAATTGTTAATATGTGTAAAACCTTTAGAGGAATATATATCCTGACTTAAATTCAAAAATATTGATTTGTAGTCACAAATTTTGAGAAACTTAGAAAACACAGTTTGTGATTTAGTTTGATGACCTTGACCTTTGACCTTGCAAATTTTTTCTTTTTTAGACCTCAGAAGGTCTTTTGTGAATAAAGATACCTAAATTTGAATCCAGAAAATCGATTTGAAAAATCAACTTTTTTGACCTTTCGGAGGTCACTGAAGGTCAACCAAAGGTCAAAGGTCAAAAGTAAGGTTAGATTTGGAATCCTGAGAACTTGTAGATGAGTTTTAAAAAAATGATTGGTCAATTTGAACCAAGTTGAAATTTAGTCTTGAAAAGTTTCGAAATTTGACCTTTTTTCAGTTTTTGAGTTCCAATATCTCAAAACTGGTACACAATTTTAATAAATAGTCAATTGCTAATATGTGTAGAACCTATAGAGGAATATATATCCTGACTTTCATGAAAAAATATTGATTTGTAGTCACAAACTTTGAGAAACTTAGAAAACACACTTTGTGATCTTGTTTGATGACCTTGACCTTTGACCTTGAAAATTTTCTTTTTTAGACCTCAGTATATCTTTTCTGATTGAATAAACCTAAATTTGAATCCAGAAAATCAATTTAAAAAAATCAATTTTTTTGACCTTTCGAAGGTCACTTAAGGTCAACTAAAGGTCATAGGTCAAAACTAAGGTCAGATTTGAGTTCCTGAGATCTTGTAGATGCTTTTTAAAAAAAAGTTTGGTCAATTTAGAGCAAGTTGAAATTTGACCTTGAAAAATTTCGCAATTTGACCTTTTTTCAGTTTTTGAGTTCTAATATCTCAAAACTGGAGCAAAATTTTAATAAATAGTCAATTGCTAATATGTGTAGAACCTTTAGAGGAATATATGTTCTGACTTTCATTAAAAAAAATTGATTTGTAGTCTCCAATTTTGAGAAACTTAGAAAACACAGTTTGTGATTTCGTTTGATGACCTTGACCTTTGACCTTGCAAGTTTTACTTTTTTAGACCTCAGAAGGACTTTTGTGAATAAATATACCTAAATTTGAATCCAGAAAATCGATTTGAAAAATCAACTTTCTTGACCTTTCGGAGGTCACTGAAGGTCAACCAAAGGTCAAAGGTCAAAAGTAAGGTCAGATTTGGAATCCTGAGAACTTGTAGATGAGTTTTAAAAAAAAATTTGGTCAATTTGAAGCAAATTGAAAAATGACCTTTTTTGACCTTTTTTTGACCTTCAATATCTCAAATTCTAGGCAAAATTTCTCTAGACGGCAAAAGGCTAAGACTAATAGAATACTAATATCTATCTGTATGCAAAAATTCAGCCAAAAATATTGAAGTGTAATGTCAGGATTTGAGAAACTTGAAAAAAACTTAGATTTGACCTAGATTTTGATCTTTGACCTTGACCTAGATAAAAATTCCTTTCCCGCCAAGTTCAGCCAAGGTTCCTAGTAGGACTATGTAGTACCTAGTTGAAAGGTAGTTGGAAGTAGGAGAAAAAGAGGGAGGAAGAATAAATAACTAGAAGATTGCAAGCAATCTTACGGAGGCCCCGTAGGCTTTTTTGAACATTTAAAGGTCAGCCAAAGGTCAAATCTTAAATACAAGGACATATATGAACTCCAGGCATCTTGTAGATGATTTTTAAAAAAAAGTTTGGTCAATTTGAAGCAATGTGAAATTTGACCTTGAAAAATTTCAACATTAGACCTTTTTCAGTTTTTGAGGTCCAATATCTCAAAACTGGTGCAGAATTTTAATAGATAATCAATTGTTATTATGTGTAAAACCTTTAGAGGAATATATATCCTGACTTTAATTCAAAAATATTGATTTGTAGTCACAAACTTTGAGAAACTTAGAAAACACAGTTTGTGATCTTGTTTGATGACCTTGACCTTTGACCTTACAGGTTTTACTTTTTTAGACCTCAGTATATCTTTTCTGATTGAAGAAACCTAAATTTGAATCCAGAAAATCAATTTGAAAAATTAACTTTTTTGACCTTTCGAAGGTCACTGAAGGTCAACTAAAGGTCATAGTTCAAAACTGAGGTCAGATTTGAGTTCCTGAGATCTTGTAGATGCTTTTTAAAAAAAAGTTTGGTCAATTTAGAGCAAGTTGAAATTTGACCTTGAAAAATTTTGAAATTTGACCTTTTTTCAGTTTTTGAGTTCTAATATCTCAAAACTGGAGCAAAATTTTAATAAATAGTCAATTGCTAATATGTGTAGAATCTTTAGAGGAATATATATTCTTACTTTCAGTAAAAAAAATTGATTTGTAGTCTCCAATTTTGAGAAACTTAGAAAACACAGTTTGTGATTTCGTTTGATGACCTTGACCTTTGACCTTGCAAATTTTACTTTTTTAGACCTCAGAAGATCTTTTGTGAATAAATATACCTAAAGTTGAATCCAGAAAATCGATTTGAAAAATCAACTTTTTTGACCTTTCGGATGTCACTGAAGGTCAATTAAAGGTCAAAGGTCAAAAGTAAGGTCAGATTTGGAATCCTGAGAACTTGTAGATGAGTTTTAAAAAAAAAATTGGTCAATTTGAAGCAAGTTGAAAAAAGACCTTTTTTGACCTTTTTTTGACCTTCAATATCTCAAAATCTAGGCAAAATTTCTCTGAACGGCAAAAGGCTAAGACTAACAGAATACTAATATCTATCTGTGTGCAAAAATCCAGCCAAAAATATTTAAGTGTAGTGTCAGGATTTGAGAAACTTGAAAAAAACTTAGATTTGACCTAGATTTTGACCTTTGACCTTGACCTAGATAAAAATTCCTTTCCCGCCAAGTTCAGCCCAGGTCCTTAGTAGGACTATGTAGTACCTAGTTGAAAGATAGTTGGATGTAGGAGAAAAAGAGGGAGGAAGAATAAATAACTAGAAGATTGCAAGCAATCTTACGGAGGCCCTGTAGGCTTTTTTGAACATTTAAAGGTCAGCCAAAGGTCAAATCTTAAATACAAGGACATATATGAACTCCAGGCATCTTGTAGATGATTTTTAAAAAAAAGTTTGGTCAATTTGAAGCAATGTGAAATTTGACCTTGAAAAATTTCAACATTAGACCTTTTTCAGTTTTTGAGGTCCAATATCTCAAAACTGGTGCAGAATTTTAATAGATAATCAATTGTTATTATGTGTAAAACCTTTAGAGGAATATATATCCTGACTTTAATTCAAAAATATTGATTTGTAGTCACAAACTTTGAGAAACTTAGAAAACACAGTTTGTGATCTTGTTTGATGACCTTGACCTTTGACCTTACAGGTTTTACTTTTTTAGACCTCAGTATATCTTTTCTGATTGAAGAAACCTAAATTTGAATCCAGAAAATCAATTTGAAAAATTAACTTTTTTGACCTTTCGAAGGTCACTGAAGGTCAACTAAAGGTCATAGTTCAAAACTAAGGTCAGATTTGAGTTCCTGAGATCTTGTAGATGCTTTTTAAAAAAAAGTTTGGTCAATTTAGAGCAAGTTGAAATTTGACCTTGAAAAATTTTGAAATTTGACCTTTTTTCAGTTTTTGAGTTCTAATATCTCAAAACTGGAGCAAAATTTTAATAAATAGTCAATTGCTAATATGTGTAGAACCTTTAGAGAAATATATATTCTGACTTTCAGTAAAAAAAATTGATTTGTAGTCTCCAATTTTGAGAAACTTAGAAAACACAGTTTGTGATTTCGTTTGATGACCTTGACCTTTGACCTTGCAAACTTTACTTTTTTAGACCTCAGAAGGTCTTTTGTGAATAAATATACCTAAATTTGAATCCAGAAAATCGATTTGAAAAATCAACTTTTTTGACCTTTCGGAGGTCACTGAAGGTCAACCAAAGGTCAAAGGTCAAAAGTAAGGTTAGATTTGGAATCCTGAGAACTTGTAGATGAGTTTTAAAAAAAAAATTGGTCAATTTGAAGCAAGTTGAAAAAAGACCTTTTTTGACCTTTTTTTGACCTTCAATATCTCAAAATCTAGGCAAAATTTCTCTAGACGGCAAAAGGCTAAGACTAATAGAATCCTAATATCTATCCGTGTGCAAAAATTCAGCCAAAAAATATTTAAGTGTAGTGTCAGAATTTGAGAAACTTGAAAAAAACTTAGATTTGACCTAGATTTTGACCTTTGACCTTGACCTAGATAAAAATTCCTTTCCCGCCAAGTTCAGCCCAGGTCCCTAGTAGGACTATGTAGTACCTAGTTGAAAGGTAGTTGGAAGTAGGAGAAAAAGAGGGAGGAAGAATAAATAATAAAGAATAATAATAAAGAATAATATCTACAAAATTGATGGGGCCTCCTAATAAAGAATAATAAAGAATAATAATAATATCTACAAAATTGATAGGAGGCCCCCCGATGGGGCCTCCTAATTACTTTATATATCCACATATTATTGATCAACATACAGTATGATGAAGTTCTTATGAAGAATTCTATTTTTTGATTGTGCACCAATCATTATTCAACAAAAGTTCAATGCTCTCATCATTTCAGATTGTAACTGAAGCAAACCAACTCTGTGATTGACCTAGAATCGGTGCAAATAAAATCCTATCATACAGGGTGGTCCGTACCACCTTCGTTTGCGCAAATTCTCACCAGTTGATTTTCGAACATAGCGCGTCATCGTGATGTTAAAATCGATGTAAACATATTCCTTACATATATCTTTATCTTGATGTGAAAAACCAACCTATGATATTGGTGAATACGCCAGGAATCAACATAATATCATTCGAAGCGTTATTAGATCATTTTGAATCCGCCATTTTTGTTTATCGATTTGGACCAATCAGAGGTGTATGTCATCTCAATACAGGTTTACATTATAAGCGTATGTCATCTTTGAACTCTGGGGTTAATCCCCCTCTTACTGTTGGTGTAGGTAACATACCCCTGAACTGTTGAATGGTTAAAACTGCTTCAAAATTATCAATGAAAGTGTAAAATGTGTTTTCTGCTTAAAAAGTGTCCCCTTTGTCATATGGTAGGATTTTAAACTTGTATCTCTAACTGCAAGCTGTTTAAGATCATCCAATGTGTTTCAACAATTTTCGTGAATCACATTGGTACAATTTTGCAGAATATCTAATTTTCAGCCATGTTTGTTAAACTCTTGTAATTTCTTCAAAATTTAAGACTGAGAATAAATTATGGCATCAACTAAAATTATAGACCTTTCTCTACAACATGTGACAATATGACCACCTTTTATACATACACAGAGACATATAATTATGTTTCTGATATACAGTAGGCTATATAGATCAAGGCTGGGCGAAAGGATGCAGTAACATTTTAGAAGTCATGCATTTACTGTCTCTTATCTTGTGTTATTCAATATTTTCAGCTTTATTCATCTCAGTTCAACATATAAACAACTCAGAAAACTAGATGACAGTCTAAACATTATATATGACATGCATTCAAAGGATTTGGGTATCATCGTGACATCATCACCAGATCAAGCTGAATTCAAGTCAGTGCAAATCAAATAGTTTCAACTTTCATGCATGATGTACAGTGGCATATGCTGTGTATTTTTGGCCCACGATTCCTGAGAAAAAGTCTAATTTTATCTAAATATTGAATACCATGAACAACAAAGACTTGGGGACCGAAGTCTGATATGAGACTAGTAAAGGGTTTGTAGAAAAGTTATAACCTTCCCCTTCTACTTTAGATAAGGCAGCTACCTCTGACATGGATGAGGAAGATGTTAACTATTCTACTGACCTTTGACAAAGACAAAGATGGAGTGATGGGCTATGAGGATCATATGCAGGTGGTTGATAAATTTGTAAGAGAAGGTTAGGGTATAGCTAGTTAATTATGCGATTCTGTTCCTACCAGCTCCCCCTCTAGACCCTCAATAGATCTCAAAAATACATATTTCTAATACCACACATTTTGTAATAGGTTGTTTGCATGCTTTCTCATCTTGGATTTCCAAGGTATGATGTTTTTATTGAAAATGGAACTGGGAAACGAGTATGATGCTTTCTAGCATCTAGCAGAAAAAGATTAAATCCTCTATCAACATCTTACCACAATTTGAAGAATGTAAATACCTGAATCAGAAACTGAACATACTCTATATTTAACACTCACGATTTTATGTAGTCATTTTACAAAACATGCTCCAAGCGCCGAAACATGACAAAGTCATCCAATTAAGAATTTTATCTTTGGGCCTATTCTAAAGAAAATGTCTACACTCACAAAGCACCAATGAGTCGAAACAAAAGATTAGAAGGAAAATGACACATGTAGTCAGAACAAAATCACCTGATGCATTCAAGTTTGCCTCCAGAGACGAGACTGGCATTTTGAGCATCTTTTGTAAAATGGCCACAAAATTATGACTATTTGAAATGAAATTTGACCTATGAAACTTGAACATTGAACAAGGTTCAATTTTTTTTAATTGTGCCAAATATGACATTAAACAAATGCTGGATGAATGAATCATTAACATTTGTTTGGGTTACCTTTTTTGGCTCACCCTGTAGAACTAGAGTGGAAGAACCAGTAGAATTGATTAAAAGATTTAATTTATTTTGATGTATCAATTTACATGTAAATTCAGCTTTCTGCACAACAATATTAATGAAACTGAGTTTAACATGTATCACTATTATAATAGAATATTGATTCAATTACTACAATTAGAAATCATATGCAAATTACATGTACATGAAGTGTTCTTGCCTGAAGGGTACTACCAAGTGAGGGCAGACAAATTACTCATCCTTGACCATTAAGTTTCTTCAGCTTTTATTAACATTCTTCAATAAGGCCATAAGAATCAGATTCTTCGTTTTGCGTCCTGGCAAAATCCAAATTATGCAAGGGTACAAGGAAAACAAACACAAACTCAAGAAAAAACACAAACTTGTTTGCTGGGAAATGTATAACATTTTATGCACTGATTACAAACACATATCTATACATTTTATACAATATATTTAAACATAGCTATTATTCAAGGGTAAAAAATAAGAAAATTACACAATGCATGCCAAAGTAATCAAAAACACCGTCAATTTTATCCTCCATTTCGTCTGATTGATACTGAACGAAATGCGATGGTACTTTCAGACCCTTGTGATTGCTATTTAGATGTGTTTGTTTTTTTCTGGTTTACTCAAAATCGTGCAAGCAAGGAGACACAAAACAGAGAATCTACTTCTTATGGCCTAATTGCTCTCATGCATTCTAGTTAAAATCTTTATGACTTGAAATTTCAGCTAACTTGACAGGGAAGGCAAGAGACGGCATATACCAGACTTTTCAGGACTACTGCACATCTGGGGAATCACAGGGCATTCCGAATTCTCCTTCAGTAGCACAGCAACTTCTGACTGTTTGGATACAGAAAGACAACCCAGAAACAGTTGAGAAGTGGTATAAAATTCAAACAGAAAATGCCCAGGTACATGTACATTTTCATATGATGGTCCATTTAGTTGTTGAAAATTGACCATTTTATACCTCTGCACTGCCAATAGATAGGTCTCACTCTAAAGGCTTCTCCCTTTTACCACTTGTCATGGAGACTGAAATTTGTTTCTAATATTCAATAAAAGTGTATACATCATATCAAATTGCCATGGTAAATAGAATTAACATAAGTGGTTATTGGTGATATATGATTTGATAAATTAGTTTTTGCTGAGTTTTAATCATTTTTTGAGCATGTCATTGATTTTAAATCTATTCTATTGTAAATATTGAATACAATTAAACATTCCAATTAAAGATATAAATTTACTTTAACTGTCTCCCAAATATTGGGTATTAGGCGCAACTAACAATAACATGTAAATGTTTATAGAACAATTGTGCAATTGTAGCTTCTAAGCTTGGACGTGCCTGGTTTCATGACATTTGATAACTACATGGTATATTGGAATGGACTGGGCCTCGATAAAAGATTTGCAAGAATGCAATTTGACTACATGGATACAAATAATGATGGACTGATAAGCCATGAAGAATTTGCCAATGGATATTTGGAATATATGTGTAACACAGATCAAAATAATCTCAACCGCTATTTTGGACCATTGATGAGATACTAAATTAAAGGACCCATTTAAACCACTTTGGCTTATTTTGTATTCTTACCCAATGTTATGAAATTGTGATAATGTGAAACTTTTCTGAATTTCAAAAGGTGGTTTTTTAAAGACATTTTGTTTGAAAAATCATGATTGAGGTCACATGTATCTTTTAATAAGTAATAATTCACACCAATGCATGGTTCATGTGTTTTTGTGAAAAAATTCAAAAAATTAGTTGATAAATAAGATCGAGAGAAATAAATATCATTCATGCATGAAAGTGGTTCAGAGAAAAATGCATTTTTAAATTTCAGTTCTCATAGACCAATGGCACAGTTATATTTTCTTTTCAACCTAGTTAGACAATCAACATTGGGAATCAACATTGAGGTTTAGTTTGAAAGTTTAGCAGATAAGAAAAGATTAACAAAAATTCAAAATATGTTTGCAGCCTTAATTCTTTTGATATGCTAAAACATTATAAGTGGCACATAAGATATGAAATTTTATTTCATGTACTAATAAACAACATACCTGTGGTATTGTATTCTCATCTTCATCATCTGAGGCATCACTCTGTGATAAAGAACCTGGCCTTGGTGTTCCAGTAAACATATAAATTCTCACATTGGCCTTACCATACCTGCAAGCAAAGGTCTATATATCAAACACCTGAATCAGAGAACAGAATATGGGGAAAATCCATTGTCTACATATTGTACCTGGTTTAATGGGCAAATGACACAATGTTTAGGAGGGAGATTCTATAAAAGGCTAAATAAAATTGTTATCGACCAAAATGTTTACAGGACTTTAATTTTCTTATAGACAGAAATGTAAATTGTGTGTTTTGATTTGAATTTGATTTCATGGTCTACACAAATTATCTAGAGAAGAGTGTACATTCCTCTCTGCATTGACTTCCTGTCCGTTACAAATTATATAAAAAAAGTATGAACTTCAAAAAATACTGGTATTCATGATAATATCACTAATATCATATATTAGTAATGTACAAGTACTGTCAAGGCATTAACATGCAGAATGTCACCACCTCCCATTTGTAACAGATCCTGGCAGTCGAACACCATTTGTTACAGACTTATGACTATCGAATGCCAAAAATCAACTGCCAAACATATGTAGTCCACAAAAAATGTGATACTATAACAATATGGCACCACTTTTGGTAGTGATATAACAAGCAATTTGTTGGATTTAACATCTTTACCTTTCCCAATCTTTAGGTCTATGCTGATACTCAAGCGGTATTGTATGTGGCTCGGGGATAGGGGGCGTATAGAGTTGTATAGTATGTACCCCTGTATTCACCCTCAGATTACCAACATCTTGCCCTTGTAAACCAGAGTCATGTGGCCCAGAAACTGAATCAAATAAAAACAAATATGAATATATCAAGATGTTATCATCTGGTTTCAATTACAAGTGTTACAGTTGTTACATGCCCAACACAGACCATCAAATGATGGTCAAAATGGGAGCTACCAGTTTATAACAATGAATATGACTACTTCTCGGTAATGGGAGCGACCAGTATATAACAATGAATATTGACTACTTCTCGGCAATGTCACCATGGAGTGCATGATGGATATTAAACCAAACAATAAAGTGAATTAAATCAATGTGACTCAAATTGACTATGGTATTTGGTGAATAAAGACATGATAAATATTTCATTTTTCCTTTATATTCAAATCTTTTTTGAGATTATCATTTTATACTTAATATTACATATGTCCCCCTGCACTATAACTAAAATCAATGATACATGTTTATTGAAATAACACCAAATAAGTATGAGCGCTGGGTGCAACATAAGTTCTGGCACAGATGCCTAGATTGCAATATATACCAGGTACCATATACATGTACTCACATTCACTTTGCCTTTTTATCTTGCGTGCCATGATACTAATGGCTCCCCATGCAACTAATGTTTCTTCTTCATAGATGTTCCCATCTTCAGGCTTGTCAGAATGGAACTCATCTGAAATGTTACGTCCTACATGGCGCAGATAGAACCGAACAATGAGCACCATGTCTGATCTGAAATTGACGTCGTGAAAGATGGCCTCTTGTTGACCAAACACATGGTATTTGTACCTGAAGTTGGAACGAACTCCCAATGTAGTACATGTTACTGGTGTGGACCCAGATTGCACGATCTGAAAGAGGAAAATAATGATAATGATGATGAAATGCCTAAAAATACATGTATATGGAAGTACATCCATCTAATAAGGGCTTGGGTCTATCAAAAAAGTAATTCTATTATTACCAACTGATCCCTTCAAACTTTATAATGGTATTCTTCTACCATATTTCTTTTGCAATGAGGTCATTGCATCTTCTTTCTTACCAGAGTTCAATCTGGGATGCTGAATCATGTGAGAATGTACACACAATATATTTGAAATATCAGACTTTAACCACATGTGTCCAAAGAAAAATAGAAATTGTCGGTCACAGGTCAATATTTTGACCCGATTCTTATATTTGGCTCTTTTAAATCATTACAGAGATCACTTAGGATAGTTTGGTTACAATAATTTTGCAATAAGTTAAGATATAGTTACTGTTGACTCACTTTCCCTGATGTGGAATAGTAGGCAGTGAGTCTAACTTTGCCCTCCCCTGCCTCTGCATTCTTCACTCTATCTACTTGAAATCCTAGCACATTATTCTCTCCAACTTCTAGAGCTTCTGGGCTCACTCTGCAATGGAAACTGGTTATCTTCAGGACATACTGGGGGACATACAATCTAAAGAGTTAACAATTCCTATTTTTATCTTACTGTGACATCGTAGTGTCTGTTGACCTCATTATTCCAATGGCAAGAACAACAGATTCTCAATCCTATAATATTACATGTATAGGAATATCCAATGATTTTGAAAAAACATCATTTATATCCATGAGTGGATATTGATATCTTCATGAGTGAGCGCAGTGAATGAGTGAAGATATGGATATCCATGAGTGGATATAATTGATATTTTTTCAAACCCATAGGATTGTCTGTTTACCCCATAGGAAAAAATTGAAAACATTTTGGGGAACTTTCGCTAAATTATGATATCATGATCGACATATGAAATATATCTTCACGTGATATTTGATTTATGTCCTTGCAACCATGGGATAACTTGTATTCCTTGATTCATCACTTTCAATGTATATCCATAACTCAAGTTTAGCACTTATGCAGTGGTCACATTTACTCTGATCTTCAACACTGGTACCCAGCCAATGAGTATTTTGTTCAAAACTGAATGCGAGTTTGAAAAAAATACTCAACGGCCAGTCGCCAGCACTGAAAATCAGAGCAAATGTGACCGATGTGTGGGTTTGCCTGCCTGTCTAAATGTGTTTTTTCAGAAAATAATAAAACCATGTCTAATGAGATACAGTGTGTTATGCTTACCTATTATCAGTGTCAAGATTTAGGGACAAAAATTTATGTCATTTTTAAGTAAAGCTTTTTTTCTTTACAATGACGAGTTGAGAAATTTGAAAACATCCCACTTACTGAACTTTTAAACTTTTAAGGCATGTATTTTCAAAAAGCTTTACATTGGCGATATTCCATTACATTCTTGGACTTTGGTTATTTTACGATTGAAAGTTATGAACTTTTAATGCAGGCATTTTCAAAAAGCTTTACATTGGCCATATTCCTTTACATTCTTGGACTTAGAATATTTCACGAAGCAACGTTGTGAACTTTTAATGCAGGCATTTTCAAAAAGCTTTACATTGGCCATATTCCTTTACATTGATTCTTGGACTTAGAATATTTTATGATATATAGAAGTGTAATTTATGGCATGCATTTTCAAAAAGCTTTACATTGGCCATTTTCCCTTACATTCTTAGACTTAGAATATTTTACGATCCGGAGAGGTGAACTTTTACAGCATGCATTTTCAAAAAGCTTTACATTGGCCATATTCCTTTACATTCTTGGACTTAGAATATTTCACGAAGCAAAGTTGTGAACTTTTTATGCAGGCATTTTCAAAAAGCTTTACAATGGCCATTTTCCTTTACATTCTTGGACTTAAGATTATTTTACGATCTATAGAAGTGAAATTTTATGGCATGCATTTTCAAAAAGCTTTACATTGGTCATTTTCCTTTACATTCTTGGACTTAGATTATTTTATCATATATAGAAGTGAATTTTATGGCATGCATTTTCAAAAAGCTTTACATTGGCCATATTCCTTTACATTCTTGGACTTAAAATATTTTATGATCTAACGAGGTGAAATTTTACAGAATGCATTTTCAAAAAGCTTTACATTGGCCATATTCCTTTACATTCTTGGACTTAGATTATTTTACGATCTTATGAAGTGAAATTTTATGGCATGCATTTTCAAAAAGCTTTACATTGGCCATTTTCCTTTACATTCTTGGACTTAGAATATTTTACGATATATACTTGATAAGTTTTAAGGCATGTATTTTCAAAAAGCTTTACATTGGCCATATTCCTTTACATTCTTGGACTTAGAATATTTCACGAAGCAAAATTGTGAACTTTTTATGCAGGCATTTTCAAAAAGCTTTACATTGGCGAAATTCCATTACATTCATGAACTTAGATTATTTTGTGATTGAAAGTTGTGAATTTTTATAGCATGCATTTTCAAAAAGCTTTACATTGGCCATATTCCTTTACATTCTTGGACTTAGATTATTTTACGATCTATAGAAGTGAAATTTTACAGCATGCATTTTCAAAAAGCTTTACATTGGCCATTTTCCTTTACATTCTTGGACTTAGATTATTTTACGATCTATAGAAGTAAAATCTATGGCATGCATTTTCAAAAAGCTTTACATTGGCCATTTTCCTTTACATTCTTGGACTTACATTATTTTATGATATATAGAAGGGATATATACTATATATATATACTTGATAACTTTTAAGGCATGTATTTTCAAAAAGCTTTACATTGGCCATATTCCTTTACATTCTTGGACTTAGAATATTTCACGAAACAAAGTTGTGAACTTTTTATGCAGGCGTTTTTAAAAAGCTTTACATTGGCAAAATTCCATTACATTCTTGGACTTAGATTATTTTACGATGTAAAGTAGATAACTTTTAATTCAGGCATTTTCAAAAAGCTTTACAATGGCAATTTTCCTTTACATTCTTGGACTTACATACTGTAGAATATTTTAATAGAAGTGAAATTTTATGGCATCCATTTTCAAAAAGCTTTACATTGGCCATATTCCATTACATTTTTGGACTTAGATTATTTCAAGATTTAAAGTTGTAAACTATTATGTTATGTATTTTCAAAAAGGTTTACATTGGCCAAATTCTTTTACATTCCTGGACTTAGCTCATTTTACGATCTCATAGAATGCTGTACATGTATTTCGTACGCTTTACTGTCACCTTTCCTTTAGCCTACTTATTTTGACTTTTAGGTTTGGTATTTGTTGGATTCTGTTCTTTCATGACGTACAGTACATGTAGAATTGTAAAAACCATATGTCATTGGACAGAATACAGTAAAGATCGCTAAATATAGAAATGAACTTGCATAGACAATAGTATTGATAGTGATTGAAGAAATCCCCAAGAGAGCCCCTCGAATAGAGGGGATTGTTTTCCCCGATCATCTTCAATACTTTCACAAGAGATGGTTGAAAATCGATCTAAAGTTATGCCTTATATTTCTAATTTGATGATAGAGTATGATTCCAGGTGGGAAAGTCGTGTAAATGGCGAGAAATGTTAAAAGAAATGAGAAAGTTTGACGGGCTTTTGACATGCGCAGAACTCATGCGCAGAAGCTCTTTTGGTAAAATGCCGATCAAATTTCTAACTTTGAAACATTTCCTTCATTTTAGGGACTATTTTGCGATAACATTAGAAATACATGGTGTTGAAAGCACCCAATGATAGATATTAATCGGGAGGATGTACCGGCCAATACTAATACCGAAGGTAGAATACATATATGGAATTTGACGCGCCGACCTCAGAGAAAACACTTCCGGTTTTATAACCAAATACTCTATCGATCAGAATATCTTATTGTAATGTAATTTCGCCAGACATCTGCTAATATGATATGTGAATATTTGTTGATTTGATTGTTAATTACAAATAACTCAGAAGTACACGCAGGTACGTAAGGGGAAGAACAAGTCATGGTTTACATCGTAAAATAATCCGAGTCCAAGAATGTAAAGGTTTTGAAAATGCATACATGTACTATAAAAGTTCACAACTTTCAATTCACTTCTATACATGTAGATTGTAAAATAATCTATGTCCAAGAATGTAAAGGAAAATGGCCAATGTAAAGCTTTTGGAAAATGCCTGCATAAAAAGTTCATGACTTTGTTTCGTGAAATATTCTAAGTCCAAGAATGTAAAGGAATATGGCCAATGTAAAGCTTTTTGAAAATGCCTGCATAAAAAGTTCATGACTTTGTTTCGTGAAATATTCTAAGTCCAAGAATGTAAAGGAATATGGCCAATGTAAAGCTTTTTGAAAATACATGCCTTGAAAGTTATCAAGTATATATCGTAAAATAATCTAAGTCCAAGAATGTAAAGGAATATCGCCAATGTAAAGGTTTTTGAAAATGCATGCTATAAAAGTTCACAACTTTCAATCGCAAAATATTCTATGTCCAAGAATGTAAAGGAAAATGGCCAATGTAAAGCTTTTGGAAAATGCCTGCATAAAAAGTTCATGACTTTGTTTTGTGAAATATTCTAAGTCCAAGAATGTAAAGGAAAATGGCCAATGTAAATGGTTTTTGAAAATGCATGCTATAAAAGTTGAAAACTTTCAATCGCAAAATAATCTAAGTCCAAGAATGTAAAGGAAAATGGCCAATGTAAAGCTTTTTGAAAATGCATGCCTTGAAAGTTATCAAGTAAATATCGTAAAATAATCTAAGTCCAAGAATGTAAAGGAATATCGCCAATGTAAAGGTTTTTGAAAATGCATGCTATAAAAGTTCACAACTTTCAATCGCAAAATATTCTAAGTCCAAAAATGTAAAGGAAAATGGCCAATGTAAAGGTTTTTGAAAATGCATGCTATAAAAGTTCACAACTTTCAATCGCAAAATATTCTAAGTCCAAGAATGTAAAGGAATATCGCCAATGTAAAGGTTTTTGAAAATGCATGCTATAAAAGTTCACAACTTTCAATCGTAAAATAATCTAAGTCCAAGAATGTAAAGGAATATCGCCAATGTAAAGGTTTTTGAAAATGCATGCTATAAAAGTTCACAACTTTCAATCGCAAAATATTCTAAGTCCAAGAATGTAAAGGAAAATGGCCAATGTAAAGCTTTTTGAAAATGCATGCCATGAAATTTCACTTCTATAGATCATAAAATAATCTAAGTCCAAGAATGTAAAGGAATGTGGCCAATGTAAAGCTTTTTGAAAATGCATGTTTAAAATTCACAACTTTCAATCGCAAAATAATCTAAGTCCAAGAATGTAATGGAATTTCGCCAATGTAAAGCTTTTTGAAAATGCCTGCATAAAAAGTTCACAACTTTGCTTCGTGAAATATTCAAAGTCCAAGAATGTAAAGGAAAATGGCCAATGTAAAGCTTTTTGAAAATGCATACCATAAAATTTCACTTCTATACATGTAGATCGTAAAATATTCTTAGTCCAAGAATGTAAAGGAAAATGGCCATTGTAAAGCTTTTTGAAAATGCATGCTATAAAAGTTCACAACTTTCAATCGTAAAATAATCTAAGTCCAAGAATGTAAAGGAATATGGCCAATGTAAAGCTTTTTGAAAATGCATACTATAAAAGTTCACAACTTTCAATCGCAAAATAATCTAAGTCCAAAATGTAATGGAATTTCGCCAATGTAAAGCTTTTTGAAAATGCCTGCATAAAAAGTTCACAACTTTGCTTCGTGAAATATTCAAAGTCCAAGAATGTAAAGGAAAATGGCCAATGTAAAGCTTTTTGAAAATGCATGCCATAAAATTTCACTTCTATACATGTAGATCGTAAAATAATCTAAGTCCAAAAATGTAATGGAAAATGGCCAATGTAAAGCTTTTTGAAAATGCGTGCCATAAAATTTCACTTTTATAGATCGTAAAATATTCTAAGTCAATGAATGTAAAGGAAAATGGTCAATGTAAAGCTTTTTTGAAAATGCATGCCATAAAATTTCACTTCTATAGATCGTCAAATAATTTAAGTCCAAGAATGTAAAGGAAAATGGCCATTGTAAAGCTTTTTGAAAATGCATGCTATAAAAGTTCACAACTTTCAATCGCAAAATAATCTAAGTCCAAGAATGTAATGGAATTTCGCCAATGTAAAGCTTTTTGAAAATGCCTGCATAAAAAAGTCACAACTTTGCTTTGTGAAATATTCTAAGTCCAGGAATGTAAAGGAATATGGCCAATGTAACGCTTTTTGAAAATACATGCCTTGAAAGTTATCAAGTAAATATCGTAAAATAATTCTAAGTCCAAGAATGTAAAGGAATATCGCCAATGTAAAGGTTTTTGAAAATGCATGCTATAAAAGTTCACAACTTTCAATCGCAAAATATTCTAAGTCCAAGAATGTAAAGGAAAATGGCCAATGTAAAGCTTTTTGAAAATGCATGCCATGAAATTTCACTTCTATAGATCGTAAAATAATCTAAGTCCAAGAATGTAAAGGAATGTGGCCAATGTAAAGCTTTTTGAAAATGCATGTTTAAAAGTTCACAACTTTCAATCGCAAAATAATCTAAGTCCAAGAATGTAATGGAATTTCGCCAATGTAAAGCTTTTTGAAAATGCCTGCATAAAAAGTTCACAACTTTGCTTCGTGAAATATTCAAAGTCCAAGAATGTAAAGGAAAATGGCCAATGTAAAGCTTTTTGAAAATGCATACCATAAAATTTCACTTCTATACATGTAGATCGTAAAATAATCTAAGTCCAAAAATGTAATGGAAAATGGCCAATGTAAAGCTTTTTGAAAATGCATGCCATAAAATTTCACTTTTATAGATCGTAAAATATTCTAAGTCCAAGAATGTAAAGGAAAATGGCCATTGTAAAGCTTTTTGAAAATGCATGCTATAAAAGTTCACAACTTTCAATCGTAAAATAATCTAAGTCCAAGAATGTAAAGGAATATGGCCAATGTAAAGCTTTTTGAAAATGCATACTATAAAAGTTCACAACTTTCAATCGCAAAATAATCTAAGTCCAAAATGTAATGGAATTTCGCCAATGTAAAGCTTTTTGAAAATGCCTGCATAAAAAGTTCACAACTTTGCTTCGTGAAATATTCAAAGTCCAAGAATGTAAAGGAAAATGGCCAATGTAAAGCTTTTTGAAAATGCATGCCATAAAATTTCACTTCTATACATGTAGATCGTAAAATAATCTAAGTCCAAAAATGTAATGGAAAATGGCCAATGTAAAGCTTTTTGAAAATGCATGCCATAAAATTTCACTTTTATAGATCGTAAAATATTCTAAGTCCAAGAATGTAAAGGAAAATGGCCATTGTAAAGCTTTTTGAAAATGCATGCTATAAAAGTTCACAACTTTCAATCGCAAAATAATCTAAGTTCAAGAATGTAATGGAATTTCGCCAATGTAAAGCTTTTTGAAAATACATGCCTTGAAAGTTATCAAGTATTTCAATCGCAAAATAATCTAAGTCCAAGAATGTAACGGAATTTCGCCAATGTTAAGCTTTTTGAAAATGCCTGCATAAAAGTTCACTAAGTCCAAGAATGTAAAGGAAAATGGCCAATGTAAAGCTTTTTGAAAATGCATGCCATAAAATTTCACCTCTATAGATCGTAAAATAATCGAAGTCCAAGAATGTAAAGGAATATGGCAAATGTAAAGCTTTTTGAAAATGCATGCTATAAAAGTTCACAACTTCCAATCGCAAAATATTCTAAGTCCAGGAATGTAGTGGAATTTCGCAAATGTAAAGCTTTTTGAAAATGCATGCTGCAAAAGTTCACCTCTTCAGATCGTAAAATATTGTAAGTCCAAGAATGTAAAGGAATATGTCCAATGTAAAGCTATTTGAAATGCCTGATATAAAAGTTCACAACTTTCAATCGTAAAATAATCAAAGTCCAAGAATGTAATGGAATATCGCCAATGTAAAGCTATTTGAAATGCCTGATATAAAAGTTCACAACTTTCAATCGTAAATAATCAAAGTCCAAGAATGTAATGGAATATCGCCAATGTAAAGCTTTTTGAAAATACATGCCTTAAAAGTTTAAAAGTTCAGTAAGTGGGATGTTTTTTAAATTTCTCAACTCGTCATTGTAAAGAAAAAAAGCTTTACTTTAAAATGACATTAATTTTTGTCCCTAAATCTTGACATATATATTACCTATTGATAGATGCATGGGAGCTTGAATGACGACTTATTTCAGGGGACTCGGGAGGAGAGATGGAGGGAGGCGGGGGAATGTACACGGGAATTTGACGCTGAAACAAAGAATTTTATTTCTCTTTAGCATTGATGCTGAAACATACTTTGCTGTTGATTTCTGTTGGACACAGATAGCCAAATGTTAGAATTTTCATGTGATTGTTTTTATCAAAATGGTTTAGTTGCTTTGGTATACCCAACATCTACAATACAATCTAAATGATTTCATCATGGTAACATTGATTTTACAAACACAAGACATTAACAGCACAAAATATCTAGTACCACCTGATTGCAATTATAAAAGAGAAATCATAAGTTACACCAAATGTGAAATGCCAACACGTCACAAAAATGATGGCTATTACAAAGTAACCATTTCTTGGTGGGGACATAATTAATCCAATGTATTCAAAAGAAATTTCAGAGTAAAACTTGATGAAGATCACACTTAAGAAAAGCATGTGAATTAATACCTGGGGAGGGAACTGGTACATGTGACTATGCTCTGGGGAGGCTGTTGACTGGGACTGATGGTCAGCATCCCTATAGTTGACTAAACGCAAGTAAATCTCAGCCTGGCCATACTGGAAGTACATAGCATACAAATGTACAGCACCATTTTCTTAAGTGTAAACTCAGTAAACTCAATTTTACAGTTATGCCATGTAAGCCAATATTTCATTCTTCAGGTGGGCATAAGGCTGAGAGCCTACCTATTTTCATTATCTCAAGTACATCCAACATTGCAGCACTTACTTGATTCAACACTGGTATGCAAGACATTCTTGTTCTCATAATCTTAAAAAATTGTACAGTAGATACAAAATGACTTACAATTAAGTTTCAGTAATAAAGCCATCTGTTAGTAACTTACCTGTGCCAAAGTATTAAGTTGACTAGTTGGAAGCGTAGGTTTAATTGGATTTGCCCTCAATGGAAGCTTCCATCTTCCAGAGATCACTCTATTGTATTCATCAAATAGATCCATCTTGGTCCAAGCCCGTGTAGTCAATCTATTGGACTCTGAGTTAGAGGCCTGTAGTTCTATAACCATGCTGAGGGTCTGAGAAGGACTACAACTGTAACAGAAAGGTGTTATCTTACATAGGTGTAGCCAGGGGGGGTGTGCTATGGTTGTGATCGCACCCCCCCCCATAACCAATAAAAATATAACCATGATATAGAAGAGGAAAAGAGCTTTAAAATGCTTTTTATTTGAAGCTTCTAGCTCAATTTTGAAAGAAGTTGCACAAATTTTCCTAAAATTCAAAATAAATCTTGATTTTTGGCTTGTTTATGCCACAATCGCACCCCCCTGGCTGTAAAACCGAAATTTGTTTGGCGATAGACCCCTCCCTGACTGAAAGCTGGCTACGCCCCTGTCTTATACATGTACATCAATTCCAATAAACTGTACCGGGGAATTAAATACAATGTCACATTGGCCACATTTATATTGAGTTTTGAGAGAATATCCAACAGAATTATACCATACCTAGGTACAGGCTGTTTGGCTGCTATAAGGGCCATGCTAGTTGCATCCTGGTATAAACTATCCTGGTTCATCTCACAGTACACACTTGGGAGTATAGATGGCTCTCCCATCTCTGCTGTTTCATCAAATAGACCAATGATAAGTCGCGATGTGTGAAGACTGGGTTCCAGATGTAAAACATAGTCATAGAAAACCACAAAGCCAGCTCTGAAGGTAAAAATGAAATCTCATTCTTCGAGGTGGGGTCTACTTTGGAATCTCAACCTAACTATGATGACGTTTAGGTTGATTTATAGTTTTATTTAATGATGCATGATAGTTACAGTAGACTGTAGAGCACAAAAGTAGGTTCATGGGAAAATAACATGCAATGGAACTTCTATATATTTCCTAATATAGAGATGCGCCACACACCCAATTTTTTTTAATTGCTATATTTGTACCACATTTTCATCACTTCAAATACTTTTTCTTGGAAGCTGATGGTCAAACTGGGAAAACTAAGTGAGATGTATAGTGCTATTGCAAAGATTCATGCATCTCTAATAACATGAAAATCCACAACAAAATTTTTTTTCAAAACAGATTTTTCAAATAATGATGATAATGTTTTACTTACTGTGGATCATAAGGGGCAGGAAGGAGATCATTGTCATACATGTTGTTTGAAGTCTTGCTGAGCAAAGCAGGGATTTCTGCTTGACTTTCAGTTGGCTGGTTTTGACTTGATTCCTGTTGAAATAACAATTGTGATGACAATCATAAGGAAAAAATTCTCTTCCCTCCTTGGATATCAAATTGATCTGATATATCAATTCATTTACACTGTAATGCATTACTGGCTCCTTAAACTTTAATTACAGCTCCTTTATCCGCTGATATCAATTTGAACAATCAAAAATGAAATTGTTGTCTCCCAAAGTCATATATGACATACATGTACATACCAATTTATTTGGAGGTGTTTGCTTCAGTTGCTCTATGTTCCTCTGAACGTTAGCTAGGCTCATCTGCTGCTTCACTTGCTCCATCTCCTGCTGTAGCTGAATCAGTTTCCTCATGTGTTGCCTTTGGAAGTCCTCGGTAAAGTCTATAAAATAAGAAATAAGACAGTAAAAGTCTTGAATAGAGGCTAAAATTATCAGTTTTTTGTCCAAAAAGTGTGTTCAGCTAGATGGCTGTTCAAACTATCAGATCAATTTTTGTAAGATGTTTCATATAAAATCCCATTTGGCCTTTTCTACTTTCAAACAAAAGCCATAGAACCTGTGGAAAACATTACAAAATATTACTTTCATTTCAAACCCCAGACTTGTTCTCAGAATATCTGGTACATACCTCTGTTCCTATTTTGTGTCTGCATTGATATGAGGTGTTTCTGTAGACGTTTATTCTCAAGTTCTAGGGCAAGGATCTGTGCACTGATATCATCTGCAATTTGGTGCTGGACATCTAGGATCATAAAAAGCATATACATTAAAAAGGTTATACATATACGTTACATATACACCTATCATACGTAGTGATTTCTCTGGGAATTTTCTCAAAGGGGTACTAAATCCTAACTGAACCTGTTAAAGTAAAACAAAACAAGTCAGGATGCCAAAAGCAAACTCAATACAACATAGCCTCTGAATGGTGCAATAAAAATCTCATTATTTCACCAGTTTAGCAGGTCCAAGCAGACTTTCGATAGGGTGCAATTCAATTTTGAGATATTCAACCAAGCGAAGCCCCAGAGGAAATCACTGATAAACATATACAGTAAGACCTGTCTAAGTGGAACACCTTATTCCACTGGAATATGCTGCATTTGTACATATATATTTTCTTCAGGATAATCCCTATATTCTCAACCTCATATAGGATATACTCACAAGCTGGTTGTCTTTGAGGTTGATCCTCCAATAGTTTAGTGGCCTCATATTCTAACTCAGCCATCTGTGCCAAAACAGCAGGGTCGCTACCACCATCCCTCAGGTAGGCTGATCTCATTGCACTACAACAAACATAATATATATGAAGGTCATATTATAAGATCTACCTTTTGTGAAAAGCTCTTTTAACAGGTAATGGTTTTTATTTGCATCGTTAATTCATGTAAATAAAATACATTAATTATTTACTGAAAGCAATATTGGACTAAGGCTTTAACATTTTTGGAAATCTGCGTCACTTTTCAAAGTTAAATTCTCCCCTTAACTGTTTTGCTTTGGAATGTTACTTGTGCAACACTGTTATTCACATCGACAGAATGAAGTACTACTTGTATATTATTACTTCACAAAAAAGGTATGTTGTCACCTGATTTCTGCTGCTAAAGCATTCTTATTGCTGTGTCTGTAATCATTCCTGCAAATACATAAGATATTCAGTGTTATGTTTTAGATATCCATAATTAATAAAATACATATTCCTAGAACACAAATATATTGCAAAACAATAAATACATGTCTTTGTACAGGTATATAATTATTTATGAAGATTTTGGGTTGTTGCAAAAATGGACCCTCTCTGTTTGGAACACCTTTTCAAAGAACGATTTAAGCCAGCACTGTACCATAATGAATGAAAAGGAGCTAATAAGTATTTGGAACAACACTCATATTAATCCATATACTTGAATAAAAGTGTAATGCAAACAATGAATAAATAAAATATTCTTAATGATAATGCAACAATTCCTTAAATGCCTCAGTCACATCTGATCTACGGAAATTACGACAGCTGTGTAGCTTCCCGAAATAAGAGAAATATGTAGCATAAATATAGGGATAAGCAGTGTGATATAGATTTTCTATATCAATTTTGTGGGGTTGTGGCTGCCAAAGAGCAAATGAGACTGCGAGGCTTTAACATCAAAAAATGATTAATCATAAACAAGAAACAACAACAAATAACAGTGTAATGTCTAAATAATTTCTCCTAATACATGGAGTACCTTTGACCCTGGTGACAGTCATGATACCTCCTCTGTAACATATATTCTTCTTGCATCATAAATTCTTGCTGATCATTTATCCTTTGGTCCAATGTTTCCATCCATTTTCTGTAGCTGTTTTTATATGGTGTTAATTGGTGCGAGTCATCAATCTTATATGCTCCAGAATATGTTTCTAAATTGTGATAATTTCTGTGGTTAAGTGGAAGATCATATAAAGGGCTTTCGTTTTTCATTTCTACACTGTCATATTCCCTATTGGTTTTAGGGAATGCCCCGTAGGTCTGTAATTTTCTTGTGCTATCCACTGGTTTGACAGTGTATTTTGTACCAACCATATATCTTTCATTAGCTGTGTTATCATATTCTGGCTGTATTAGAGAAATCAGACTATCAAGTGATTTCTCATCATCACTCCCTGTTGCATTTACAGTGTGCTTCAGTTTCATGGATTGTACTGGAGGCAATCTCCATCTATTTTCTACACCAGTATGGGTATAGTTTGGCTCATTTTCAAAAGGACTCTCTGGGCTCAATTTTACACCATATCTTGATAATGTCACATCACTCTCTCTTGAAGAAGCCTCAGAGTCAGGTCTGATATCTTCGTTAACACTTTCCTTTGCATTATCTTCCGAGAAATGCTCACTCAGTGTATGTAACACTGTATTTTTACCAATTTTTGATTTACAGAGATTCCATTTAGACTGAATTTGTGTGTTTCTGCTCTCTTCTTGTGTTCTGGTTTTGTTCCAGACTTTCTGTACTTTTTTGTTGAGAAGTGTATCATGTATGTCGTTAGTTCTGTCTTTTAGACTAAGCAGATCTTCAATAGTCACAGGAGGGCTACTGTATGGATAAAAACCAATAAATTGGTTGTTTCAAATAGAAGTGAAAAGATATGGTAATTCAATAGACTACATGTAGAAGTTGTAATATTTAGTCAAAATGATATATTCGAAATCTTCATATGAGAAATTTCAAATTTTTTGATTTTGTGATTTCCATATCAGGTAGATTAACCATAGAGACCATGTTAAAATTGACAAATGTATATATGCCAGTAATAAGACAGGTTGTGGAAACCACCTTCGATTGTATAAAAACTCTGCCCAAAGGCACCAGTGTTGACTTCATGTGTACTAGATTTGCGAGTAAAAAATACAGTTTTTTTAAAAAAAAAGAACAAATGCGGGGTAAAAAACTTGAAATAAGTCAAAATAGACTTGCTTCAACCAATGTGATGTCTCTCTCCTAAACACTTCAACTACCCCAAAATGTGAACAAAAAAAGTGAAGTAGATTGGAGAGAGATGGGTCAGGAGACTTGATGGAAGCCTTAAATCAGATCACCTACCTTGCTTTGTTTAAACCAGACACCTGTCTCTTTAAGTCCTCAATGGACTCTTGATTGCGTAGTTCCTGCTCCCTAAGTTCTTGTATTAAACCTTTAACACCATTCCTCACAGAGCGGTCTTGTTGTGGGGGAGTCCCATTTGCAAGGTCATCCAACCTTCTACGTATGTCTAAAAAAGATTAAAATGAAAAAATGTTGATTGCCTTTCATTAATATGTTCTGAAGAGAGTTGGGTACATGTGATGCAAAAACATAGTGTTGTCACAAAAAGGACAACAAAACATGCAAAATGTCACCACCTCGCATTTGTTACAGATGCTAAATACCAACTGCCAGCCTGGCCGCCTGGTCTGGGGTGGATAATGAGTTTGTACTTAGTTTTCAATAGGTTGTGATAAGTGAATACTAATAACTTCATTTCCATGGGCAAAACTGTGAAATCTTTGCCCTGGATTGGGCCCTTTGAAATGAGGTTATTGCTATATTCTTAATACCCTATGGATTATCCTATGGTTTTGACCTGAAAAAATATGATTTATATCTATGAGTACACTCACACTGTGAAGATATATATATCTATGAGCTGTCAAATATCTCTGCCATCAACATAATAAGTAGTAAGAGGAGAATTGGGAAGAATACCTTTGGTACATGTAGTTGATATTATAAAAAGACAAATCAAATACTTCGGTCATTTAGAGTTGAGTTCAAATGGGAGTTTACTAAACGATTCATTAATTATGAGTAAAACATTTGTTTAAACAAATAACACATTTACATGGCACAAACAACTCAAAAATATACTGTGCCATATTAAAATAAAAATGTCTGATGAAGAGCACAAATAGGCTTGCTATTAAAGTCAAAAAGAAATTAATAGAGAGATATCAAGTATATTGGAAGAATCTGATAAGTGGGAATGGGGGGAAACTTAGATTATTTAAACAACTAAAATCGCACTTTGGGTTTGAACACTACCTTTCAGAAACGACACTTTCAAACGCTAAACATTTAACTAGATTATGTATAAGTACCCACAATCTAGAGATAGAGAGAGGCCGATATACAAAACCAATTACTGATCTTAATAGTCGATTTTGTAAAATATGTAAGGACTCGGTTATAGAAGATGAAACAAACTTTTTAATCAAATGTAAAAAATTGGAGTTTATCAGAAAATCCCATATTGAAAAACTTGAAAACCTGTGTAGTAATTTTAAAAACATGAATGATCACCAAAAGACAATTTTTCTATTGACGAGTGAGGGGATCATATTAAAAGAATCTGCTGACATGATAAAGTATCTAATGATTGGTAGAGACAGGATTCTTATATCAAAGTAACATTTTATATATGTCATTTGAAGAATGTAATCCTATTTTCTTTACTTTATTGCTATATTTACTCTTATTGAAAATTGTATATCGGATGTACGTTTGGCCCTAAAAGGGCATCAGTACTAATAAAATCCTATATCTATATAATACAATAAGGTAACATACAAACAGCATTGTTACAAATAAAAACCAACCTTCTCTCCTTTGCTCCAAAGATTTCCCAATGTTCTGTATATCTGCAAGTTTTCTATTGTGAATCATTTGTGCTTGGTTATCCTGCTCTTGTCTGCTGTTTGTATTCTCCTTTGTAAGCTCATGCTGCAATTGCAAGTAACAATAAAGCATAAGTATACAGACTAGGCTTTCAGGGAATATTGCTTGTTAAAGATGCACCATTTTTATTCAATGGAATAAAATATTTGTATAGTAATCCCCTTCAGTTGAAAATTCACTAGCTATTATGGCATTTCATCACTCAATTACACATTTTCATTTTTCATCAAACTTATTAAAACCAAAATTCTAACACATGACATTTTGATAACATTGGGCAAGGCTACACTATAAAGCCAAAATGGTTTAAACTTTACAAAGGACCTTTAAGATCTAAAATGAAGGACCCACGGTCCTCTGCTCACACAGTTTGGAACCTTCAGAGGAATTTATATCCTGACTTTCAAACAAAAATATTGATTTGGATTTGTAGTCTCGAACTTTGAGAAACTTAGAAAGCATAGTTGTGTGACCTAGTTTGATGACCTTTGACCTTGAAAATTTTACTTATTCACAGCTCAGTAAGGTATTTTGTGATTAAGCTGACCTAAATTTACATCCAAAAATCAATTTGAAAAATCAACTTTTTGACCTTTCGAAGGTCACTGAAGATCAAGTAAAGGTCAAATCCTAAAACTAATGTCAGATTTGAACTCCTGGCAACTTGTAGATGATTTTCATAAAAAAATTTGGTCAAATTGAAGCAAGTTGAAAAATAACTTATTTTTACTGTTTTTTGACGTCAAATATCTCAAAAACGGTAAAAATTTGATGCTGACATATATTGAGAAATATGTAGGGAATGCTTGAATCTATTAATGATGTAATTTATTGCAGGAAATGATCAAGTATAAGGGAAACTTTAAGAATCTTGTCAATCACAAAACCTGCCATTGACTTTATACATGAGAAAGTTTCCTGAAAATGACTAAGTCCTACTTTTTTTCAAATTTTATAGAGTAAACACCAAAAACCGTAATTCCAAGAGCTTTGAAATCTTCAGAGGACATAAGTTGCATATACACCAACTACTAAAAGTTATTTGAAAGTTCTACTTCAACAAAGTGTCTAGTATTTACAGAAAATTTGACTTTTTGACGTCAAAATCCGCAATTTCTCGGAAACCGGGCGAACTTGGGAAATGGCGATGATAGGTCAAATAGGCATTATGACTATGCATAAAATGAATGTGGATATGACTCAATCCGAATAGCAGTTTTAATTTGTGCGGCCAATGTTGACGGACAGACGGACGGACGGACGGACAGACGGACGGACCAACGGACGGACCAACGGACGGACGGACGGACGGACGGACGCCTGGTCAATCCCATAGGCTCACTGTGTGAGCCAAAAACACTTGATGAGGCTTTAAATTAGAAAATATAAAATTTTCCAAACTGATCTACACTGAATACAACTAACCTGGGATTGCGGTCTTGTATCTGGTGAATGTCTCACTGACAACACCTGACTAGGTTGTTTTGGTGACTTCTGGGGTGGAGGAGTTTCTCTAAAGTTTGTGAGAAGTTGTCTCTCTTCACGATCCCTCTGGGAGCGGTTTTGTTGTCTGACTTGTTTAAGCTTCTCCAAATCTTTAACTTTAGAGTTCCAGGTATTTTCAGGTGATGAATTTGAACCCTGTAAAATTGAACACTGACCAGTAAAGCTCAGTTCAGTATATCATATTTTATGTAAATGTACCTAATTGTATGAAGAGCAGCACTTTAATTAGCTCTAGAGCTTTTAATTCTAGGCTTGGTTTCAAATCTAAATAAATCTGGGAAAAAAGGGGGGGCAGTCGCCCCCCCCCCCCCCCCCAATGCCCTCCTCTTCCGACGCCAATGCATATCACCTGTCAGTTTCCTTTGTTTATTTTAGGCTTTTACTTCTGGTGGTCAATATTCAATCTGGACTCCCGGGGCCATCTATCAAATATCAACCAGTAGAAGTTAAAGCTCCCTTATACTTTCCAACTCTACAGAACACAATATTAACACATGAGTAGCATTTATAATATACATACCTGACTTGATCCAGCCAGGCCTCCACAGAATTTTTGTTTATGAATGGACAACTGATTCGGGTTGGAGAATATCATCTTACATTCCTTGCACTTCAGTGATGTATTTAACGAAGCCATCTTAGTCTAAAGCGCCAGATTCCTAGAAGTAGGAAATGTTTTTACTGACAGGTCAACACTGAATACTGGGCTAGTAGCCATGATTTTTCACATTGAATTCTAAGTCCAAACTAGCAAAAATTAAAAATCTATACACACTGAACCCCAAATTGTGTGTTTTTACAAAATACTAGCTACAGAGTGACCAAATTTAGTAGGTACATGAAACTGTGACCACTGACCACGACCAGGAATACGTATAATTAGATTATTAATTGATCCAATCAGTGATTGTAAACTGTAAAGGCAATATAATAAAGTCTTTGATACAGTCTTTGAAGGGTTCGATTTTAAACATTATTAAGAAGATTATTAGAATTATTATTAGATTATTAGAATATAAACCTTAGTTTATCTTGAATTATAGATGAATCGATGGATCTGTCAACTGTCTAGCCATAAAATGAAACTGGTATCGAAAAAAGGTTAAAGGAATTCTGGGAGAGACAAGTGACAAAATATTGCTTCTTGGACAAGATCATAAGACTTTGACATATTCTTTACCCTACCTATTTTGTAATTTAACAATCAACATACCATATTTGTACTATACATACCATATTTGAGCAGATATCGGACAAATTCATAATAATATTTTTTCGATTATTAAACCGAAAGTGTGATCTGTGACGTCCGCGAGTGAATATTTCAATTATTCAAATTTTGCCGTGGATTCGATTTTAAATGCTTCTAAAGGATCGTCCAATGCTTTCTATAATTTCTATTAGTAATGTTTTTACTTCCCCGCTTCATAAAAGGAACATTATCACAATTTACTCTATAATTAAGCAAAAACTGAGAATAAATAATAATCTTTAAAACATTTAAAAATTGCACCCTTCAAAGACTGTGTCAAGATCCACCTACGTGGGTACAAGGTTTTTTATACAAAGCCAGACTGACCGACCAACAAAAATCATTTCGAGAAATCAAAAGCAGACATGAAATCAAAATAGCTTAAATTATTAACATTTCTGCAATTCCGGCTTTATTTTATGACTAGACAGATGACAGATCCATAAATAAAGGCATATGGGTGGCATTTGGTGCATTAATTCATCTATTATTCATCATAAACTAAGATTTAATAACTTCTTTAAAATTAAACCCTTTAAAGACTGTATCAGGTCCCAGGTAAGTGGGTACGAGGTAGGAGGTTTTTTATACAAAGCCTAAAAATATTTCACATACCAAAAGCTTGTTACTTGAAAAGTGTCATTTACAATGAGGAAATCAATTCTACTTGAACAAAAAAGCAAAACTCAAAAGTAGCCAAAATCTGCATTCAGATGAAAAAATATAGCAGGGCTGATCACGAGGGTGTGGTCCTTTCAAAGGGGGAGGGGAGTAAAGACTTGGTAGCAATTTATAACTACAGCCCAGCTGTAGTGGCTTAATTTTGTTTATCTGGATTGTTACACTACTATCTTCATTAGTTACATGTAGTTGTGCTAGGGGAGATTTATTTTTAAAACTTTTCAAAAACATGGCAGGCTTCGTGATTCGGAAATACATGTATAAGCCAATGTCGAAAAAGCCCCATGATCGAAATAGCCCCATGGCAAAACAACCCCATAGTAGAGGTTCGACGCATCTCCCCTACAAATGCAAATTGACGACTGTGTCATCCAGGAGTCATCCATTGAAAGCTCATGTTTGTGGTAAGTGAAATTCGGAGAATGGAAAGTCATTGCACTTGCAGAGCTGTCAAGTGTCCCGCGAATGGCGGGATTATCCCGCGAATTTGATCAAAATTAGGCTAATTCGCGTGTCCCGCAATGTCCCGCGAAGTCCCGCAAATGTGGCTTTAACCTCCGCGAATTTCCGAAATTGTTGCAATCCCCTATATTGTGATTATCTTATCTTATATAAGAAGCTAAGTTTTTGCACTTTTGAGGAGTAAAGTTTACCTTGTTGTAAGTACCTAGCATGCTGTTGTTTGGTATCAAAATAAAGAGGAAGGGTTCAACTTTCATTTTAATTACGAAAATAGGGATGTAGGTCACAAACAGTTCCAACGTTGGCCTTTTTACTACCCGTTTGGCTTTCATCTCAGAACTGAGCAAATGTTAGCAAACGCGAGTTACAATAAATGGACGCTGATATGTAGAAAGGGTTTGTAGAAAAAACTGGGTACCGGGTTGTAAATCCTCCATGCTGGGTTCAAACTTGGTACCCGGTCAAAAAAACGGGTACCCAAAAAAACGAAAAATACGAATATATAACATAATTAGATTATGAGAAAACGTGTAAGATTTGTTTTGAATTCACAAAAATGTATGGAACATCCTTCAAAATTGAGCTAGAAGCTTCAAATAAAAAGCATAGTTTAAGGCTCTTTTCTTCCTCTATCGTCATGGCCATATTTTCATTGGTTATGATGATAAAGGAAGAAAAGAGCCTTAAAATGCTTTTCATTTGAAGCTTCTAGCGCAATTTTGAAGGAAGTTACATACATTTTTGTAAATTCAAAACAAATCTTACACGTTTTCTAATGATCTAATTATGTTGTATATTCGTATATTTCGTTTTTTGGGTACCCGGTTTTTTCGACCGGGTACCAAGTTTGAACCCAGCATGGAGGATTTACTACCCGGTACCCGGTTTTTTCTACAAACCCTATCTAGAAAAGTAACCTCATTCCCTATAATTTGATGTAGATTAATCGAACCCCTATATCATGGGCTTTCAATTGAAAGCCCATGCCTACAGTATATGAATAGGTACATTTTAATATATAACATTATGGGGGTAAGCGTTTCATAGTTGGTCACGACGCCAGAAGTGCAAAGTATTGTTCCGAATTTTTGAATTTCGTGTTAGTACTACTCACACCTGAAGCATGGTTTTTGTTTTTGATAAATTACAATAAAGTTTAATAATATACCTATGCGTATTTTGTAAAATTGTGTTGACGTTTATTTAAGTTATAATGCAACGGTGCATATATTTGATTAATCAGTATCTGGAAGTTTGATTTAAGTACTTTAACATGCTTTTACATTAGTCCCAATCACGCAAATCCCTTGAATGTCCCGGGACATCCTGCAAATTTAGGTGGATGTCCCGCGAAATCCCGCAAATTTAGGGCACGTTGTCTAAAACATCTGTCTTAAATGTCCCGCAAAATCCCGCGAATTTAGTACATGTCCCGCTAAATCCCGCGAACTGGGTCTAAAAAATCTGTCCCGCGAGAAAATCTTTAGGGGTTGACAGTACTGCACTTGGGTGAGCTTGAGCAATTTAGCAACTTGAATTTTTCAAAATCTAAGTTAGATCCTATGTATTTCTAGGCTTACAAGTAACATTGTTGATTATTTGACTCAATATTATTGAATAAAACAAAAGTTGACGATGAAATTGCATACGCAATCACCTACCTCAGATAATCTAAACTGACGTCTCAAATATCATAATCATTTTTTACTAGATTTCAATTCTTATTGCAAGACAAAGGCTTCGGCATTTTCACTCCATAACATTTCATTTTTAAATGTTTACAGGAACGACGTTGTCTCAAACTTTGTACAATTTATTTTATTTTTCCATTCCAAGCTTTTCGCTACATCGAGATTGTTTGCAAAATTGACTGTTCCTGCGTTTCCGGCATACTTCACGTTGCGTCAGATATATCAATATTATCGGGATTTAGTGTGTTATTTGCATATATTTTATAAAATAGATACATTGAAGATATGCCTATAATTGGAGTGAAACGTGATCTATTGTTTGAAGCGCTTGGAAAGACGTACAGTAAGTGAAAATCATATATTTATCTGAAAAATTTTGAAAAAATTAAAATAGAGTCAATACGTCCAAATCCAAACAGGGGGGTAAACACGAACGGGTTCCAAATAATGGCAAGCAGATCATTGAATTGAATAATAGTACCTCTACTACCTCTACATAATATTTATAGCCTGAAAGATACAATATAATGATGTATACCAACAATCTTACAATAAAATAATCAATTATGATGATTTAGGTGTTCGGAATTACCCCCATGCTAGTGTTTGGAATTACCCCCACAAACTCTGTGCGTTTAAATAAATAGATGTCAGTAATAAATGATTTAAATTTGGGTTTCTTGATATGCAGGGGTGACAGGATCCAGTATCATAAGTTAAGGGTATCATATAATGATATACCATCAATCTAATAATTAAAAAAATTAAGTTTAAGTTAAGTGTTTGGAATTACCCCCATGCAAGTGTTCGGATTTACCCCCCAAAAAAACTCCTGTTCGGAATTACCCCCCTGAAATACCTTGTAGTAAAAATGGAATAACCCAGATATTTTTTACAATTTTTCGTAATTTTTTCTGCAAATGCATTCTACCATGGATAATACACATAATATATATAGAATCATAGCATAGATGTGCAGTACAGCCAAGCTAACTACATTTTTTGATGGGGGTGTTTGGAAATAGACGTACTGACTCTACAGTTGGGGACATAAATAAATGACAGGTGGATTTGCTGAAGTGAGGATTTCCCATGTTAAAAATAAGAGAATTTACAAGAGGCCATACATCAGTGGATGAGATTATACAAAATATAAAATATACAAATTTTAAGGGATATAGTCTATATCTAGACAATATTTGAAATTATGGGCTTTCAGACCACCATAATTAGGAAATGGTGATCGAAAATCGACCTGTCATTTATTTTTGTCCCCAACTGTAAACGGGATCATAATGATAGGCCAGGGAAATGTATAAAAAATCTGTTCGAGTACACCACTAACTTGGTGTATTCGATTCAATTTTTTGAGATTTCCTCTGTTGAAGGCAGCTGCACAGTAGGAGCTTCAGTGACTACTTTGCATAAGATCTTGATCCATTGACCGAGTTTGCTCCTGTAATTTACCTTCTTCTAAGGCCACTATATCGTGGCCTTCGTCCAAAGATAAATCCTGCAGGTTTTTTATTCTGCCGGATGTGAATCATGTTGCTGTATGTATGGGTCATGTAGTAATCATAAAATTTGAAATCAAATGCGCCATTTTTCCACATCACAATTTCTTTCAAATTGAAATGCAAGTTTTGGTCTTATTACCTCACCAAAAATTCCAAAACACAGAATTATCTATCAGTGATCACACATTCAGTCATTGCCACAACAACAATCAATTTATTAATTTTTTTAAATTATTAATCTTTCTTGTATATTTCAGCTGATGAGGAATTTGATGAACTATGCTTCGAGTTTGGCCTAGAGTTAGATGAAGTGGTATGTATAAGTTTCTTTTTAGTATGACAGATATATCAACAAATGACTCAACTCAAATGACATCAACTCTGAAGGTTTCTTTTTTTAAGTTAGAGGGTGGGTGTTAAGACAAAATGTAAATAATTATGTTTTTAGATCAGGGATGATATGGGTGTTTAAATGTATATCCACCTTGGCCCTAAACCATGTGTGTAATTGCAGACGACAGAAAAAGCCATGCTGAGTAAGGAGCAGGGTGCAGAGAAGGCACTGGAAGCTGATGATGAAGTCATCTATAGGGTCGAGCTACCAGCTAATAGGTAATAGACCTGGCAAATAACACTCAGCTCTTGTATTAGTGCCCCCCCCCCCCTAAGGATTTTTTCAAGTCAGTGTAGAAATCTCATTTTCATTATTCTGACCAAGTTAGTCAAAATATTCCAATTGTCACAAACTTTCTCATCTTTAGGTATGAAAATGGGTTTTCAGGGCTGTAAGCATCTCCAGTAGAAATTTTAAGTGGTTCAAGGATCAACTTTTATTTGTGATTATGGGGATCACAGTGCTTTGTCCTCTACAGAGATAAAATGATTGAAAAAATGTTAGAATTGTACATTTTCAGAATCAGTTATGTTAAAATCAAATCGAATGGCTAGGTTAACCCTTTTATTACTTATAAACACAAAATTTGTAACCAATTTTGAGGATCTTTTGTCAAATTCCTTTCATTCAGGCATGTACTGTTCTTATTTCAGATATGACTTACTGTGTGTTGAGGGTCTGGTCAGGGGACTTCTAGTCTTTAAAGAAAAGTAAGTTTCTAGAATACGTTTAACAGAAAGAGAAAGAGAGAGCTTTTAGAGAAAGCTCTCGAAAATCAATGAGTTAACATACAATGTGTAATACACTGATCTCTACAAGATTTTTTCTCAAGTGGGTGCATAATTCAGACCAAAATTGGTCAAATTATGCCCATTTTTCATGATTTTTCTCATTTTCAAGTGGGTGCAAATGGATTTTCAGGTGGGTGCATGCCTATTTTCAAAATCTCAGGTGGATGCTGCGCCCACTTGCTTTAATGCTGGGGAGATCACTGTAATACAGGGTGTCCAATAAATAAGGTGAAAGATATTATAACTTTCTTAATATTGCACCAATCTTGATGAAATTTTCAGAGTTTGTAGCCCAAACCTTTTTACCTTTATTCTGTGAATTTAAAGCGTCTTCTATTTGATTGGCCAGAGTTGTGGTTGCTATAGCAACCGAAACAACAAAAAGGCGGGGCAAGTTTGTTTACGTCACAACTTTCCAAAACATATTTATTTTTTCTGATAGCTTTATTCATACTCCCAGGTCTATTACTACAACAAATACAATATAAAAACAGCCCTAAAGTCCCATTGCTATGAAAATAAGCTATTTAACATAATGCCCATCTCTGGCTATACACTTCTTATGCCCACTCTCTAAACACACTTTCAAACCCATTCTTGCCCATTTCCTGAAGTCTTGCTAAGACATTTGATCTGAGTTCACACACAGCTATGCTCACTAGTGAAACTATTAGGAATGGGGCTACCCCTACTTGCACACCCTCCATATTCCCCAGACCTTGCACCCAATGACTTTTACTTATATGCAGAACTCAAGCGTGACTTATGAGGAAATAAATTTGGAAGCACTGATGAACTCAGATCACATGTCTTAGCAAGACTTCAGGAAATGGGCGAGAATGGGTTCATAAATGTGTTTAGAGAGAGGGTGAATAGGCATAAGAAGTGTATAGCTAGAGATGGACATTATGTTGAATAGCTTATTTTCATAACAATGGGACTTTAGGACTGTTTTTTATATTGTATCTGTTGTATTTGTGGTAGTAATAGACCTGGGACTATGAATAAAGCTATCAGAAAGAATAAATATGTTTTGGAAAGTTGTGACGTAAACAAACTTGCCCCGCCTTTTTGTTGTTTCGGTTGCTATACCAACCACAACTCTGGCCAATCAAATAGAAGACGCTTTAAATTCACAGAATAAAGGTAAAACGTTTGGGCTACAAACTCTGAAAATTTCATCAAGATTGGTGCAATATTAAGAAAGTTACAATATCTTTCACCTTATTTATTGGACACCCTGTAGATGTCAGTTTCACTGCATGTAAAGCCTTGGTGTTCCCAGTCCTAATCCCATATTCTCGCCAAGAATGCTTGTCAAATAGATAGTAGGAGAGGAATTGAAACAAGACTAGGGCTATGTGGCATGTGTGTGGTTATTAAAAAAGTCAAATATAAATTTTAAACCAAACTTTTCTTTGTTAGAATTGCTGCTCCCAGATACAAAGTAGTAGTCCCAAAAACAAACATGCAGAGACTTATTATCAAACCAGAGGTGAGTACAATTTCTTATTTCTCAGTTCTTGTGTCGATGTTTCATCATATGATTGGTGAACATTATAATTTCATCTATATTTTTAAAATGTTCAGATTGACAATACTGTACTTTGATATCCCTAAAATAATCAAAATGCACACCACGTACTATCCAGACCCCATTGTACTGTTAGTTTGCTAGTGGTATCATCATCTTATTAATGAGGGGTCTCGCTCATGTAGTATATACTTGTAGCCCCTAGCTATGTTAACACTGGCAAGCGCATTGTACTGTGGGGTTTCATACCTATGATGCAATTACATTGAACATGTTTCTGTTACAGACTGGACAGGTAAGACCCCATGCAGTGGCAGCTGTTCTGAGAAACATTACATTCACCAAGGTGAGTTATTTGTTTAATTACTATCTTTATTCATCCATTTTTCTAAAAAGGCATGTGTGAAGCACATTAAAATAGCCAAATTCTTACATGAAACAAGTGAATATTTTTCAACAATGTAAACAAAAGCATTTCAAAAAATGTGAAGCTGGAAATCCCCTGTAAGTTATGATAACTTTGGGAACCACCTCCCCCATTTTCTAAAATAATGTTGAATGCATACAGTATAGAAGACAAAAACTTGGATGATAAAAATTATTTCTTGCCTCTAGTTATCGCAGAATTCTACAAAGTGAAGCTTGTGCGGTTAAAGCCCATGATTTAAAGATGAAAAACTAGCGTATTCCTATGTCAATTTTGAATACATGAATTTTTTCAATAGTTAAAAACTACAATGCCTCATATTGTCTTGTTTACATATAAAACAAAATTGGACTGTTATGAAACACCCTGTATATTGATTTCTCTTATTGCAGGAGAGATATAACAGTTTCATAGAACTACAAGATAAACTTCACCAAAACATATGCAGGTAATTCATTACTATATTGAAATCAGTTGATTTCACAGATGATTTTACAGTTTTGATATAGATATGATCTTTATATTCTCAAATGTATCTTTTGTAACTTTTATTGGAGATTTGAATGTGCAATAAATGTGGAAATGTTGTATAATGAAACATCCATTGTACATGTGCAGTGAAACAATTTCTTCTTAAATGGATATTTCTCCCTATATGGCATGACTTACAGACTGTATGACTATCTTGGACTTTTCTTGAGAAAAAGCATGTGAATCTATATAGGCTTTTGCTCAGTCACATCTTTGCAAGTCTACCAGCCAATCAGAAGCTCCAGTCTTTGGTAAAATTAACATACTTCTGAATTTTCGTAATATATTTCTATGTAAACAGTAAAAAAGTATGTAGTGAAACTCAAGCGAAGTAAATATTTGTTTGAAAAAAAATTTTCATTTTTTCAGAAAGAGGTCACTAGTAGCTATAGGAACTCATGATCTAGATACCATACAGGGTCCATTCACATTTAACGCACAACCTCCAGCAGATATTAAATTCAAGCCACTCAGCCAAACCAAAGAATTCACAGCTGTAGAACTGATGGAGTTATATTCTGTAAGTATTGTATCATCATGAATTCTAGCTCAATACACTGTAGAACCAGCTAGATATCATGACCAGTCAGAGAGTTTCTAGGAGTAACTAGTCTTGTATCAAGACCCTGGACCCCCCTCCCCCCCCCCCCCTTATCAACTTCAACAATAGATAGGGGGTCTAGGGGTCTTGAGGCAAGACTAGAGAATTTTTATATGTTGTAATGTGCAAAATAAAGAGCACCAGGCAGGATGACCATGAAGTTTCACTAAGTAAATCTTGCCTCATTGTAAATATGAACCGATTGGAATGAAGGTATGGGTTCTTATGGTAACCCATAATGACATTGTCTACAGCACCATTCACCATTGCATTTACCAGAAATGTATTTTGGATTCCAAACTAAGCTGCCTATTATTTACTCTTATCAGACTACCATTAAATAAATGAGCAAAATTTGCTGACCATTATACTTGGTCAAAACACATGTTGATATTGAAAACTATCAGACCAGGGATGCAATAATAATGCAGTAAATTAATCAAATTACAGTATAGTACTAAGAGTTCATTAAACATTCTTACAGGGCGACAGTCATCTGCGGCACTATCTTCCAATCATTCGAGACAAGCCAGTATACCCAGTTATCTATGACAGCAATGGGGTTGTTTTATCCATGCCTCCTATCATTAATGGTATGTGTTACTATACAGTATTATTATATAGTACATATAATGTAATTAATTTACACAATGATTCCCATAAATGTAATTCTATCATTCTTGAGGGTCGAATAAAGTTTCATCCATGGGACTTGTCAGTATTGTTATCCATATTATGTTATTATAAAGTAATTTAAGTCTTAAACAATGCATTCATTGAAGTGATGTTAAGTTGTAGACAAGAAATGTGAGTAGTAAATCCTAAATGAGAATAATACACTGAGGCACATGAGCTAAAATGCTTTTCCAAGTTCCACATTGGCATGAAGCATGTTTTCACAAATCTTAAAGCCACAGTTCTGACCAAGGTCTCTCTGGAAATTATACCATATGTTCACATTCTAGGTGAACATTCCAAGATCCACACTGGCACAAAGAATGTGTTCATAGAGTGTACAGCCACAGATCTGACCAAAGCCAAGATTGTTCTGGACCAACTGGTGGCAATGTTCAGTGAATATTGTGCGGAGCCATTTGTGTAAGTAATTCAGTTTTCAATTTTAACATAATTTAATCAATAGTAGGAAAGGATTTATGGTTAAAATGTAGTGTTCCATCAATTCCAAGAATTAAGATTAAAATAAAACTTTAGGCTTCCTTGTTCTTTGAGATTCAATTCAAGTGGAAGGATGGTATCGATGTAAAAATAGTTTAAGTAAAAGGCTTCCTGGTTTGATAAATGTTGACAACTCTCATGACCATTCCTTTTTGATGTACTTCAGGCTCAGATAGATGGAGGCATAACATTACAAACCTATAATCAGCTTTGCTTAGGAAAGGGCTGTTATGTCTCAGTTGGAGCTCAATCTGACAAAAATGAATTTTATTTTTAAAAATGCCAATTTTATCTTTGAAAGTCTTAAAAAGCATATCTCTTTCAAAAAGAGGTAGGTCAGAACTTTCCAGGGTACCTCCAAAGTTCCCCCACCTGGCTACAAATATGCATTACATGTATGATTAGTCCCTTACTGTTATTTATTTAAACTTTTAGAGTGGAGGCAGTTGAGGTTGTACAGCCTGATGGTACCATTGTTATGTACCCTGTAAGTATGACTTCATACAGGGTGATCCTATTTAGTGAGCCCAAAATAATCTCAATTAGTGAAATAGTTGTATCACATAGTTATACATAGATTAGAGATAGAGGACATGAAAAATGTCAGAGTATATCTGAAACACAACTCAATAATGGCTTGTTGTTTTTTAACTCCTCTTGTGAAAATGCCTCTGGTTTGATGGTCTGGAGAGCACCTGCACATTCTTGATACATGCATTTCTTGCTCTGTATTAAAGAGAGAATCAGAGATAGCGAGCAGGCTAAACAAAAAATTGTTTCAATTTTAGAATATTTTTGGCTCATGTCATTCCTTGTCATGTCTATTTTCTAAAAATCACAAAAGTACATACTTTATTCAAGGAAAACAAAAGATTTTTACAATAATGTATTATTTTTCTATAAGAATGGTTACCATTCTTATTATTTGGGAGAATTTAAACATTTTTCATCCATTTTTGCACTTTGAATCATTAATAAGTTCGCCAATTTATAACATATTGTGAATCTTTTGGGAGATATTGTATTTGAGATTGTAAGGAATAGATTGGTAGGTCAATTATGCACGTTGCTTGTAATTTTGTCACCCCCTATAGATCTGATTCTGCCTTTAAACACAATAAATTCAACATTTATGATAAAAAAAGTTAAACATAGATTTCACTTAAAGGACAACTGAAATAGCTTTCTCAACTTGCAGCTACAAAAATGTGGTTTTCTCCATTGTAAGCCCACCGTAGAGTTCTTGTGATAGCCATTATAAAATAAATGTTAGATAATTGCTAACGGTCATAGATAACGAAATAAAACTAACTGATAAATCAAATTGGCCCCCACGTGATTAGTAACGTCATATACAAAATATAGCTTTGGTTTATTGGTTCCATAGTAATCACAACGTCACGGCAACCATAGGATTGTTGTGTAAACAAATAACAAAACATTTTGGCATTATGACGTCATGATCTAATGGACCAAAACGGGCCACGTGGGGACCAGTGAGAGATCACGTGGGGGCCAATAACGTCACAACCAATTCGAATATTGCTTATTAAGCAGCTATAACGATCGTTAGAGTGAAATAGTTTTCACCCTACTGATGAGAAAACATGTCCAAATACATCTATCAAAAAATTATGTTGATTCCTTTAGGTTAAAAATACCATTTCATATCTGCTTTAACGCATTTCAGATTTTCCATTACTTTTTATACTTCAGTATAAGCCTAAGTGGTTTAAACTTTGTAAGGGCCTTTGATAAAGAGAAACATTTTCCAGGGGAGCTTGTGAGTCTGTGTTAGACCCTTGGTAACTCACTGTGGATATAAATCAATTAACAAGAATCAATTTGAAGCAATGGTATCAAAGTGTGTGCAATTGAGTGATAACATTAGTGATAAAATTCTGCATGTTTTAATTGATCTTTGTTCTTTCTGGTTCTAGGAATTGAACTATAGAAAAGAAGTCATCTCCGTAGATTCAATCAATAAAAAGATAGGAATAAAGTAAGTAAATATTTGTTATTATTGATTTATTATGTCACCACCAAGAAGGGTGAGACATTCTTATTGTAGTCACCATTTTTATGTCACCACAAGAAGTGGTGACATATTGTTACAGTCTCCCAACTTTTCGTGGATGGCATTTGGTGTTTGGCATTCAGTGGCTGGTGTTCGGTGGTTTGTGACATTTCTGTAATTGCAACCAGGTGGTGACGTATTGTCACATTAATGATTTCTCGTATTAATGTGAACCTTTGAATTTGCTCCAAGTACTAGCTAGGTGGCAATTATTGAGCTGAATATGATTTCTATAATATGTTGTTAATTAGTTTATAAATAGTTTATTTTGGTACATCTGTAACATACAAACATATAAAATGTAAGCTCTGTGCAAAATCACTATATCATAATGACATAAATCAAGATTATTTCTACTCACACCAGACTATTGCAAATTCAACATAATACATGTACATGTTTACAAAGACAGCTAGAGCTTAATGTATTCTATGAGGAGAGATAAATTGTCATTGGTGCTACTAACTAACTAATAATGTCTTACTAACTCTCTAATCTTGATTATAAAATTAGATATAACAAGTGGTCCCCTTTTTGATTTTTTGCCAGATAATCAAATTAAGGATTATCTCTGAACAAAGTCGGAACTGAATAGGCCTGACATGTAACAATAAGAGCATAACATATTAAAATTCTGAGTTATTGCGAAAGTTGCCCCCAACTTGTCTATTGTCTTTATTGCACCATTTGAGCTAATGAAATGATGGAGAAACTTTTTTTTTTTGCTCTGAAAAATGATAATGTGCCAATTGTGAAGACAAGCCTGGTGAATGTGATAGCATGATATATAAGACTGAGGGGACATTTTTGAATGAATTGGAATCCAAGTGATCAAGAAAAGTGATACTCTCTACATTGTAAATACATGCATGTTATAATCATAGTCATTGTACATTAATTTACATATTCCATTCCAGTGCATGTACGTTTAGCATATCTAAGCATGTACATAAAGTATGTACATAAAGTATGACTGTGCATATGTATACATAGCATACATGTACTTGTTATTTACATGTACATAAAGCAACCCTGTGCATTGTCAGTACATATAGCATACCAATTCATGAACATATAGCACACATGTACTTACATATAGCATACCTATGCATGTACATATAGCACACATGTACATACATATATAGCATACCTGTGCATGTACATATAGCACACATGTACTTACATATAGCATACCTATGCATGTACATATAGCACACATGTACATACATATATAGCATACCTGCGCATGTACATATACACGGTGTCTGATACTACCCAACGTAAATCGTTCCGGACTTGTTTTTCATAACCATTTGGACTTGATTTCGTAGGAGAATGAGATGAGACATTTATCAAAATGGTTCAAAAAGGTAATATAATTCAATCGTTTAGGAAAATACATACACTAACTTCTACCTGAAACATTCTTTTTCATTCCCACATATCTATTTTGGCGATCGTGCCACCATAATTCATATTTATCGGCATTAAATAACAAAAATGCCAGAAATATGCTCTAAATCTGCATTAGTGTCATTTAACTATGTTTAAACAAAATAAATCACTTTACAACGTGGAACAATATTCACTACATTAAAGATTGTGTTAATATTTTAACTATCTGTACCTTCAAATTTCCATAAATGACCGTAATGTTAAAGTTGGAGTTAACGACGGCGAATGGTCGTTATTCTGACACGGACTTGTCTTATAATCACTAGGTGAACGACTACGAATTGTACACAACGTGATACAAACAACGATTGGGAATTGTCTTGTAATGGTATTTATACGTTTCGTTGCTTGATGAATTGTCTATGCTTCTGGAAAAATTGCACTTAGTATGATTATGTTTTAGAGGAGTTCTGGTACTAAATATTCACACATTTTGTAATTTCAGTTCCCAGAAACAAGTGCCACGAATGCACTTTTAAAAGTGCAGATAAAAATATATTCTTTGAACACTTCAAGAGGGACCACCCCTCCGATTTATTCAGGCTTGACGTCCCTTTTCGTGATACAGGCATATGGCGTTACAAAACACAGGATTATGGATTCCGGATGTGTGATAAATTAGGCTCAAAGCTGTCATTTGATGATGGTACCTCGATAAAGGAGGAAGAATACGTTGAACCAAGTCCTCTTCAGATTTTTAACAGTAAATAACGATTAAAACTAATTATTTCTTCTCAACTTTCACTTAACTTCTTGCTTAGCATTAATATTAGCATGGAAGTCAGTTTAAAGCCAATAAGGGCGTTTTAAAGTCTTATTTGAGGCAAACTTATGCTCACATTTTTCATAGGCAAATTAAAAATAGCGACAAGTGAAGTCCTTAAAAAAGCGAAGAGGCAAAACACAAGAAAAAGTAAAAATCAACTTTTCTCTCTACATGCATTCTTGCCCCTTGAAAGTATCAAGTAAAGAACATGTATCTGTAATGATTCCCTAATTCAACCTTGACAAATATCTCTTAATACGTTTAATTAATGATGATCATTTAGATAGTATCATTCAGACAACTTCTTCCACTGTCCTCATCCACTCAGATGATGATTTGTTGAAAATCTTTTAAGTTTATGGAGCTGTTCCACACTTAAAATGGTTCATTGTGTTCTACAAGTCAGAAACGTTCCAATAACACAAGTCAAAAACGTTCCAATAACAAGTCAACGTCATTAACTGGAATATTTAGGTCAAGTCCAAATGGTTAAATCTAAAAAATGATCTTTCGACAATTGCTACTCATTTAAACCATTTTAAATCATGATTTTCGTTCACAATATGGCTACTTTCATTATGAATCGGTGTATTCATTGGATACAAGGCAGGCTGGTGATTATCAGCAAAATAGGTGAAAACACTGGCAGAATCGCTCACATCCCGAAATAACAAGACTATAGCAAACGGTTCGTACAAAAAAGGCGTTTGCGGGTGCCTGAATATAGGGTATATAGTATGGTATGTTATCTAATTGTATTATATTTACATAAAGTCAAGTGAAAGCAATTTCATAACCAAATTTACAAACCTACCTCTACTTCTTTCCATAAATCAAGTCCCAATGGTTATGAAAAACAAGTCCGGAACGATTTACATTGGGTAGTATCGGACACCGTGATATAGCATACATGTACTTACATATATTATATATCGTATCTCTCCATGTACATATGTGGCAACCAATTTTATCGCTTGGTTAAATTATGCACATATTTTACACTTTTACTATGTTAATGATATTTTATTCACTTTTCCCTACTTTACAACTTTAATGTCTCCTTGAGTCCTCATTTTGGCTTTTTCTGACATAATTTGAGGAAGACCTGGAGTATCTATCCTGTGGAGGCCTATAGAGTTCTTGTGTTGGTCCAGGTGCTTGACCATACAGGTATGGATCTCTCCTTCCATCCCTTTCACTCTGTCTTGGAGGAGGGATTTTTCTTATTGTCCGAGTTGGTATGCCATTTTCTGGTGGTTGTATTGGGTATTGCTGGACCACAACGCCATCTGGAAGCACTCTAGTTGTAGGTCTTCTCATCACCTCCACATGTGGTCTTAAGACTTCCCTTCTTTCTTCAATCACATCAGGCCTATGAGATACAGCTCTAGAAATTGGTGGCTCATGAATGACTCTTGAAGGCCCATAGATGACTCTTGAAGGCTCATGGATGACTCTTGATGGCTCATGAATGACTCTTGGAGGCTCGTGGATGACTCTTGGTGGCTCACGAATGACTCTTGGAGGCTCACGAATGACTCTTGGTGGCTCATTGATTACTCTTTGTTCTCTGATAATTCTAGGTGGCTCTTGTATAATCCTTTGTGGCTCTTGAATAATCCTTTGTGGATCTTGGATGACCCTCACAGGCTCTGAAGTAGAGGGCTGGGGAATAGTGTAGATTATTTCTCTCTCAGGTTCCGGATACTCATCTTCTTGATAAGAGAACAGTGGTGGCCTCTGTTCGATATTTCTTTGTATAGACTGAGTATATATGGGATAGGCTGGAGCCTGGTCATCGTAGTAGTATTGTGGGTCAAAGTATTGCTGCATGGGTTGGGGATGAAGTTCAGCAAAAGGATATTGAGGCTCCTCATCTGCATACATGTGGTCAGAATAATCAGGAAATTTATCTAGCTCATCATACAATTTATGTTTCTTTTTGCTCTTCCTTTTTTCAGCTTCCTTTTTCCTCTTTGCAAGTTCTGCCTTGGTGAACACTTTACGTGGTGGGATGTCGTAATGTTTCCAGGGAGGGATCTCTGTGTCTTCAGGGTTGGGGTGTTTGATGTTATCCTTTGGGATAGCTGGCCGCTCAAATAAATGCATTTGAGTAGCGGGGCCCAATATGTCATCAGATGTTGATTCACCTTCCTTTGCAGTGTTGTCTCCCACATTCATTGCTTTCATGTTTGTCTCAATCGCCTCAGCATTGTAGTCGTAAATTGGGTTTGATCTGAAGACTTCCTTTGGGGGGTCTACAGGGTCTGTACCAGCATTAAAAGGTAGCCTCACAAACTCGCCTTGAGGTGTACCATACATAGGGACATGACCTTCCTCATGACCCCCATCAAAGGTCTGCAGGTATTCTACAACATCATATTTTTGTTTATCCCAGGCATACATTACAGCTGTTCTCCCAGCTTTATCCCTCACTATGGGATCAGCTTTTTTGGATACAAGATATTTTACGACCGCTAAGTGGCCTCCTGCAGCTGCGTAATGTGTTGCGACCCTGCCCCAATCATCTTCGAGTGTCAAGTCTGCCTTGTACACATTGACAAGAGTTTCAACTAGTGCCAGATAGCCTGCGAAGCTAGCTAGGTGTAAGATTGTAATGTTATCAGGTGTGCGATAGTCCACATCAATGTTAGTCTCTTCTAAGAATACCTCCACGATTGTACGCCCATCAACCAGACCAGCAATATGGAATGGTGTCATTGTTTTCAGTCCACTCAAGGCTATCCATGATATCAAAGCTGTATTCGACTCACTCACATTTTGTATACTTCGAAGATCGTTAATGCTTAACTTTGTTTTAACAACTGTCTCCAGTGGTTTTCCTTTGGATTTGAATTCTTTGATGACATCACTTACATGGCTAGACTCCCCTTTCAAGATGGCTTTTACGAGTTTTTCAGCATCCGCTGTCATCTCTGCAGCTTCTAGATCTTGTATTTTAACCATGGAGTCAACAGAGTCTCTGAAAATGTGATATTTTATAATATACACCTTTGTTTATTTTCAAGTCATTTGTAAACAAAGTATGATCCACAAGGCATGATTCATTTATGTTGAATCTTACATAGAATCGTTTGAATTGAATTATGGTATTAAAAAGTAAGTTTGTCAATTTTACTATTTATGATCTTAAAAGTACTGTATGCCTTTTCATCAAATGTTTTATACATATTTCTTGTAATCATGGTTCGGTCTTTTTAATCCTATGCATTATATTTGTAAACAATGGGCTATATATAATGTCCAAGTCCAATTTATCATGTGAATATGCTTCTTAAGGTTCAATTATCATATAACATTTTTGAATATGTTTACTTTTGATATGTAAGTGCATAACATCAGTGCATTCTTGTTTTGAAAAACATGGATTTCAGAACTTCTGCTTCATACTTATCTTTCTAAAATTAAAAAGAATAGATAAAAGAACATGTCTACCATTTTCTTCTGACTTAATCTTATCGCTCATAATTTATATCTGCATTAGGTACATATGCTTTTAATACTTTGCTATATTGATAAAAGGAAAAATGCAGATGTCTGAAATCTATAATCTAGATACTTACAAGAAAATATCCATCATTGCCATGATTTTCTGTTATTATGATTAATGCAGTTTTCAAAACTTACAAAATAATTGTCTCATTTATATTGAACCCTTGCCGTTATTTAAAGTTTGTGATTTACATTACATGTTTTGAGAACAGGTAGTTCAAATAAGAATATGGTGACATTTTTATTTCAGTTATTTATGATTCTACGAATCGGTGATGTAAACTAATGTTCTTTTAAATCAATTTTAAGTTGTGACCTTTTACATGTGTTGAAATCGTGCAGTACACTCCGAGAGTTTAACAATGAATTTTTTGTGTAAACAAATAATTTGTTGATTCAATTGAAGTGAACTTACCTTAATGTGGACAAATGAGTCTCTGCCTGCCTACTTTCCTTGAGATTTATGCTTCCTTGTGTAACCTAACACCCAGAATGATTTGACACTCTAAAAAAGATGAATGACTATTTTTTGTTTGCACTGCAATTGTGTATTACTCGTAAACAGCAAGTCCTTTGTATACTTAAAAGGGAGGGTCAACCTTTCGCTACCTGTCATGTAAACCCACTTATTGGTAAAATGTCTTTGGAATCAGTAATGAAAAAATGTCATTGTTTGCTTTACAATTGAGCATCTGTAATATCCATTGAATCAAAAACATCCAAAACCTGTTTTATAAAGACATACTTTAGTTTTTGAAAGACCATTTAAAATAATCTGTTCGTGCATCATGCATTAAGATTATACTCAAGGCCACATAGGTTATCACAAACAATTGAAAAGTAAAAAAAATAAAATAAATGTACAATTATGAAATTCAATCAAATATTGATATTCGTATAAAACTTTTGTAAAGGCCAAACTTAGTCAACATTTTATTTTATTAAGAGCATGAATGTTTAGACAAGCTCTTGTCAGTTCACTTTGAGTATACTTTGATCACTTGAAAAGGTAACCTAAATTTGTCTATGAGATGTTTATACCACGTTATATTGTAAATAAAACTGAACCTGACTTGTATTCTAAATAGACATATTGATACATCCTATGTCCTCTAATGATATTGCAGTGTTATATTGTTACCCTCTCATCATAAGATCTTCAAGACTGCCATCACCCAAAAATCTATGTATAGAATAGAAATTCTAATATTCTTTGTCCATGGCCTGAGACCAGGGTCGTGTCAAAGATTTAAGGTAAAATATTTAGATAAATATTTGATTCTGTCCTACAACACTTTCATTGTCTTCCAAATACCACCAACCCTTTTCAAGAGTTTGAATTGCATCTTTAATTTAGCTTTATTCATCTCTTTGAATAGTAGAGGGAGGTAATTATTACTAGACTCTTGACCTCAGGGTAAATACCACCAAAAAGGTATCCTTCTGTGTTATTGGATTTATTCATATAGGTTTTGTACCAATATATAGGTGGCAGCAGCAGAATCCTATTCATCTTTGTCTAAGAGAATTATAAATAAACACAGATCGATTACCATGCCATTTTTAAAAAAAATATTTCTGTCGCCTTTAACCTATGAAATTTCTATATAATATAATCAGTGAGTTGGCATACTTAAACATAATATGGTTTCTCCAACACCTTGAAATCCAGAGATAACTGCATGAAGACATAACACAGAGACATTACTATTCCCTTAATATCCCAATAATAATGTATGACGGCTAGGTAGTAATCTGTTTCTCTGTTAATATTTGGGGTGTTGGTGGATGGCAAATAGAAAATATGAAAGTTCATGTCTCACAATTTACTTGGAAATATCTGATACATTTAATATTTTCTCTCCCCTCCTAGTTTACAGAACAAAAAATACAATGATTTTGATAAGCCATTATGATCTGGTGCATAGCCATGATCCAAACAAGGATGAGGCAAATTTGAATAGGTGAGGCAAGACCTCATAGTTAGTTAAACTTTTGATGATGACCATGCCCAGACAGAAAACCTAAGGTCAAGGACGAGTACATTATTAAAAAAGGGTCACAGGCAGAGTATTCCATAGTGAAAATAACGTTACGTATTATCATATTCATCAACATACAGATTTGCAAAATGTAAATAATGCAAGTTTATTCCACATATTTTCCTTTATCTTTATTCTCTCAATCATAGGTTACAAATATAAGCAGAAATAAATATAAATCAAGTTTGTAATATATTGTAAAGATTTGCCTTCATCTTAAATCCAAATATTTTCAGTGACTTATTAATTGAAAATATGGAGAAGCAAATGACCCTCATATCAGCATGAAATAATGAATCATATCTAACAACAGATATTATTTATCAATGTGGTCTTAATGGCAAAAATTTTTTTTTTTAAATATTTGGATACTATAGGGTCACATCAAAAAACACCACCTGGCAATTTTGGAATAACTTCTCAATAATCAAGGAATCTACGTGATTTTCTTGTGTAGGTAAAGTGTTCAATAGAAAAAAGATTGTTGTACTTGGATAGCATCAACAACTTTCACATTTCTATCCATGCATGCTGTCAGTGAAATCATCAAAAAAATGTTATTTTCTGAAATCGGGATTTCTGTCTTTGTCATTATTTGAGTCATTTCTCAATTGCTTTCACTACTTTATATATTATCAAAAGAACGTAATATCTACATAAATGATTCTGATTTTGAATTTGATGAACTGACTCGCTTATTGTGTAAATTTTAAGACAGATTTCCTAATTTACAGTTTTGAGATTTTGTGTCAGAGCATCTCTACATGGAAAATGTACTATCTCTTAATTTCCAAGTCGTTGATGCTCTGTAAGCATACCAATCTTTTTTCCATTGAACACTCTATCCACTCATAAAAAAATTATTGAGAGAGTTATTCCAAACTTAGTGGGTGGTGTTTTTGTGTCACCCTGTACTAAAGAAAACCCAATATGTATTGACCTATTGACCTTGCTTTTAAAACGAATATTTCTTCATTCCTTTTTAATTGATATGATCCCTGATAATAGGATACAGTGACTTAATTGAATTTTAAAAATACCATGATTATGTTATGTTTCAAGATAGATTTATCTCAGTATTTCAATGTTTAAACAAGAATTGTATAAGCCTAAGAAGTAGGGGTGTCTAATATGTACATAATATATAGGTGTGTACAAACATGGCATATTCTTTTGTTTTACTCAGATATTACTTTATTTGAGATAACCAGAAAAATTCATTTGATTCCTGTAAGTGTGCACAAAAACAAAATCAAAAAGAAATAATGTTAAAATTTTATATCCTATACATGTATTTAAAACATATTCAAACAAAAATCTAACCATTCTCATGAAACAGATATAAACAGTCTGAGGGTGTACATCCTTCTGAGGGTGAACCTCCCTCTTGCAAATATATTTAGGATATCCTATGATTTTTAGTGGTATCATTTTTATCCATTAGTTGATTTCAATTTCTAGACAAGTTAGTGAAGCGAATGAGTGCAGATAGTGATATTAATGAGTGGATTAAAATGATATCACAAAAATACATAGGATTCACATCGAGGGGGGGGTTCAAATCTATGGAAAAAGATTAACACTAAATGTACTTTTTACCATCATTTGCATAAGAGTTGGAATCTGGCAGATGATACATAAATAAATCTACATGAATTAAAACATTCCAATCTAAAATGATTCCCCAGTTGCTTCTAGGTTCCTACCTCTAATTGACAATAACTTTAAGTTAGTGTTGTGTCAGTTAACGATTGTGGTCTTGTTTTCTCACCATTTTCTGAGGTATTATTTCGCTTTGTATTAAATGAAAATGTGGAGGAAAATGTGATCTTACTTTCATCTATGAACATTATTGCATAAATCTTTGGCGCAAATAAACAGAGTATAGAAACAAGCCCTGTCAACGTGAACATGACAGAGAACAACATCTGCTGGTGCTTTGCCCGATATGTTATGAAATATGTGGGGACAAATGACAGCCATAGAAACAATGTTGCACACACAGATAACAGAATGTGTAAGGTTTCATTGAAGTTGTCAGGTAGCTTTCTTGTTAGAAAAGCCAATGCTGCAGTTGCTAAGACAAGCACCAAGTTGTAGACTATTGAAGCAATCATGCTCCACATTGGGAAATCGCAAACCACTTCTACAAACTTCTCTGTCTCAACGGGCATTCTCTTTATCACATCTGGAGGAGCCATCAGTATTACTCCAACAGATATGCCAACCTAAATGATAATATACAGTATGAAATACTTAGATATAGCTTCATGCACATTTTGGCATATACATATCGACAAAAATTTGATTAAATGGTAATTATTAAAGTAGATATACACTGTGTCCAAAAAACGCAACAAGCAAAAACAAATGAAAAACCATAAAATCAGTGAGGAGCTTGTCTCCTCTTTCTAATGATATGTCATTTGTTCATATGTGATGAAGGACCACAGAAATATAATCATTGTTCATATCCTCAATCAACTTATCCTTATTGTGCAATGGGGTAAATCATTATGTAATTGGGGCTGGGGATTAAATTCTGGTCACAAGACTTACATAACCCAAGTTTCAGATTTCGATTAACCAAGAAAAAAGATTTAACTTAAGTGTTCATCAGTATCCTTGATGGTTCAGTTAATGGTTACAAACATGGAAAAACAAGTCAGTTAAACCAAAATCACTGTCTGTCAATCACTGTCTGTCTGAAAGATTACTCATGAAATGCCCCTTCATATGGCCACCATTTCTAAATACACAAAGATTGTCTCTCCATGTAACAAACATCTCTATGAAGTATCTGTTTGTTCTGGCGGAGAGCGACAACTTCATTGTTGATTCTTTGTTAACTGTTGCAATGTCTAAAACTTGGCACAGGGCAGATTTTGACCAGTTGTGCAAAGGGAGTGATTGTTTAGTAGTCTGTGGTCATATACATTCTGATACTCAGACCATCTCTGCTATGCACAAGAAGGACACTGAGAGAAGGCTGTGATATCTCACGATGGGTCATATATGAATAAATGACATATCTTTGGCTTTTTTTCCTCAAAACCAGGTCATACTGAACTTTAGAAATTAGGGCATTCTTGGTATGATAGTGATATAAGAAGAGAGTTATCAACATGACGTCTGCATACTGCATACAGTATTATATAACTTTAATCTGAAATGTGTCATATATATTCGACTTGTCTTACCTGAATTGTGATCAGTGCAAAGGTTATGATCAGTGATTTCTTTATCTCAATCCACTTGGGAAGATTCAGCTGTAGTTTAGAACCTGCCCTGAATATGTTGTAAATTCTTGCAACCTTAACCAGTAATGGTGCATATAGAATTGTGAAGCCAATGCTGAAGCCAACACGTCCACAGTAGCACATGATCACACTGGGATTGAGAAGATACACAAAGCTGATCCCATAAACCAGCACTGTGGCAATGAGAAGAAAATATATGAACTCCTTTGTTGAAGCTTTGATTATCTTTTCATTCCTCCAATATATGAACAGG